GAGTGGCAAGACGGGATCTTCACAAGTTAGAAATGATGTGTCAAAGACTACCCCTGCATATCACCGCGCGGACCCTGACATTCACACAAGGAAAACGGCTCTCGCGCCAATTCTGTCGTTTGTAGGACGTGTGGAAGAAGCGGAAGCTAATGACATCACTTTTGCGTTTCACACAACTTCTACAAATGTTTGCGAACAGCTTTTTGTGGAAAATCAGGGAAAATCAGGGAAAACCCTGAGTTCCACACAAGAGTTCCTGAACTATGTAAGCGCGCTCTCGTACGGTGAGATCAAGTTTCACATTTCACATATGTGAAAGTTTGCGAACAGGCTGTAAAGTGCCTAAAGACCACGGGCCGCAGGCCATACAGTAAATGACACCGTTGACATGCGCCCAGGACTCGGATGATATCAGCGATTCCCAGGCGATCAAGGCGAGAAAAGTGCAGACGCGCCTTCAGGCTCAGATCCTCAGCCTCATGACCTTGGACGCGACCAGACAAATCTCATGAGGTCAGCGCCCCGCCATTTGGCGACATGACTTGCCATATCTCCGTGGTCTTTAGCGCCCCAAGCGCCCGAGCGCTCCTGTCTCGAAGCTTTTGCGCCCCGCACATGGCATGCATGGGTGTCAATAAATATGTCAACGCGTCCCCATCCATGCCATCCATGCGCGCGCCGTGCCGGGCCCCGTGCACGACGAGAACAAAAAAAAAAAAGTACGAGGTGAATTGGCTGCATGGCTGCATGCCAGGGGCAAGGACGGCAAGGGACGGCGGCTTGGGCTTGGCGAGCCAACCAAGCTCCGCCTCGGCGCCCGGACAAAGCCGAGGTTGTTAGCTCGATAGCTCGTCGACCCAGGACTCTGCCCGACCGATGGGCAGACCTGCGTCGCCCCCTCTCCTCTTGTGCTCCCCACCAAACCCAAGCCTTTGGGCCTATGTCCTGGACGGTTTAGTCCAAGAATTTATTACCTGGGAGCTGGGGACCGCCCACCGCACCGCGCGCCGCACGCTGGCGGACGCACGCATCGACGATTTGATCCCGCCAAGCCATCCCCCCTCCCCCTGGGATTTTGCACCCTGATTAATGGGGTGGTACGAGAGTTTTGAGACTTGGTGTGTCTGCCACAGAGAGCAGAGGGCTGGGCTGGAGGACAGGACCTGTTGGGTCAACGCGTACCCATCCATGCGCCTTTGCAACCTTTGCTACTCGTCCGTCCGTCGTCTGTCCTTGTTTCGTCTGTTCTTTCGTCTCTGGTTCTGACCGTGTCCGTACTCTATAACTTGCCACCTAGGTGCGTCTCGCCCGACCGCTCCCCTCGTTCGCTCGTCCGCTCGCTCGCTCGCTCGCTCTTTCTTTCGCTCCTCCTCCTGCTCCGCCAGCAAGCACTAATCAGGTCACAGTCGAGCAGCAGCACCACCCCGCTACCCCACGCCAAGGCCGGCTGCCACTCTCACGCCCGCCAACAACAATGTCATCCCAGGCCATCCCCCGCGCGACGTCGCTCGCCGACAAGACCTGGGGCCTCGACAGCCTTACCAAGGCTCGCTTCTCGTTTGACAGGTGCGTTAGCTCCGCCGAGAGCGTGTACACACGGCGCCGTTGCGTCTGTCGCGCCCTCGCGCCCGCCGCCCCCAATCCCCCTCGCTATGCCCGTACGCACGCTGACACTGTGCCCACCCACCTCCTTATGCTCCTGCTGCGTACTGCTATGCCCCTTCCACTCCGCTCTCCATCACGTCGTTCCTGCACCTTGCACCACCACCGACGCGAACGCCAACGCCAATGCCAACGCCAACGCCAACCCCCCCACGCGAAACCGACACCCGCGCCACATGCCACACGGACGATGACCACATCGTGCCATCGGCTCACATCGACAATCCTGCCCGGATCGCGACGTCTGTGCGCCCGGCTTCTCCGTACGGCATTGCCGCAACAGCAAGACGACCGCTGCCACCATCTTGACTGTTGTCATATCGCTCCTCATCCTCGAGCAGATTGTCTACCGCACCAAGAAGGCCCACCTTCCAGGTGACAAGTGGACTATCCCCGTCATTGGCAAGTTTGCCGACTCGCTCAACCCCACTCTCGAGAACTACAAGCGCCAGTGGTACTCTGGTCCTCTGTCATGTGTTTCCGTCTTCAACATGTAAGTTGGCAGCGCACTTGCGCGCTCGCAAACATTCGCGCACGCACCAGTGCTAACTCGTCAGCTTCATCGTTATCGGCTCGTCGAACAAGATGGCCCGCAAGATCCTCAACTCGCCCAATCACGCCGAGCCCTGCCTAGTCGCGTCTGCCAAGAAGGTTCTTGACCCCGAGAACTGGGTGTTCCTTCACGGCAAGGTCCACGCCGACTACCGCAAGGCGCTCAACGTCCTTTTCACCCAGAAGGCGCTCGCGATCTACCTCCCGATCCAGGAGCGCATCTACCGCCGCTTCTTCAAGGAGTGGGTGTCGTACAAGGGGGCGCGCCCGATGATGATGCGCATGCGTGACCTCAACATGGAGACGTCGCTGTCCGTCTTCATCGGCCCCTACCTCACCGACGCGGACAAGGACCTGATCAACAAGAAGTACTGGGACATTACCACGGCGCTCGAGCTCGTCAACTTCCCCTTCGCCATCCCCGGCACCAAGGTCTACAACGCGATCCAGGCCCGCAAGGTCGTGATGAAGTACCTTATGAACGCGTCCGCGTCGTCCAAGGTCCGCATGGCGGACATGCAGAACGAGCCCGAGTGCCTGCTCGACGAGTGGACGCGCGCCATGATCCTCTCGAAGAACGGCAACTCGGAGGAGGCCAAGCTCCTCTCGCGCGAGTACTCTGACAAGGAGATTGCCATGGTTGTGCTCTCGTTCCTCTTTGCGTCGCAGGACGCCATGTCGAGCGCGATCGTCTACGCGTTCCAGCTCACGGCCGACCACCCCGAGATCCTCGCCAAGATCCGCGAGGAGCAGATGCGCGTGCGCGGCGGCGACCTCGACGCGCCCCTCACGCTCGACCTCGTCGAGGACATGGTCTACACCCGCGCCGTGGTCAAGGAGGTCCTCCGCCTCCGCCCCCCCGTCATCATGGTGCCGTACCTCACGACGCGCGAGTTCCCCATCACCGAGGACTACACGGTGCCCAAGGGCGCGATGATCATCCCGGCCTTCTGGAACTCGCTGCACGACGAGACGTGCTTCCCCGAGCCGGACAAGTTTATGCCCGAGCGCTGGCTGCCGAACGAGGACGGCTCGGCGCCCCTCGCAGAGTCCAAGCCCCAGAACTACCTCGTGTGGGGCAGCGGCCCGCACAAGTGCATCGGCCCGCAGTACGCTGGCATGCACCTCGCCGCCACGCTCGGCACGGCATCCGTGCTCCTCGACTGGGAGCACGTGCGCACCAAAGACTCGGACGAGGTCAAGGTCATCGCGGCCATTTTCCCCAAGGACGAGTTCATCGCCTCCTTCACGGAGCGGGCGGCCATGTGAGGTGGTGTGTGCCCGGACAATTTTCGATTCGAGAGCCGCGAGAGCCAGAGCCAGAGGCGCGAGTGCCGCGAATCGCGAGAGTCGCGAGAGTCGCAAGAGTCGAGTCGGAGAAGTATCGACGTCACGAGGTAGAGAGCGTAGAGCGCTTGATGCCACGCACGAGCGCGGCCGACAGCCGGCGCGGTGGCGGACGACACCAGTAATGTGCCATACCCCCCCCTAATCTAGTTTTCTGCAGTGTCTTGGGTCCAAAGGCAGTATGCATGCAGCTGTAGCTCGGACCTTGTTCCGTGTTTCGAGTGTTGGAGGGGAGGGATCGGGTGGCGACAAGGTGATGGCGACGGGGGGGGGGAACATGCCACGTTGCGAGAAAGTCGCACGAAATGAGCTCTGTCCCATCTTCAGATCTGAGGCTAATAACACAAACATCATGACCATCGGGGCCAGCGCGCCGGCTGCCTTGCGAAACGCATTGTACACCTACTGTAGATATGACGCCGATCGCCGGAGCGGAATGCGCTGAAGCAGAGGTGCCACTCGAAAATAGAGAATAATAAGCGGGAGCAGATTTGAATACAGCTCCTGAGCCGAGGTCCCGAGGAAACCTCCCTGCGCCGTGCGGCCATGTGTGCTTGAGGCCGAGCACCCAGCGTCCGATTCCAAGCCTCATATCCCGCGATTGCTCGTCTTTATTTGTATTTATGGGCAGGAGCCAGGAGGAGCCAGGAGGATCCAGGAGGAGCCTGGAGGAGCCTGGAGGAGCCTGGCAGTGGCACGACAACGCGACACGGCACTCGTCGGTGCGTTGCAACGGCCGAGGTCAAGAACGTCAAGGAACATGCAAGCGAGACAGGAGGGGCCGCGCGACGCGTAGAGACGCGCCGAGGCGAAACACACGCCCAGCTATTCCAGCAAGAACAGGGGCAGAAGAGGAGGATGGATGCATGGCGAATGGCGAATGGCGATAGTGGTGGTATGCTGTAGATCGAGATAATGGCGGAACCCTTTGCCAACCTTCCCTCAACTGTCCCGCCGCCGCCCCGTCGCCTGCCTCGCACACTGCCCTTGACCGCCTCCGTCCCGCCCATGCCATGCCGCCCACATCCCCGCTGGCCCCGCTGGCGCGCTTGCGTACCGACTTTTGACAGACGCACCGATAAAAGTGACAGAGGTCACACGGCGCTCTGCGGACTGGGAGAGCGTAAAGTAGTAGTTAGAGTAGATATACAGAAGATCGATAGAGATGAATACAAAGTGGATTGTCGGATTGCAGGATACTTGGCTGTGGGCAGGTAGAATTTGGGCCCTGAGTAGCCCGTACACCCTTGACAACCCACTCGATGGCCTCTTCGCTCTCTTCAAGTCACCCTTCCTCCTCATCCACATCCTCGTCCTCACCATCCTCGTCCTCGTCCTCGTCCTCGTCCTCATCCATCACCCTCCGCCAGCCCCCCATCTCTCATTCCACAACATCTCCATCCAGCCCTGTCTCCTCATCGCCTCTCCCTCTCCCGACATCATCCGCCCTCGTCCTCTGCAACGCGTCCGCACCCCGCCGCCTCCTCCATCCATCACCGCCCTCCACTCGACACCCTCTCAGCACATCCCATCGGCTGACTACCCCCACACGCCGGCGCCCGTAACCCCCGCGATCGCCATCTCCGTTTCCGAAAGGATCCCCTCTTCAGGCCGCAGTGTACTCCCCCAGCCCGCGTATCTGGGATGGAGGACGCCCGCGCCTCCACCACTAATGGCGACCTAAACGGTAAGTCTGGCTGACGCGCGCGCGCGTTGCCCCCGGAATGCCGTTGCCGTGCGCGACGTAGCTCCCCCGCATCCGCAGGTGACCCGCACATGTCGGAGCCCATCGCGCGCCTGATCGCCCGTCCCGGTCCCTTCGGAATCCCACAGCGCTGACAGCAGGCGCCGACCTCCCAGGCGACACGCCGCGCGCCGCGGCCTTCGCAGCACTGGCACCGCCAGGAGGGAGGTTGTTGCCTAACCATGTTCCCGCGGCCGCGAACGAGTCGGCCATAGCGTCTCTACTGCCCCCTGACATCCAGGACGGACTGTCAGATGGCGGGTCGAGAAGATCGAGCATGCAGCCGCGCGTGCCGTCGCGCCAGCTGTTGCAGACCGCGCTAGACCTCGCACAGAAGGCCGTCGAGATGGACAAGAACAACGACGTTGCAGGCGCGTTGGCAGCGTACCGCGACGCGGTGAGCAAGCTGCGCGTCGTAATGGAGCGCGTTGGTGTCGACCCCACATCAGATGGCAAGCGGGGAGGCAAGAATGAGGAGGAAGGAAGAACGTTGAGGGGTATTGTGAGGCCTACTTAGGGGCTAGCTGACAGTAGCACGACGCCTACATGGCGCGCATCACATTGCTATCGGCATACGAAAGCCCACCCGACGGTGACGATGGTGTTGCCGCACTGGCGTTGACAAACCTGACGCTCGACTCGAGTTTGAGCAGCGCCGCCACGACTCCTCCCAACCACCTCGCGCGCCTCAACACGAACCCGGAGGACTTGCCAAACAACAACAGCGACGCCGGGCCGAGCACCCCGCAGAGGTCGCCAGCACTGTCATCGCTCAGTGGAAGGAGGCAGAGGAGCAAGCAATCAAAACATTCGTTCGGCTTGGACGAAGAAGCCGACCTTTCAGGCCTTGACGGCGCAGACGCGAGCGAGGAGACCAGCATCAAGGACCTCGCATCGACAGATTCGCCGCCTCGCGCGAGCCTCGACGAGGACGACCGACCATTACCTCCCCTCCCTCCGTCGCTAGTCAACGCCAAGGGCGCGTCGGCTAGCAACACACAGTATCTCATTAATTCTACGACCGCGCAGGGAACGATCAACCAACGAAGGAACAACGGGACACCGTCAATGACTTCCATCTCGGAACTGAATGCGTCGACAAGCAACGAGAGCACACCCGACGGCACGCGGAAACGAACAATGTCACTGCGTGGCCTCAATGGTGACGCGGCTGGTGAAATGTCCGTCGCTGGGCCATTACAGGCTGCCTTCAAATCGACGTTGGCGCCGCCCGCCCGCCTCTCAGGCACAGCACACCTCTCGCTGCGCCCCGATCCCCAGCCGGCTGATATCATCCACCGGCCATTCCACGTCCTGCGGCTGCTCTCTGCATCAATGGATGCGGCAGGGACAGGCGCGTACATCACCTCGTCGATCCACGTCGACCCCGGCGTCTGGCGGGCCGGCAACTTGCGCTCAGGCGGCATGGCCAAGTCTGGAAGCGGCGCAAAGGTCGTGGGCATTGAAGCGAAGACGCGCGTGTGCGAGGCGCTGGTAGGCCACCTGGAGGCGATCAAGAGCGTCGGTGCCGTCTTCCTTGACGGACAGCGCGAGGAAAGACACGGCATCGACGTGTCGTCGCGCCTGACTAAGGCCCAAATCGACCAGATCGCGCGCGTCGGCGATGAGTTCGGCGGTCTCCTCGACAGCCTCGACGACGAGCTCGACTCGACATACAAAGCGCTATCGGGCAAGGGCGTGATCTCGAGCGGCGCGTGGAACGGCAAGTCCAAGACGTCGTGGGGTAGCCGTATCTCGGCGCGCGTCGACAAGATGTCGCGCGGCAACGACAGCGGCGAGCGTTACGTCGACATTCTCGGGCAGCTCTTCTACGCCTCCCAGGTCATCGACGACCACCTCCGCTGCTTCACCGGGCCCTGTACGGCTGCGTACCACGCACTCCCGCACAAGACGTACAAGCAGATCGAGACGCGCGTCACGCGCGCCGCCCAGTTCTACGGCGCCGTGATTGTTCCCTTTGTTTTGGAAGATTTGAGGCAGTTTATGGTGAGTCCTTGCATTGCGGAGCGTGTGCACGAGCACAGCTCAAGTCGTGAGCGAGCAAGGCAGTCCGCATCACTCCCTCCTTTCGTGGACGAAACTGACAGCAGCTCGGATACCTCAAGGGAGGGCTCCAGTATCTTGAAGACTAGTTTCCATTTTCCGTTGGCTTCGGCTTTGTCTTTACATTCGCAACCTGTGCTCAACCTAATTTCCGGCCTTATACACTCGTCGACCGTATACTACGAATTGTGGCTATCGCTCTCGGCTATTTGCCTCTCCTTCCTCTTTCTTGCTCTTGGTTTACTGGTTGAATGGGATGTATTAATCTCGTGCGTGACATGGAGTGGTAGAAGTCGAGTCGGCTTGCGAGGGATTGCGGAATGATGGAATTCTAGGCGCGATAGGGCGCGCGGCTGCAATGTCTTGAGACCTTGGTACTAACGCTTGGACCTGGGGGTCAACCAGTCACCCCGGTGAGACATGTGACAGTCAGTTGCGTCGCGGTGGCATTGGGTTCAGTATTTGTTCAGTCTGGAAGCACCCTCCTCCATGTTCCGCCGTTCAAGAGATGAGAGCCTCCACACCCCGCCCCTACACCCTCTGTTCTGCATGAGCGCACATTAGCAGATCAGTTATGTCGAGCCAACAACATCCAACCAGGTCTGACGCAAAAAATCTCAAGGGCCGTGCCGCACATCCACCTGCTCCCATCCATCTCTACCCGATGTTGTGCAACACCACAACAGACAGCGACAGGTGATGCAACAGATCACAACTAGTCGTCGATGAAGAGAACTCCCGCGGATGACATGGAATATATCCATGGAATGTGTCACCACCAACTGACGCTACTACGTCGCATACCTGTTGCGTCAGCTGCGCCTTCCTGCGCCCTCATCGCCTATCATTTCTATACTCACTTGTGAGTCCATTCCCGGGCGGTGGCCTCGTAACGCGCACGGTCCGTCTTGTACGTCTGTCGCGTTAGTCCCCGTCCTTCGCATTATATCTGATAACCTACGTGCGCGATCTCGGGGACAAGCGGGTCATCGGGGTTGGGGTCGGTAAGCATGGAGCAAATCGAAAGGAGAACTTCTGTCAGCGCAGAAAACGATCAATGTTACCCTTCGAGATGGTCAGAGCTGGGCTCCACTGGTCTCGCAGGATGTCCAAGCAGATGGAACCGTTGGCGTTGATGTTAGGGTGGTAGATCTTGGTGGTGAACGAGACCTTGGGAGGCTTAAAGGGGTAGTCGGTGGGGAAGGTGAGAGAACTGACGTTAGAGAACCGTCATACCTACGCTGCCGAGACGCACAGGAAGAACACACCACCCGAGTACGGCGAGTCAGACTGATTCGTCAACGATCGCACCGCGCGAGGACATGTCGAGGCACTCACAGGACCCATGATCGTCGCCTGCCACTGGAAGAGGTTGTCGCCAATAGGACCCGCCGAGCACGAGGATGGAGGGTCACGGCCGAGGTCGATGAGCTCCTGTCGTGTGAGTTGTCTGACGGGCGGGGCCGTGCATAGTGCACGACTTTGAGGTGGGCAGCAGCTGGGGAGCTGGCGCGCATACTCACCTTGTTGATGCGCTTGAGAGCCATGTTTGATTATGCTCGCTAGTAGAGAAGCTGTGGAAGGATAAGTGCGGTGGCAAGATATCGATCACAAAATGGAAGGAGGAGGCTCTGTCAGCACCGCAAAATGGGGGAGTGGGGAGGCAGAGATGACGGAGGAGTAAGGAAGCGAGAACGTGAGTGTGATGAGGGTGAGAAGGGGGAGGGGATTGGGGAGGTGGTGACGAAGCTCACAGAGGGGACGGGCAAGTAGAGATGAGTGTTGAAGATTGGAGAGTGAGTGATGAAGAGCAAGATGAGTTGTCCAGAGTTGCTGCGAGTGGAGAGCCAGCGTGCCCCCGCCAGCGCGCGCCGACCACAGTCGTCTGCCTGTAGCCTGCCTGGCTGCCTGGCTTGCCTGGCCTGCCTGGCCTGCTTGGACGAGCCGAGCGCCAGAAGGAAGGTTGGCCCTTCAGCCCAATGCACCCATCACTCCCTCCCTGGCCCTGATCCACCCCGCCAGGCCCACTGCCAGCCCGGAATTAGAAAATTCTCCGCCTGTGGCGGCACCCAGCCCCGTGGTTCCAGTGACTTCGACCACACTTTGATTAGGCATTGTGCGCTAAGCATTGCGCTCTAATCATTACTCATCATTCTCATCCTCCCGGCCTCTTGAACAGCATGATAACAAAATCATTGCCACCCCGGCAAACCAGACTGACTCACGCTCTCTCCGCTCTCTGCCATCCGTACTTGACTTCCAATCCAAATACAGGTTTCCAGGTCTGAGAAGGTCCCACCTCCGCCCATCCTTCAGCTCGCGCCTGACCTGTCTGACACAGAGATATATGGATACATTGGCAGGCAGGCTGGTTATAGGTGCAGCCTGCTCCATTAGGTTCCAGTCGCTCGAGCTGCTTGGCAGGTTTATCAAGTAGCGGCTCAGTGGCAAAGCCATCAACATCCGGTCGTGGCGCTTCCCGCCATCCCGCTAGCCCGCTCTGGGGGCAAGTCGAGCCTCCTTTGGATACCAGTCGGTGACAAACGAGTGCAGTGACTGAATTATCCTGCCCGTTTGCATTTTGATAACTTGCACGGTACTACAGTACATACAAGCAAAAGTGAATGCGAGATCTGTTGGGCATCCTGGTGCATCTGAGCAAAATAAAAGAGAGGCAGCACAGGCGATTGTATGATGTCACTGCGGTCCGATCAGCCGGCCAGCAGCAGCCAGCGCCGCGCATCAGCCGCATTGAACCACGAGGCCATGCTGGTGGAGGTCAGCGGGAGCAAATTCGGTGGGGTCAGCCGGTAAGCAAAGCGCGTATCCACCACACCAGCACCAGCCGCCCAAGCAATCCAGCGCCTCATTCTTGCTTGTCCTTCCATCCTCCTTCCACTCTACTCTACCTCTGCTCCGACATCCACCTCGATTCTCCACCTTGCACCACTCACCATCTCGTGTCAGTTGCTTGGCTGCGTTATCCACAGTCTTGCTGGCTTGAGGAGCTCTATCAACCCTTCCCACCCCCATCATCTGTGCCTTGGCCCCTCCCCCGACTCATAGCTCTTCAGTCGCCGCAGCGCCGCTCATCCGCCAACCCGCACCTATGTTGGCACAGCGGAGGTCGTCATCGCCCTTGTCATCGGCCTCGCCGTCGCCACTGCAGCTCCCGACAGAGAGCACAGTACCGCTAACGGCGCTCAATCTCCCGACAGCCGCCGCGGACGAGGACGGCATTGTGGGCGGCAGCAGCCCTACCACATTAACGGAGCCGCTCACGGAGAGTGAGCTCACAGAGGACGAGGAGGAAATGGACGAGCACAATCCCGTTCCGGAAGACGATGCGCTGGACGCGCTATCGGACATTGGCGATGACGACGAGGCTGATGGCAACTTGCAGGCGTTAGCTGACAGGCGACGGTGAGTGTGTGCCAAACTGTGCGCTGACATCCAGCTCTCCCGACGGTTCCTCACTTTCTCCATCTCCATCCCTCACTCCACCACCCCCCTCTGACCCACCGCACCCTCAAGCGCTTCCGTCCTCTCCACATGCGCAGGCGGACGGCAATGACGATACACCCGTAGTCAAGCTCGACGACGACGATGAAGACGACGCTCTTCTTGCAGACGACGAAGCAGTTGAAGAACACGGCGCCCACAAGGCTGATCTTGACCCCGACAGTGGGGATGAGGAGCTGACCCCTGAAGCAGAGGAAGGCGATGGCGACATCACCATGCGCGCAGAAGACGCCGCAGAGGTCGCTGCCGCTGGGAACGGGGACGCGACAGATGCCCAGGACAGCCCAGTGAAGCATGAGGCGGGAGATGATGGTGATGTCGAGCTGGAGGAAGAGCCAGCCGAAGCCGAGGCTCAGGCTGAAGAACCACAAGAAGAAGCAGAGGAAGAGGCCGAGGCCGATGCTGAGGAAGAGGCGGACGAGACAGACGCGCCGGACACCGGTACGTACTGCGCGCTATACCACGCTAATGACAAAGGGGCTGTACAGTCTCGAACAGGCCACTCGTCGCACGCGCCGCTCCCAACGCCAGCAGCTATCCGCGCGCTGTTCGCGCTGGAGGTCAAGTTTGCCGCATTGCGCGACCGGCTCTACGTCGAGCGATTGGAAGAAGCAGCGCGCGAGGAGGAGATGATTTTGAATGGTGAGTCCGCTGAGGCGAGGTTGCTGACGTCAAGGAACACATCCGGCTCTCATCCACCTGAACAAGACATTACAAACGCGACGCGAGCGGCTGCATGAAGTAGCCTCACGGAGGCACCAAGCAACGATCAACGATCTAGGCACCTGGCGCAAGATCGAGGACAAGATTTCCTGGTCGACGTGGACAGTGAGCGGGCTAAGCAGGGGCAAGCTGACCTCAGGATCAACGAGACCAGCTTCACTGGGACGAGTTTGAGTCAACCTGGAGCAAGCGCCGCCGGCTTGCGCGCGAGAAGAACGAGTTGGAGACACCTAAAGTTTACCGACCGGTCCCGCGCGTTGACCGGCCGCCGAAGCCATTTGACTGGTCTGCTGGCGCAGTGCCGCCAAAGCTGTCGACGGAAGATGCGTTACAGGATCTCAAGCTCATGGACGTACGTGCCATGAGTTGAATGAGCTAACGGCAGGCACGAAGGCAGCAACAGCAGCAGCAACAGGCTGCCTTTCGCCACGCGTCGCCGATGTATGGATCTTACGCCCAATCGTCGTCATCATTGTACCCCTACCAGGCCGCGCAGCATCCCGCGAACTATCTTCAGAGCGACCAGGCGCATCCCGAAAGGCGGCACCAGGACCCTATGTCGGTGCAGCGGCCAGCGCAGCAGCAACAAAGACCCACCGCGAGTCAGCACACCCAGTCGCACGCGCACGTGCCAGAGGTATCGCGCATGCCCGTAACGTCGTCCATCGGGCCATCACGCCCGCCTCCACAAGCCCCTCCCCGAAAGGTGGATCCGTATCCCATTCCACCACGGCGCGACGCTGCATCAAACGGCGGGGGCGTTAATGGGCACGCGCGGCAGCCGCCACGACCATTGGCGTCGGCAAATTCGCCCGCATCACAGTCCGAGGCGAAGCCGGCTGCTGGTCCAGCGTCCCGCTATCCTGGCTTCACTGAGTATCTATCGGGCTCGCATATGAACAAACCCGCGCAGAGTACTGCGCCTGCGCCAGGCGCCGCCCTCGTGCGCCCTGCGTTCTCGCCGCAAGTGCCGGCAGGGAGCGCGCAGCGCTCATAGTTAATAGTGGCATGTCACGCATGTATTCACCCGAACAATGCATCTTGCTGGTCAGTCAGGTCTGGCGGGGAATGAGGTCATACTCGGCTCCTATTGGACCGAGGGTGGGGCATTGTTGTCGTCAGCAGCCTGGCAGCCAACGTGCTCTCTCCATCATACTCTTCGCCATGACGAACGCGCTCGCTCCGTTCACGCTCAAGGGCTTCTATCTGCTTACGTGGGGTACCGCGCTGGGCACGAATGCCTGGCACCTTGTGGTGAGTGCGATGCGCTGAAGGTCGCTGTGACCCCGGTGTGATTTGGGTCTCCCATCTTGTCCTTTTCATCCTCTCCGCTTTGCATTCTTCACAATGCTGCATTGCCCATTCTATCCTACGCCCTCCTCCTATACCTGCCACTTCCCTCCCACTAACACCAGTCCTCGCACAAGGCCTACACGACGCTGGACCGCGAGTCCTTCTCGCACCTCCAGGCCTCGATGCACCCCGCGTACTTTGGCACCAGCACCCTGCTCTCGGGCGCGCTCCTCGCGACGCACCTCTACTTCCACCCGGTGCTCCTCCGGCGCGCGGCGTGGTGGGGCCTCGAGGAGGGCGTGCAGGGTCTCCTCATCCTCGGCGCCTTCGTCCCGCAGCTCATCAACTGGGTCGCTGTGGGCCCGCGGGCCATCCGCCTTTTGTATGAGCGCCACCGCGCCGAGCGGTCCGGCAAGGTCGCTGTAAGTGAGAACGTCGGCGTCGCTGACCCCCAGCCCGCCCAGGACGTGGCTGCCGCCAACTCGGCGTTCTCGACCATCCACGGCGTCAGCAGCACGCTCAACCTCGTCTCGGGGCTTTCGCTCGCTGCCCTCGGCCTCGCCGTGAGCATGTAAAGGAGGTACTCGTAGGATTTGCATGAACGCCGTTGGGTCTATGATAATGTACAGACGGTCGTGGGCAAGGGGCATGGGATGGCTTCAGTCAAGTATGGAGCATCTTGGCACTACAGTGCTCTGCGCTGGGCCGGTACCACGGGCTAGTCTAGTCTGGCTAGGTGGCAGTCAGAATGTTGGCGGTCGGAGCCATTCAGTACCCGGGGTAGGCCGGTCGACCGGGGGCTGGCGAGGGGGACGGGTAGTGTTGCGGTGGGGGCGTGGGGTGACCAAAGCCACCATCTGCAACGACTTGGGCTCGCAGGTCTGCGTCTTAACGTCAGCACACTTCAATGTGAGACTTGTTGTGCTTCTTCGCACGGCCTTAGCTTCGCTTAGGGATCGACTTCGCCACTCACAAGGGTCATTGTATGCCATCTGCATTGTCCGGCTCGGCTCAGCGTGTGCGTGAGCGCCGGGCATGTCACCGTCAAAGGCGCCGTACGCGTCGACGCTCGGGCGTGACATGGCCGTCTGTTCCTGCTGCGCGAGAACACCGGGCCGTCCGTGGGCGTAGGGCCGTGGCTGGGCGTACGCATCGTCCAGGCGCGGAGCAGGTGAAGCCTCGTACTTGTCCGCAAAGACGTCGTCGTCGCCGACAGGATCATAGGGTCGGCCCATGCCCGACTCCAGGGCACCGGGCGACGAGGGAGGAATGAACGATGGCTCCTTGTGGTTGCGGCGGTCCTCACGGAACGCAAGGCCCGAGAGGATGAGGAGGCCAATCCACGCAGCGAGCGCGAGCCAGCCGATAATTCCGCTTGCTTTCTTAGTGCGGCACCAGCCGCCGAGGCCGTTCTTGTAGTCATCGCCGAGGTCCTCGGCGCGCTTGTCATCGTCGGGGTTCTTACAACCAGGGTTGCTCCATGCCGAGATGGTGACCACAAAGGCGGCGATGGCCTGGAGGATAGTGCCGAACACGTGCAGGATGAAGGCCGCACGCGCCTGAGAGAGGAACTGCGCCGGTCGACGGCCCTTGTCCCACCTTCCGTCAGATCAACACACAGCAATCAGACTCACCGATCGTAGATCAAGGGGATAGACAAGAGAGCAATGAGGAGCGTAAAGTCAAGCAGCAGAAGGAACAATGTGAACCCGGTTCCGCCAGACACGCTGAACCACTTGCCCTGGAAGGCGGCGACAGCGGCCATCGTGCAAATTGCGAGGAAGGTGAAGAAGATTGCAACGGAATGCAGGATAAGGTTGGGCTTCGACAGCGACGGGTTACGGTACGTTCCGGCTGGGACGCTGTCATCGTCGTTACCATTGCGCAGACGATGGAGCCCGCCGCCATCGTTGTCCTTGCTAGAGACAAGAGCGCCGGCGAGCTTGTAACGCGTCTCCTTCAATCGTTGCACTGTTGTCAGCTGCCACCCGGAAGACTGAGAGTCCAGAACTCACTCATCTTGGATCACGATACTTATGGAGTGGAGCTGAGTGTAGGCCGAGCAGCAGTGCCGAGTATATGTGTGGGTGTTTGTAGGTTGCTGGAGGTGAGACGTTGAGATAAAGTGGCGAGGCACTGTACAGTAGCGAGGTAGCACAGAGATAAGAGGTTGCTGCGTGATGGGAAGTTGAGAGGAGAGAGAGTGTGCGACGGCAAGAGCTACGGCAGTTGTGAGGCAGTGTTTGCCTGCTCTGCTGGGTGGACGGGATCAAATGTCAACTGACGCGGCTGCTTTGAGGCGATGAAATGACGTTCATCAAACATTGGGACCCTGATTTTGTGCTGAACGCGCCCTCGGCCCTCCAATCCCCTCCTCCCATACCTCCTCCATCCACACAAACAACCATACGGCCCCGCCAACACGCGCCGCAGCAATCGCACGACCCAACTTCGCCTAGTATTCAAAGACTACGTCTTCACACCTGTGCGCCTTTGACAGACCGCAGTAGTCATGGGTCTCTCGCCTGCTGTGCGGCTTCTCGCAGGATTGTCGCTTGTGGTCTCTGCCACAGCGGCCGCTTCCCAGCTTAACATCGTTCCTCTCCCAGCAAAGTACGCGACGGGCGACGCGGTTGTGTGCCTTACTCACGACTTTGAGGTCAAGTTCGACAATGATCCACCCCAGGACTTGATCAGTGCCGCATCGCGCATGGTTAAACGTCTGAGATGCATCCAACACACCTACCTCTCGCCCTCACGCGGCGCCGAGTTCCTGGCCAATGGAGGCTGTAATGGGTACATTGATTCTTTACACCTTAGCGTCAGCAACCCGGGGACCGTCTTCGCCCATGCCACAAAGCCGATCGGGCAGCGAAACGAGACTTACGAGCTGTCTGTACCAACGAGCGGAAAGGCAACGGGCAAAGCCGAGACTGCACTTGGCGCATTCCGCGCCCTCACAACCTTCGAGAACCTCTGGTTTACGACGCAGCTGGACCCGGGCATGTCACTTCAGGTACCCCTCGACTGTCCAGCTCGGATTATTTTCGCTCCCTTTGCGCCTTACAACATCAATGACGCGCCTGCTTTCCGTTGGCGTGCCGTACTTCTCGATACGTCTCGGCACTTCTTCCCGTTGCCCTCCCTTCGCGCGATGCTCGACGCGATGGCGGCGGTAAAGCTCAACGTGTTTCACTGGCACGTCACGGACTCGAACTCGTGGCCGCTGGATCTCTCGGCGCTGCCGGAGCTGGTGAGGGGCGCTTATTCCTCCCAGCAGATTTACAGCGAGGACGACGTGCGAGAGCTGGTCACGTACGCTGGCGAGCGCGGCATCGACGTGGTTTTAGAAATCGATACTCCCGGACACACAGCAAGTATCGGGGAGTCACACCCCGATTTCATTGCATGCCTCAATGCGCCTTGGAAAGACAACGCCAACCAGCCACCGGCCGGACAGCTGCGTTTCGCGGACGACGCTGTGGTAGACTACACGACGGCCATCTTTACGGCAGCAGCAGAGCTTTTGTCGAGCGCGTACTTCGGGACGGGGGGAGATGAGCTGAACCTGCGCTGTATGCGTGACGATGGTCCGACGCAGGCGACGCTGAAAGAGAAGGGCTGGACACTAGAGGACGCCCTGTTGCAGTTCACAAATCGTACACACGCGGTCCTGCTGAAGAAGGGGCTCACGCCCATTGTGTGGCAGGAAATGGTCTTGGACCACGGCGACCTGAAACTCAGTGTTGATACCGTGGTTGAAGTGTGGCTGAGCAGCGCTCACACGCGTGCTGTATTGGACAAGGGTTTCCGCGTCGTCCATGCCGCCTCAGACTTCTTCTACCTCGTATGTCCTCTCTTCTGCTCCGACCGCCATCCAACGGCTCGGTGCGCAGTGCGAAGCTGATGTCAGGACTGCGGTCACGGGGGGTGGCTCCCTCCGGGCGGTAACAGCTGGTGCGACCCATTCAAGCCGTGGACAAAGATGCTTTCGTGAGCCGTTATAGCTTTAGGCCTGACATAGATTCGACCCGTACGCCAACGTTGCCGACTATCAACGCCACTTGGTGCTGGGCGGTAAGACAAAGTAGCTTCGAGCTGACCCGAGGCCAGGTCTCGCTGTGGGCCGAGCAGACGGACGACGCCAACCTCGAGAGCGTGATGTGGCCCCGCGCCGCCGCTTCCGCGGAGCTCTGGTGGTCCGGTGGACCCGGTGGTGCGTCTTCTCGCTGTAATAGCTGACACAGACACCATTAACGCTCTCCCAAGAATGCACGACATGAGATACCGCCTGCTTGGCCGCGGCGTGCGCGCCGCCCCTCTCCAGCCCGAGTGGTGTGCCCTCCGTGCTGGCGCGTGTGTGCTGTGACGGACCTGGCGGGGTGCGGAGATAAGGACGCGGTGCCTAGGTAAACCCTGCGCCGTTCAGCGCGTCTAGGCTTTCCTACCCTGGCAATCCGCTCGATGTATGCATGCTTAAGTCAGAAGATAAAACTTGGACGTACCGCCGTGCTCTAACCTGTAGCATGCATCTGTTGGTAGCATCTCGCGTCAACAAGGTATGAGGCGCATCCTGCACTGCAATTGTTCAGCGTCTGCGCAACCAAGATGCAAGTGGCGGGCGATGGGAGGGTGCTACCATACTGCGAAACGGGGTGCACAGCTGGAACGTGGAATGGCGTGGCGCTCACCCTGGGACGAAGGGCGCGCACCGCCATGGCGCCAAGATGATGGTCCGTGATCACCACCACCTCCTGCACCTCTTGACTTCTCTTCTTCTCTCATCTCTCTATCAACCTCAGCTGCCCACATCTCATCTCCCACTCGCACTCGGACGGTCCTCCGACGGCTGCATAGCTCCGACCACTCTCAGCGACCTCCTTCACAGCCTCGTCAACAGCTGCCTTGTCCTCCACCCAAGACCTCCACCCTCCTGTTTCGGCAGAGTCCACTCCGCATTCTCATTCTCAGTCACCTCCATGTCCAACGTCTTCCCTCCTCAACTCGAGCGTAAGAACTCGGACCCCGAGCCATACGCACCGCTGCTCGGCGGTGCCACTCCACCCGGGATTAGACAATACCAGGATGGGTACCGCGACCAACCAGGACCAAACGACTACCACGAGCAGTCTCACAACTATCAAGACATGCACAACGAGCCGTACCGGCAGGGTAGCGACCCCTACCGCCAACCCGTCGACAACTACAGGCAGACGAGCGGTGACAATTACCGCCTGAACGATGGTCCATCCGACCACCGTGACCCTTACTACGGCGAGAATGGGCGCTATGATGAGCGGTCAGGCGGCAACGACGCGTTCCGCGCAGACGAGCCTGACCCATTCGCACGCTCGCCGAGCCGCGAGGCGCGCGAGCGCGAGCGCGAGAGAGCAGACCCGTACGCTGGTTCAGATCCCTACAACCCGTACGGCAATAACGCCAACAGCGGAGGCGATATCGAACTGCGACCCATCGCTGCGCAGAAGAACAGCCGGTTCATCCCAGCACCAGCTGCTCTGAACACGAAAGATACGCTGCTGTTCGCCACAGGTCTCGACCGCGTGTTCCGTTTAGTGGGAGTCAAGATGGGCGAGTCAGCCGAGCAGGTCGTTCAGCGCCGTCATCGTGGGATGCCTGGACAGCGGTGGCCGGTGATGGCATATCTGTTGACCATCAGTGAGGTTTGCGGCGCGCGCTCGTGTTGACGCCCAGTCATGTGCGCTGTCATGGTTTATGAGCTCGTCGCCAATAACAAGGCGCAGGGCACTCCAATCTCGACAAAGCCATACTTCAACTTCATGATCGGGCCGTCGTCGACCGTCTTAATTAACATTGGCGCGCGCTTCGCCCCTTGCATGCGCGTTGTGCCTGGCATTTCGCCCACTCTCCAGATGGGATGTCCCAGCAACACTGCCAACCCGCCAACAGAGCTGTGTACCATCGCTGAGATCTGTGGGCACGGCGGGTTCCCAAGTGGAACGCCTGACCAGTCATGGCGCCTTTTCAGTCCAATCTTCCTGCACGTTGGCATTATCCACTTGCTCGTCAACATGTTTGCGCAGGTGACCATGAACGGGCCAATGGAGCGGATGATGGGCACCATTCCTTGGCTGATCGTGTACATTGCAGGTGGAATCTACGGCAACTTACTGGGTGGCAGCTTTTCGCTCGCAGGCATCCCTTCGGCTGGTGCGAGTGGCGCCATCTTCGCGATCGTGAGTGTGCAGTAGTCGACAACTCTAACCAGCCAGGAAGCTTGCGCTATGGTCGACCTTGCACTGCACTGGAAGTACGAGGCACGTCCGAAGTTCAAGGCTATGATGTTCGCTCTTGAGTTCGTATTAATCGTGGCAATGGGCTACATGTGAGTGTCACCTGCGTTTTTTCCTGATAGCAGCCCCTTTGCAGTTGACGGCCTGGCTCACCTGGGAGGCTTCGCAATGGGACTGATGCTCGGAATCGTCCTCGTACCGTCGACGCCCGAGACTAAGCGCTACCGCATGATCGTCTGGGGATGTCGCATTGTTGCGCTGCCGCTTGCCATTGTGGCGTTTGCTCTGACTACCAAAAACTTCTGTGAGATCGTCGTCAAGTACACTGCTGACTTTCACAGACAGCGACGACCCCGTAAGGCTCGACCCGCTAATCGGGTGACGTTGGCTGCGCATGCTGACCTCAGAACGCGGCTTGCACCTGGTGCCGGTACCTGTCGTGCATCCCCACGTCGGCCAACAATCAGTGCAAGGGCACGGTAAGTCTGTGTGGGAACGAGTCACAACATGACCTTTGTCGCGGCGAGGCACACACCGTTTTGATTTCGTATCTGATCTGACTCTCAGGGTCTGACCATGACAAGCACATAACTCGTGAGCTCGTGAGTTTGCCAGCAACAAGAACAATGGCGGGATGGATGGCGCCAACACGGAGGAATGTGGACCTCCATGTACCAGGAGACGAGCAAGGTCATACTGGAAATTCGGGCGACACTGTCGTGTGCATAGAGACTGTAGAGCGCTGGCGCCGCAAACTGCATACCGCGTTTGCCCCGACTTATTCTGAGGCTTGACTAGGTAATATGACATTGTTGGCGTGTGAACTTGGAAGCGAGTGCTTGGTGGAGGTGAAGTGCAGGAGGTGACTAAGGGATCTGAGTTTGAGCACATGCAAGTGCTAGAAGCATGGTCGTGTTCTGCCGTCGTCTGTGCGCTACGAACGCCACGGGTCACCACTGGTCCGCCACGGGGCCCGTGCGGTGTTGGTGACTCGCCGAATGATCGCTAAGTAGAAGTGGCGGAGTGGCTCACGCAAGTGACCCACTGCATCTCCATTCTGGAATAAGGATGTAGCCGATATCTTAGAGCGAGCTACACCCGCAGGGCACCCGCAGGGCACCCGGATGTCTACCAGTTACAGGTGAAGCCCGAAGGGTAGCCATCGTTCGGTCGGGACCCCGCAGGCAGCAAGCTCGGACAGGATGTAGCCGGCGTCGCCGTTGCCATGTCTCACCAATCACCAAGGCGATAGATCGGAGCCACCGATGTGAGAGGCCGATCACGACCGACGCCTCATGATCGGTGCGGTGTGGGGCTTTTCCATAGGGCGTGGCAAGTGTGGAGTTGCTCGGGGCCCGCCGTTGTCGGCGTGGAGTCTCGGGGGGTGCAAACAAGGCCTTGGCGGAGCGATGGCATCAGAGGGGGGCTGGCACCACCGGCCAAGCAGGAACTCGAGGTACCTCCGTGGTCCGACATCGGTGCTGGCGTATGGCACGGTTCCGCTTAGTGAGCGACCGGGGCAGCCGGGGGTGACACGGCTTTACGCGGCGGTGGAGGCTGCGATGTATCCACTCAGGAGGCCAGGAGCAAGGCAATCACGTTTCGGCGTCTCTCTGGGCCAAAAAGTCCGTGCCCTGCCCCACGTGCCTGTACCAGGTGGCGCTGCCGCAACCTGCTGACGTACGCCAATGACTTGCTCCAATCTGACCGCAGCATGCTCCATCATCACGCACCCACAACTGGTGAGGTGGTAAACAACATACAGACGCAGAGACAATAGAATGAGAACAACTGAAGCTGCCACAAAGAGCTTGCTCACATCCGCGGCTGCTGGTAATGCAGACGTAGTCTGCATCGAGGATGAATGACATGTGACCGACAGTGGCGTACGGACTGCGGTACGTTAGCGTACATCTGGGTGCTAAATTCGTCACCGACGAATGCCAGTCCAAGCCACCACCGTCAGGGTCTGCGCTCCAGCGCGAGGAGGGGAGCTCGACGAAACGAGTGCCTTGTCGACCCCGGTCCGCCGAGTGTCGGCCACTCTTGTCCCCTCTATTGCCCCCGCTCGAAGAGCGGCGGAGCAGATTATTGGGTGTCGCCGCTCTTGCTCTGCACAACAGCTGACACGACCGATGGGCCGAGGAACGGCGCTACAAGCCCAGCGGCCCCGTGGGAGGTGGGAAAACGCGCGTCGCGCCCAAGGGGCTGCAAGCTGTTGCCGCAAATGTGTGGGGGCGGGGTCGTCCACCGGCGGCATGAGGCGCAGAAGGAGAGGGCGCACCACACCGCGCGCACCAACGGGTCGGCCCCGCTTGTTTCCTTATGAACTCTTCGAAAACAAAGCTTTAAAGGCGGCCGGTTTTCTCATTCTGGTCTCCTCATCCTTCGACTCGCGTCTCCCTTCTTCTCGTCACTCTCTTCTCTCTTTCTTGTCTACCTTTACACACACCATGTCCGAGGTCAACGGCAACCAGGGCGTTCTCAAGAACGAGCTCAACAACTCGGGCAACGTTGAGGCCAACAACGGCTTCTCGGGCGGCAGCGCTGTTTCGCGCTTCATCACCCCCGGTGGTAACCCCATGGACACCTCGCAGCCGGCGTTCCCCGTCTTCCACCGCAAGTTTGCCAACCCGGCTCCTCTCGGTCTTCTTGCGTAAGTGTTGACACTCACTGCCTCGCTATTGTTGAACTTGTACTGACCCCCTCAGCTTCGGTGGTACCACCTTCGTCCTCTCGCTTTACAACGCGCAGGCTCGTGGCGTCAAGCACCCCAATGTCATTCTCGGTCTCGCTCTCGGCTACGGTGGTCTTGCCCAGATCATCGCTGGTATTGAGGAGTGGGCTTGCGGCAACACCTTCGGTGCCACTGCCTTCACCTCGTACGGCTCGTTCTGGCTTTCGTTCGCCTGCTTCTACATCCCCCAGTTCGAGGTCCTCGCCGCCTACCCTACCGCGCACGAGAGGGAGTCTGCGCTCGCCATCTTCCTGACGATGTGGGGGTGAGTACCAATCCACGGATTCCCGGACACACGTGTGCGAGGGCCGTGCGCACGTCGAACGCCGATGACAATTGTACTGACGCCCCAGTATCATTACTTTCCTCTTCCTCCTCGGCACTCTTCGCTCGTCGGTCGCCCTCTTCCTCGTCTTCTTCTTCCTTGACATCACCTTCTGGGTCCTCGCCGCTGGCCACTTCACCGAGAACCACACCGTCACCAAGGCTGGTGGTGGTCTTGGTGTCGTCACCGCATTCGTCGCCTTCTACACCGCTCTCGCTGGTATCCTTACCAAGGAGACCTCGTACTTCCTCCTCCCCGTTGGTGACCTCTCCAAGTAATCTCATTTCTCCCTTGCCTCGGATCATGTGGATCGATAGTGCGAGTAATATGTTGATGACAATTTTGCTACATTTGCCGGGTGGCGGGGCCAAGCGTTGTGCTGAGGGGCGGCGTTGCGTCATGACGTGGTGTCGCTAACTTCCGAAAATATTGCTGCTCGATCTTTTAGGTGAGCCGCTGGCAGCGCTGCACTGACGGTGAGCACGAGGCTATAAGCGATGGCGGCGTGATGGCAGAACGATGGCAGAATGCTCCAAGAGGCGCAGGAGGGCTGAAGGGTCCAAACAAGGATGCATCGGCCCGAAGTGCATGGCTCAGATCGTGTGGCAAGGCGATCGCGCGCCAAGTTACCGCAAATCGGTACCGACGGACCCAACTTCCCTGTAATCCCTATCTCTTTCGCACAATCCTGAGAGCTCGCCAGCTCGCTCCCCTTGCCCCTGCGCGTTTGCCTTTTCCCCCGGCGCGTAATAATGCATCCATTCAATTACTCAACGAGTTCCAGTACTGTACGCCCACATGATCACCCTCACTTCCGCCGACGCCCCTGACGTCCCGCATCACAGACACCAGAAGGGTCCCGGCCACGGGCCTGCCGGGGCCGTCTGTCGGCCTCTCGGATGTTGGAGCCAAGCGTCCCTCGGCGATTCCCTGTGCCCTGGGGCCTCAATCGATTTCTTCATTCCATTGGCCACTAATTGCCACGTCATTCGACCTTTCATCGAACGAACTCGATCTGATTCCGCCATGTTTGCGCTGCGCGCGACCAAGTCTCCCACGGTAGTCTCATGGACATAAATTCAAACCGTGTCAATGGCAATGTCCGGATGTACGGATGTAGGAATGGTGTGGACGAGACTTTATTCTCTCACGCAATTTGAATTCGGCTACTAGTACATGATTAACTCCTGTTGTAATGAGGCATATGAGACGCTTGGTGGGCGCTGCGTCCAATTGTCGAAATGGCGCACCTTGGCCACCCCACTTCTCTTGCACTTGGCACATTCTCCCGCAGGCCCGCAGGCTTCCTTCCTGTCCCCCTCCGTCACCATCTCTGTCACGCTCATGCGTTCATCTACATAATCTCCGCTCGCCCCTCTCCGATCGCCGTCGCACACAGCACAGCCAGCGCAATCCACCACGCCGCTACACAGCTATACATGTATTCTTGTACTACTCAAGTCAAACGATGCAGAAGATTTTAGATGAGCCTGTTCTCGCATGATCTCGCAGACCCGAGTCGGGACGGGCCTAACGGGTCTCGAAGAGCCCAAAATGGCGCCGGGAGGTACGCCAAGCCCAAGTGTGGCTCGTATGCAGGCTCTGCAAGGGGAGGGTTGGCGCGGTTTCAGGCGCTCATGACCGCGAGCCGTGTCGCGGCAGCCCTGACTAAGCACGAGATGCACGAGAGTGGCGCCTGTGCCGAGCTTCTGACAGCTGTAGAGCTGCTGTGAGGTGTACGGTGTTGAAGCGCAATGCGGATCAGCCAGTGCGGTGCGGTGTACGGTGTACGGTGTACGGTGTACGGGCGTACGGTGCGTCAGATGAGCAAGCAAGCCAACCAGTGGCCAAAGTGGGCGGACGGATAAAGTGAGGCACTCCCCCACCCAGGAAGGTTCACTTTCCCCCCCTTGTCATTGCACCACGCAACCCACGCCCACAGCCAACCCCACCCCACTAAACAGCACCGCCACTACTCGTATTATTCATCTGCCAACACTCCACAGCTCCCCAGCCCTACCGTGCGCCATAGCGCCATCAGCGTCAGCCGTAAACACTTGAACATAACAACCTCGGCCTACATCTACTGCGCTACTGCACTACTCTCGCGCTCGCGCAACAAGATAGCCTTCAACTCGGGCCCCTCATCTCGCAGACGCCTACCTCTTCCACTCTTCCCTTCTCACTTCGCCCACTCTCTCACCCATCGCACAAGCTTCCACTTTCCAGCTTGCCCTCTCACGTCAAGCTGTGTCAGCACCTCAATCCTCGCTACCCGCTGCTTCCATCAACGGCCTCACAAGGACATACGCTGGCGCCCCACCAACGCTTTCTATTTGTAACCTAAAAGCGTCACCCAGTAGCCTGTCTAGCTAGTTCCATTCGCGCTCGCCTAGCGTGCTGGAACAAGTTGTGAGTGGCGATTTCGCGATCAAACTCACGTCTAACACCAGACATCTCACCTTCTACTGCCGCCTAACAGCCTCGATTGTCCACACACGTCTCCGGCGTGTTAGTCATCAAGGCCGTGTCCAGACGTTATATTTGAACTGCGCTTTCGTCTCGCTCCCGCTCACATATCTCACCTCTCACCACTCTCTCCACACCCATAACCGCTCGTATGCCCGTTGTCGACGGCCTGCCAGAAGCTAGCGACGACGACTCCAAGCCCGCCGATAGAAAAATGGTGAGCTCGATTGATTGGTTGCATGCTGATGTGAAAGACAACCTCCGATCACATAAGTAACGATGCCACGCCGCAGGTGGCCGCCATGCTGCAAGCACAGCGTGCTGTCGCCGACGCGCCTCTCAGCTCACCCTCCCTTGTCCCGTCTCCCACCCAACCGGTGACTCCTGACTCTGGCACCATCTCAGTGGCCGAGCTAGCTGTCCCTCTCCCAGACATCAATGTCCGCCGGACGCCTGACTCGACCGCTCCTCCCACTGGTCCCGCGAGCGCCTCTACTGGCCCTCACGAGCTCCCACCGGACTCTGCGTTCACTGCGCCAAAGTGTAAGTTGAAGCGACAGCCGACAAAACTGACCGTAGTCCGTCCCATTCCAGCGACATCCGACCACAGTGTAATAGACGCAGCCGGCCAGGGCGTCCAGGCGCAACTTGCTATGAAGATCCCGCCACCCTCCTCTGCGCCCATGTCGCGCAACGCGTCCGGCATGGGATCCGGGGAGCGCATTCAAGTTCATGCGCCCACGCCCGTCTCAGCTGTCCCTCCTCCTATCCCCGAGCCTGTGCCTACGGGTCGCCAGTCGCGCGCCCAGTCAGTCAGCAGTAACCGCGGCGAGAAGAAGGGCTTCCTCGCGAAGATGTTCAACCATGAGCCAAAGGACAAGTCGGGCGACATATCGCCCCCGCTCACCCCCGCTTCAGACTCTAGACCGCCATCGCGCAATAGTAGCATCAAGCGCAAGGATGAGCCCGCCGCCCCTTCCATACAGCGCCGCCTCTCCGAGCGCTCGGCGTCGTCTGTCGGTGGTGGGGACGGTGGTGGTTCCAAGTTCACTCTCAAGGACCTGCTCGGCGGCAACAAGGACGGCAAGCTGTCCCGCCGCCCCTCGGGTTCCGCCCGTGGGTCTGATCGCGGCTCCACAAAGGGCAGCGAGGGTGGTGACGGCAACAGCACTGCTTCTTTGCTGAAGAAGTATGGAGTCTGCGACAAGGCCGCCATTGGCAAGGGTGCCACGGCTGTCGTTCGTCTCGCACACAAGTGGGACCGCCGCGAGGAGAAGCTGTACGCTGTCAAGGAGTTCCGCAAGCGCCGCAAGAACGAGACCGAGAAGGACTATGTCAAGAAGCTCACTTCCGAGTTCTGTATCAGCTCCACGCTTCACCACATCAATATTGTTGAGACGGTTGACCTCGTTCAAGACGAGCAACAGCATTGGTGCGAGGTCATGGAGTATTGCCCTGGTGGTGACCTCTACGCCGCTATCAAGAAGGGCGGCATGTCCTCGGCCGAGGTCGAGTGCACCTTTAAGCAGATCCTTCACGGCATCCAGTACCTACACTCTATGGGTGTCGCTCACCGCGACATCAAGCCGGAGAATCTCTTGCTGGATGGCCGTGGCCACGTCAAGATCACCGACTTTGGCGTTTCCGACGTCTTCCGCATGTGTTGGGAGAAGAAGACTCATCTGTCCAAGGGATTGTGCGGCTCCGAACCCTACATTGCACCAGAGCTCTTTGAGCAGAAGGGTGAGTAATAGCGCTGACAAGCTTGGTCGCTATCACATCCGTTTCCAGGCTGACAGACAGAGTACGACGCGCGCCTTGTCGATGTTTGGGCAGCCGCTATCGTTTTCTACTGCATGCAGTTCCAAGAGCTGCCGTGGCGCGTGGCAAAGCCGACTGATCCCACCTTCTCGACCTACCTCGCACAATATTACCCGTCGGGCACGAGGCCTGAAGGCGCGCCGGCGTGCCCGCCTCCTCTCAACAATCTTATTCCTCGCGAATGTCGCCATGTGGTGAAGCACATGTTGGATCCCGACCCGAAGACGCGCTGGACCATTGACGAAGCCCTCAAGGACAAGTGGATGCAGTCGGTCAAGGTCTGCGTCGAGGGCGAGTACAGCGATCACTCGCACACCACGGTCGGCTTGGATGTTGTCCGTCTCCAATAGATTATCATTATTACTTGTGCTCTGTGTTTCGTCCGGCCTTCTACTCCTCCTCCTGTGACGAGACTGCGACTCTAGGGATATATACCATGTTGTTGCACAGTTATGAATCACGTTCGTATTAAATTGTAGAAAGGAGAGGATTTGAGTGTGGTGTTTTTTGTGGCGTGGGAGTCATCTTGCGCGAGCGGCACCCCGTGCGAGATCGCCGAGGCTGGGGCGGAGGCGCGTGAGGGGCCGCAGCCGCAAGGGGGTTGGTTGGATGGCCGCCGAACATGGAGGCCGCGGATCAGGGCCTCGGGACGCCACGTACGCCATGAAATTCCTTGTCCTCCTCCTCGTGAATGCTTCTCGCGATTCCCACAGTCACGATAGCTTGATGATTGAAGCGATTAAACCGACTTGAAGCACTCGATCCTCGAGGACGACGTCATCGGGCAGCCTGCCGACTTTGTCAGATGCCATGATCGCCATGAGAAGTGTTTCATGATCGGATCGAATGTGTCGATATGTACGCAAAGGACGTGCGGTGCGGACCGTTGGAAGACGACATACGACGTCAGACTGGGCGCAGGCGCGGCTCGGTAGCTCGGGAGGGATGGCACGGATGAGGCGCCCCCAATCAAGAGGCCAAGACGGGAGGGAATGATAAATGCCGCCGGGATAAACCATTACTCATGGTTGGATTTGTGTCATAATGACTGCATTACAAACAAGATATAGAGAACAATGGTATTGTTGGCGAGCTGGCGAGGGCATCCAGGGTATGCAGGGCAGCAATATGAGTAGGCACTGGAAATGACGAAAGTGGTGGCATTCAATCAGCACCTCGAGCAGTTAGCAACGCCATGCAACGGAGCTACTGAAGTCAGCTGGTCAGAGCAATGCGCCATACGCGCCGTGTCGCTGGGTAGCTGCTGTCCTCTACAGCTCTAGCATCTCAGAGCGTCCTGCAATTTATCTTGCCCAGTCTTTTAACACTCTAGCGATTCTTGGCCCGTGGCCAGGGAATGCAGATGGCAGATCGCGATCTGCAAGAGTGCAGTGCTTGAGCGCTCAAGGTCCCAAGCGCTGTGCTCTCCGCGCATGTGCGTCCAGTCCTGCCTCGGCCTCGTGCCTCGCAGACCGGAGCTTGCATGTCACGACGCGATTCGATCATTTTGTCCAAATGTCAATGTCGGCTGTGGCTTGCCGCATGCCGCTGGCGTGAGTCTCGTCTCGCGCCTCTGCCTGCATACCTGCTCGTTCGTTCTGAGCGTCTTCTGCCGTGCTATGCCGTGCTGCGTGCTGGCCTGCTGCCAATCTGCCAATCAGTTCTGGACCTGCCCCAAGATCACAATCCTAACCCCCACCACACGTCCCTGTCCCCGCGCCCCTCCTCTTCTTCCTTTCTTCCCCCTGGGCCCCTTGCCGTCCTACATGCCTCACACGCTATCGCTCCGACCTCGCCGACCTCGTCACCCCACGTCCTCCTCGCTTCCTTGCATCTCATCTATAACTCATCTCTCATTCTCCATTCACTCTTCCTCTCTTCCCCCCCCCCCCCCCCCCCCCCCCCCCCCCCTTCTCCACAAGCTGGCCGCCATGTCCAAGCCCCAGCTCACAAAGGAGAACCTCAACCGCGTCGCGCCAGAGCGGCGCATGTCGCAGTGTGAGGTCTTCCTCGCACTTCCCAGCTAACAGAAGCGTCGACGCCGCCCGGCTCGCGCACGCCGAGTCTGCATCAGCCTGCGATGTCGCGCCGCAGCTCGATCAGCGCCGCCGGCCCTAACCACGCTATCGACACGACGCAGATCGGTGTGCCAACTCCGCGCCGGCCCAAGGCTCACCAGCGTTCGCTCACTGGTTAGTACACTAATCCGTCCCCCTATCCACCCATCCATGACGGAGCCCGGTCACTGATTTAATACAGGCTCGTACTTCCCCACCGCTGGGATGGGCGGCAAGGTCATCGACGAGAGCCCCATTGGCGATCCCAAGGTTTGGAAGGCGGCGCTCGAGGCCAACGACGTCGACACCCAGGACACCCAGCAGGTTGCCAACACCGTCGTCCGTCATGTCACGACCACCCTCGCACGTCAAGCCGCTAATCTCGACGAGCTCGCCGCTTACCAGGCCACTGCGCTGTCGGTACGCGACCAGCTCCTCAAGCGTTGGAACGAAACGACGACATACCACACTAGAAGCGCGCCCAAGCGTGTGTACTACCTCTCCATCGAGTGGCTCATGGGTCGCTCGCTCGACAATGCCGTCCTCAACCTCGACATGCGCAACACTTACGAGACGGCGACGCAAAAGCTTGGCTTTGTGAGTCACATCTCAGCTCGGACCTGACTGACCCAAAGAACTTTGAGGATCTCTTGAACGAGGAGCGCGACGCAGGCCTCGGCAACGGTGGCCTCGGCCGCCTCGCCGCATGCTACATTGACTCGATGGCTACCCTCAACCTGCCCGGCTGGGGCTATGGCCTGCGGTACTCGTACGGCATTTTCAAGCAGCTCATCTCCAACACTGGCGAGCAACTTGAGGCGCCGGACCCGTGGCTCGACCGTGAGAATGTACGTTGCCCTAAGATGATGCATGCTCACCCCCAAGCCGTGGGAGATTGCCCGTATCGACGTCGCCTACCCCATCCGCTTCTACGGCCGTGTTGAGGCTGTGCCCAACACCGATAGAGCCGTCTGGTCCGGCGGCATGGAGTGTCTCGCCGTCGCGTACGATGTGCCCGTTCCAGGATTCGGAACCAAGTGAGCTGGAAGGAAGGCTGACAACTAACAGCAGAAACACGGCCAACCTCCGCCTCTGGGGCTCGCGTCCCATCCAGGGCTTTGACCTCAACTCGTTCAACGCGGGCAACTACGAGGCGTCCGTCCAGAGCTCGTCGGAGGCCGAAAACATCACCCGTGTCCTTTACCCCAATGACAACATGTACTCGGGCAAGGAGCTGCGTCTGAAGCAGCAGTACCTCTGGTGCTCGGCGTCGCTTCAGGACATTCTTCGCCGCTATCAGAAGCTGGATCTCCCGTGGGAGCAGCTCCCAGACTATGTCGTCATTCAGAGTGAGTCACGCCTGGGGGAGGAGCCGGGAGAAGCCGCGGGCGCGTCCATATCGGGAGAAGGAGTGCTGGAAGGGCAAAAGTGCACTTGAGCGCCTCGAGGGGTAGGGCGCGCCCTTGCTCCTGGCAACAGGTTCTCGCCTAGAGCTTGGAAGCCTGTTTAGGATCGTGAGGCATTAGCTGACTGCAGTGAACGACACGCACCCTACCATCTCCATTGTTGAACTCATGCGCATTCTTATCGACGAGGAGGAGGTGCCATACGATGTTGCCTGGAAGATCACGACCAAGGTCTTCGCTTACACCAACCACACTGTCCTGCCCGAGGCGCTCGAAAAGTGGCCCCTGCCTCTCTTCGAGAACATGCTTCCTCGCCACCTGCAGATCATCTACCGCATCAACCTCGAGTTCCTTAACGAGGTTGCCAAGCGCTTCCCGGGTGACATGGACCGCATCAAGCGCATGTCGATCATCGAGGGTAGGTGGCCTTGCGTGCTCCACTGACATGTCAGAGGGACCGACCAAGTTTGTCCGCATGGCCAACCTCGCTATTGTAGGCTCGTTCAAGGTTAACGGTGTCGCCGAGCTCCACTCGCAGCTCCTGCAGTCCACCATCTTCCGCGACTTGTGAGTTTCTCCCCTCGGCATTTCGCTTTGTGCAGAGCTCACTCTCTCTAGCGTCGAGTTCAAGGGCCGTGACAACTTCACCAACGTCACCAACGGCATCACCCCTCGCCGCTGGCTGCTCCAGTGCAACCCGAACCTCGCCGAACTTATCACTCAGACGCTCGGCTCAGACCACTGGCTAGTGAACCTCAAGCAAATTGCGCAGCTCATTCCGATGGCCGAGGACGCTGCCTTCCGCAAGAGATTCCGCGACATTAAGATGGAGAACAAGGCGCGTCTTGCCGAGCTCCTGGAGAACGAAATGGGCATCTTCGTCGACATCAACTCGATCTTCACCTGCCAGATCAAGCGTCTCCACGAGTACAAGCGTCAGACCCTCAACATCTTCGGCGTCATCTGGCGCTACCTCCAGATCAAGAAGGCGACTCCCGCGGAGCGCAAGAAGATGGTTCACCACACGACCATTTTTGCCGGCAAGGCCGCGCCAGGTTATTACATCGCAAAGCTCGTCATTCGCCTCATTGTCAACGTTGCCAAGGTCGTCAACGAGGACCCCGAGGTCGAGGATCTCCTCCGCGTGGTCTTCGTTCCCGACTACAGCGTCTCGATTGCTGAGGTTCTCATTCCTGCTGCCGACGTTTCGGTCCAGATCTCGACCGGCGGTACCGAGGCCTCAGGCACTTCGAACATGAAGCTTGGTCTCAACGGCGCCCTTCTCCTCGGTACTGTTGACGGTGCCAATATCGGTGAGGTTTGAGGATCTTGAGACCTGCTAACATCCAGAGATTGCCGAGGATGTCGGCGAGGAGAATGCGTTCCTCTTCGGTCACCTCGCGGCCGATGTCGACGCCGTCCGCTACTCGAACGCGTATCAGCCCACGCCTTTGGAGGAGCGCTCGCCCGAGCTCGCCGAGGTGTTCAAGGCCATCCAGAGCGGCATGTTCGGCGATGGGCACGTTTACGACCCCGTCCTCAAGACCGTCTATGACAACGATTACTACCTTGTCTCAAATGACTTCGGCAGCTACCTGGCCGCTGAGAAGCTCGTCGACGAGCTCTGGCAGGACCAGGAGGAGTGGACCAAGAAGTCTATCCGCACGGCGTTTGCCATGGGTGACTTCTCGTCTGACCGCTCGATCCAGGACTACGCCGACTCGATCTGGTCTCTCGAGCCTGACCCGGTTCCCGACAACTGATCTGGGTGAATGTAGATTAGATTGTCTCTCGTCTCACTACATCTGTCATTGCGCAAAGAATATGAATCACTTGCTTGTTGTGAACACTCCTTGTCAGGTTGCTTGCCGTCGAGCTCCCGCCCTCTACGTGACATGGGGTGGGGCCGCCCCGATCCGCAAAGGCCAGAGATCAAGGACAGCATCAAGTGCTGTAACGACGTCCACGGTGGCCCGCCTTATGGAGTTTTATCCTCCCAATGAAACGGTTGCTCGGCCCATGGAACTGAGCGTAATTCCAACATGACAGGCGGCATCGCTGGATCACACGAGCCTGCATACCCAACTCTTCAGAGCCTTGCGTCCTCTACTCCAACTCGCCCAACCTTCTCCATGCCTTGGGGAAGGATGTAACCGCCCTGCCTGCGAGCTTCGTCGAAGATCTCGAGCGTTTCGCTGGTGTACTTGTGCGATACGAGCTCATTCTCAATCCGCCCGTCACGAATATCTCGCGCCACCACGTCCGCCTCAAAGTACAGTCCAGTGCCGGGGAACGAATACTCAAACATCTGTGGCTCACCCCACTTGCCCGGCGTTTGAGGGGTCTGACCGGGCGTGTATTTTGTCACGCTAAATTTGGTGATGCGGCACAGAACATCGTGGATGACGACCTCACCATCGGTCCCACTAATTGTGGCCGTGTGCTCGCGCGGCATACGCGCATTAAAGCTCAGGTTGCAGACGGCACGAGCCCCGAGATTGGCGTAATCGAGAATGAGGGTTGTGTCGAGATCGGTACCCATACGCGTTTTGCTCATTGCACAAGTCACTTTGGGCGCGGCACCCTTGTTCGCCGGATTGTCGGTGAGAGCCACACGCGCCGGTACCATGCCGTATGCCCCGATGTCTAAGAGAGGCCCGCCGGCCGCTGCGAGTCCTATGATCCTGTGATCGTCGGGCAAGACGTTGTAGTTCGGCACGGAAAAGTTGGAGCTCACGGCCTGTATGTCGCCGATGACTTTCTCTTCGTGTAGCTTGGCACGTAGAGCAACAACTGCGGGCTGAAATGCGGTCCAAAACGCCTCCATCAAGAACAGCTGCTTCTCCGTCGCTAGAGCGACGAGCTCCTGCCACTCGGCAGCATTGAGCGTCGCAGGCTTCTCAACGAGCACGTGCTTGCCCGCGTTCAAAGCACCCTTGACATCTTCATAGTGCGTTGGATGCAGTGTGCCGATGTAGACGATGTCGACATCCTGGCGTCAACGCGAACGGGCCGGAGAAGGATACAGGCGCGAGGCGCGTGGAGTCTTTCGCCTGGACACCTCTGACCCAAGCCATCGTTGTCAGACATACCTTCCTCGCGAACAGGTCCGCGTACCCGCCAACGGCCACAGGCGGGGGCCGCAGCCCCTGCTGCTGTGCAGTCGCACCCTTCGCCAGGTGTTTCTCAATGAAAGCAGCTGCGCGAGCCTTGTCGCGGGCGCCCACCGCCGCAACGCTGTGGAGTACATCCTTTACCTCTGGACGGGGGAGGGCGAGGTCTGCCACAAACATGGACGAGATCCAGCCTGCACCGATGATGCTGGTGTCAGTTGGCGCCGGGACAGGTAAGGGAAGCTGTGACACACCCCCAGGAGGCAATGAACGGTGCCATAGTGCCTGCGAACGAATGGAAAGGTGAAGACCAAAATACTGAGCGACGAGAATCGAGTAAGAAGAGGGAACTTTAAACAGTAAGCGGCATCGAGCAGCTACGTTGGGGATATTGATCATATGAGCGCATGAGGCCGCGATATTGGCAGCACACCTTGTTGAACTGTTCATCTCCACCTCCCCACATCGGTGCATTCCGCTGTCGGCCCGAAGTTTTGCCGTAACTTATGAGGCCGCGTGTGAGCGCCGCTCTCACATGCTCCATCTAGCGGAAATAACTGACATGGTTGCGCTTGCGGGCACTGGACGTAAACAAAGGCTACAGATTGTCGAGTCTAGCGTAATCAAATCATGATGTAAGATATCAAGAGACACATTGATTGGGATTGATAGGCCGCATCAAAGCTGCAGGTCCACCCGCCTAGTGTCTACCACGCCTGGTAGTGCCAGGCCAGTGTCAGAACATGGCACTACACCCTCTCGTCCTTCTCGTGGATCATCTCCGCAACTTCTGCCTTACGATCTTGCCGGGCGTTCGCCATACTAAGGAATACCTGGAGTTAACTTTGCGCTGCTATCACCACCCACTGTCCACAAAATGCCTGCACATTGCTGAGCTGGAAGACGGTAGGGCAGCGGGATGATGCCAAAGTTGACGGCCTGGAACGCGGGCCACACGGTCCAGTTGGTCTTCAGCGCCATCATGTACACGTCGTCAAACTTCGTCTTAATCTCAGGCACGCTTTTGCCTTCGAGCACGCCGATGACGGAGAGAAATGTTGCAAGCTGATGTCAGGCCCAACCGTGTCACTCCTTTGAACGTACGCCGACGGGCGCGCTGCGGTCAGAGGACGTCCAGCCAAGAGATGGCAGAGCAGGAAGCCCGCGCACTCACAACAACACTTGGTCCGCAAGCACCCGCTTCGCCACCGCCGGCACAGGACTGCCAGCCTTGGGGAAAGGAAAGATGCGGTCGAGCGCCATGAGCCATTTGCCTGTCGTCAGCGGCGCAGGCGCCCGTCACTCACCTAAAAACGGCCCCATCGCGAATCCAAACACCGCGAACCGCGCAGTCCGTGCAGGATCCCATGGGTCACACCGCCCATGCTGCTTGTAAGAAATACCGGCGTTCACACCTTGGGCCTGTTGTCAACACATGGTATGAAGAGGTGGAAGTCCGCAGAGTTGGATGACGAAAAAAGTTTCCGTCTAGCTGCATGCATCTTGCGGTCCGATAGACACTTGGCCAGACGGATAGTCCGACAACGCTGACGCTCTGCGTGTACGTGTGCATGGGCGTAGCGTCCAATGAATCCACTTACAATGAGGTCTCCCGTGGTCTGCAGTGTCCCATTCGCCAGGACGAGCGTGCGCATTGGATATACTTCGTAGCTGTGTGCGTAGAACGCATTGAAGCGCGATATGAGCGCTAAGGTGAGCGGTCACAGATAGTAATGGAGGAGGGGAGGGCATCTTCTCCTCGCCCATTGCCGAGGCCGCATGAGTGTTGAACATGCGCGCAAAGAGAGGGGGTCGTTCCATCGTGCAGACGCGAGCATGATCTCGACGTTGCACTCACCTGCGACCATGTTTCGAACGTGTTGAGTTAAGAAGATGTAGTCGTGACTTTTCCTCAGTAGGGGTTAGGATCGGCGACTCATCTTTGCTCGGCGCTGGGTGCGGCGGCGACAAGTTTAGAGTGACGTCAGGGGCGGTCTGATCCGCCACCCTCTCAACTCCACCTCGCTGGTGTTATCAACCCAGGCACAAAGCGAGCTCAAAGTAATTATATACCCATTGAAACAATACATAGCGAACATGCTGGCGGCAGTGGAAACAGCCGGTCGCCTGTTGAGGGTAGGATACAGTGGGGCACACAGATCGAATACCTGTGGGTGCTACTCGGTGAATGAGCTCCCACAGGACTAGGCGACAGCAATACTGAGTGAAAATAGGAAAGGGGAGGAAATGCGAGTGATCTCGCCGCCATTTACAGCGCCTTCTCGGACGCGCGCCTCTGGAAGTGGGCCTCGGATTGGCGCCTCACGGCAACTTCGACGTCCTGCACCTCCTCCTTGGGGGGGCCGGTGTAGTTCTTGCGGCCCCAGACAAAGTACCAGATTGAGGCGATGCCGACGAATGCCACGAAGACAACAGGCGCGTAGTTAACACTGGCGGGCGTGACTGGCAATACCGCTGGCATGCAGAACAGGGGCAGGGCAAGGAGAGACCAAGCTGATGTCAACGACCTGTCGGCACGGAGCTACTCACCAACAGCAATCGTGTTCACGATCCAGCCGAACTTGCCGAGAGGAAACTTGGCTGCGGCCGTGACCTGGCGACGCTTCTCGAGCATGGATACGAAGATGGGGGTGGCGTACGAAGCTGTGAGGGCAATGACTCCGACGCCCGAGAAGGCGTTGAAAGCCTGGGGCGACCCAAAGTAGATGACACCGAGGATAATCTGGACGGCCATTGAGAGCATCATCGCATTGAGGGGAACGTCCAGCTTGGTGTTGACCTTGCTCCATAGCTTGGAGCCAGGGATAGCACCGTCACGAGAGAACGCCCACGTGCAGCGTGAAGCAGCAGTGGTGCAGGCGGTGCCACAGAGGAGGCCAAGAATCATGATTGGCATGAGAAGAAGGAAAGCGCCAACAGATGAGCCGACGGCAGACTTGATGATGGTCGGGACAGGTTGGCCCGAGGCGAGGCTGACCAACTCTGTCAGGTCCGGAAGGACGAACATGAGGGGGACGAGGAAGAGGAGACCGCCGAACGTGTTAAGACAGATGGTGAGGACCATGGCCTTGGGAACCTGGGTGGCAGGAGCCTGTACCTCTTCACACATGCTAAGAAGCATGCCGGTCGACGACGTCGCGTACGCTGCGTGGAGGAGACCAACGCAGTAAGACCACCCGGCGGGCCAGCCCGACGAGGGCTCGAAACCGCCCAGTGCGAACGATGCGGGGCGGCGGCCGTTCTTTGCGACGGAAAGGATCGTCACGCAAATGCAGATCAGCGCGAGGAAAGTCCAGGCGATAGCAAAAGTCTGTGCGCATTCAGCTCAGGATCGGCAAGGTTACTCACGTCAAGGTATGGGAGCCACCGGTTGCAAGTAGCCGAAATAATGTTGCACAGAACGGTGATGGCAACAAAGACGAGGAAGATTTCGTACGTTTCGGCTTCCCAGATGCCCACACCAGGCTCCTTCTCAAAGACGTTGATGCACGCAACATAGAAGAGGGTCGTTCCGAACTGGACGGCGAGCGTGATTGTAATGTTGCCGACAACATATGCCCAGCCGCAGATGTAGGCCGCAACGCGCTTGATGCCATGCGGGGCGAGCATGAAGGTCTGATAGTAGACACCGCCAGCTGTGGGATACACCGAGGTAATTTCACCGAGGGAAGCGGCGACGCACAGAATAATCAACGAGACAAGGACCCAGCCCCAAACGACGACAGCGGGGCCGCCGCCTTGGAGTGGGTAGTAGAGAGTGGTGGCGAGACCGTAAGGAATAGACGCAAGAACGAAAGACATGAAGGCGGCCTGAAGCGTTGAGCGTGAGCGTACCAGCTCGGGTTTGTAGCCCATCTTGGCGAGGAGGTCATCGGCAGAGTCGACGGCCGTGCGCTCCGACAGGGAGGCAGTCGCGTAGGCGGCATCATGGCTGATGCTGCCGTCGCGATTGTGGATAGAGGAGACCATGATTGAAGTGGACAGCTGCTTGGGGGAAAATCCATCATCGCGCGACCAGCCTGAGCTTATGTGGAGAGAGACGGACACAAGCAGTTCGTAGGGCCAGGTGTTTAGATAGTGCTATCTTATTGGATAACGGCACAACACCCACATGAAACGGGGGCACATTGGGAACCAAGATCCTCGTCTACCAGGTTTTTCCTCGGCACTCCTCCATTTCCCCTGTACAGCTGTGCTCCGCGCTCCCCACTGCAGATGGGAGGGCAGTGTCGGAGTGCATGACTGACCGTCCTCGTTTCGATCACGCTCCGACAACCCGACAACCGGTTCTGAGAGTCCAAGCTTCAGCCACCCCGGTGGCGCCCCTCCTGGCTCACAGCAAACAGGCCTTCGGCTTGGCGTCTGCAGATGTTCCTGAATCAGTTATCTCTACAATCTATAAACCCACAACCAAGTGGGCTGAGAACACAAGGAGTGTACATTTATTGCATTTGCTCACACGAGGGCATAAAATATCATGGGTGGTGACAACAAAGGCCTCCATTGACCACAGGGGGGGCGGTTGCCAAGACGCTGGTGTCTGCGCATAATGCCTCCGAGTGCCCACAGACGTCCATGTGTTGGGCGATACGTGCAGACAGAGGCACACCTTTCGTGTCCCGCCAGGGACCATCTTGCAGATATTAAGGGCTTCGGAGATTTCGATAGCCCTCCCAAGCCTCCTCGTCACAGGCGCCACCCCGTTTTCTGTTCAAACTCTCCTGTGCTGAGACAAAACCTGGCATCTACCGCAGATAAATGTAAACGAGAGCATGATGATGTGTACCCCGTCCAGATGCGAGATGCGGATCTCTTGACGGGCAGATCAGGCAAGATGGCGAGAATGCGGAGCGAGAGCCGCATTTAGCTGTGTCGATCGAGAGCGTTGAAGGCACATGACCTATGATCCGAGGCCCGGCGCCCAGCAGCCAGCGAGCGGAGAGTGACGTCGCATGCACTTGCGAGTGTGCGAACAAGCCGTGAGCTGCGCGGGGTGGCGCCAGCCAGTTCGCAAGCAATCAGGGAGCGGCGGGGGCCGATGGTTCTGTCGTCGGCGCGTCTCGGCATTTCCAGTCTCCGGTCACACCAACGACCTTGACCGGTCAACTCAGTCACGAGGCCCTGCAACTGCACAATTACCCCTGGGCCGTTGTGCTCAGCTAACGACCTCGCGCGTCTACGTCATTTGGATTGCAAGCAGTCAGTCGCGATAGGACGCATAGGGTGACAAGGAATGCAGGACATGCCAAGTATTTTGGTACACCTCTTTGATGTCGTATCGGCCGCCGATCGTACCCGGGGACACGCGACTTTGACCCCGCACCTTCAGATATCAACGTGAGAGCCACGTGGATTGTCCTCCACTCTTTTCGGCATCATTGTTGACTGCCTTGCATGGGCTCTCTCCTCCATCCTCCTACGTTACCCAGCTAATAGTTGTTCAGGTCATTGCCCGGCCGGCCGACCACGTCTGTATCCAAGAGCCGCCAGTCATGTCGAAGAAGATTGATTTATCCCTCTTCCGTGGTGACGATTCTGACGATGAGATTGGTCTCTTACCTCTGAAGGTCAGTCGGACGTCACACTTCATTTCTCGATCACCCGATATCACAGAAGATCACTTGCTCATGGCAGCGCAACCCAGTCGAACTTGATCCGCTCAAGTCTCGAACTTTTGCGCACGGAGTGACGAAGAAAACGAAAAAGGATCTTGAGAGGGAAGAAGAGGAGAGAAAGCGTGCGGAAGAGGAGGCGTTCGTCCGTGAACATGTGCCCTGCTGATCTCAGCGCAACGCAAAGAGCTCTTGCAGAGTTCTCAAGAACATTTGATGGGCCAAGTACAGGACCGTCGCAGGGCCATCCTGGAACAAGGAGTGGTGCCCGGCGTACCTTTGTACGCGCAGGGGAAAGTGCGGATGAACGCCAGCTACGGCTGACTCCAGCTGTAGCATCTGCACCCATGTCTGCTTCAGCGGATCCGCGAGTCGCTAGACCCTCCATTGACCGCGAACGGGAACGGGTATGTGCTAAGGTCGTGGATGGCGCGGATTGACAACAGACTGCTGAACAGTTCCGTCTCCCCTCTCCACCTCCTGCACCGAAGCCTCGCGGGAAGCGAGCAATGGATGCCTTCTTGGAGGAGATCAAGAGGTACTGACCAATCGCTTTGTTGAGGCTGATCATTCCAGCAACCAGGAAGCGAGGGACGCCCGATACGGGCGGATGGCACAATGTAAGGGCACATTCATCGCGTAGTTGACTCGCAGCTGAAGGAACATCCGTCACAGCATTGGCAGGTATGTCGTAGAGATGGCCAGTCGCAGATTGTGGACAGCAGCATACTGAGATTTTCAGCGTACGACCGCGGCAGGCAAGTACTTCAAGAGGTAAGGCAAAGAGCAAGCGTCGCTGACAGCACAGACAACGAATCTCTGCGTCGTGAGTGCGAATCCGGGAAGCGAGCTCACACTTCAAGAGTAACTTGCCGAGCAGCGTCCATGAACGGGAGCTGGGCCTATTGTTTGCGCAGATGGGACCTGTTGCGACCATCAAAATCATGTGGCGTAAGAACCGTTTGAAATCCTATGCTGACCGCCAGCGAGGGCCGGTTCGGACACTCAGCCAACAGATCGCTTCAAGCCTGGTCTGACAGGGTTTGTCGCGTTCATGGCGCGCAAAGATGCTGCCGGCGCTCTCGCCCGCTTTGATGGATACTCGTTGAACGGCAACCGTCTTCGAGTTACCTGGGCAAAGCCAGTGCAGTTGCCTCGCCACCCCGCGTATGGTGAGCTCAACCAAGCCAATGCACGCGCTCCTCGCCTAGACTCATCCGGCTCTCGTGATGGGCGATCGGGACGCTCATCTCGCGGACGAAGCCAATCCCCGGCGGGAGAGCAACAGACGGCCATAACTGCGGATTTCAAGCGTCAACACTGGGTCGACCAGGTCAGCGCTGACGAGCTCAAATTCGTCGAGGAAGTTTCCAAGAGGATACGTGACATCGGGCCTGGATTGCTGGATACGCTCAAAGACAGGGAGCAAGATAACCCCAAGTTTCAGTTCTTGTTCGATCAAGAGGTAGGTCTGCATTCAGTCACGACTGACTGTGCAGAGTGCAGTGTATCATGTTTTCCAGCACCTCTTGGACGCTCAATACGAATTCCCAGACCCTCCTCCCCCCTCTTTCAAGGAAGACGTGCGCCGTGATTTAGATGATGCTGACCGCAGGGGTATGCTTCAGCTTACTCGTCAGATTCAGACGAACGGGAAGAGATTGCATCGACCAGTAAGGTCAGCCTTGGGGTGCTCGCAAAGCGGCGTTTGGAAGCAATGCTGCGCGTCATGAGCGGCAAGCGAGTGGAGATTGCTCGGGCCATGGAGTTCTCTCTCAAGCGCGCGGATGCTTACGAAGCGGTGAGCAGTCTAGCTTTGCGCTAGCTGATGGTTCAGGTTACCGAAATTATCTGCCTCAGCCTTTGCGTGGAAGCAACGCCCATCCCCCGCAAGATCGCAAGGCTGCACCTTGTGTCGGATATCCTCCACAACTCGGTGAGGCGATAGGCTCGCTCAACTGACACTGAAGTCATCCTCGCTTCCCAATGTGTGGCGATATCGACAGTCGTTTGAACGCCGTCTTCCCGCCGTATTCGAGCACTTCGCGATCATACACTCCCGCCTTAGGGAGTACTCGAGCACAATGTCCGCCAACGTGTTCATTCAGCAGGTGGACGCAGTCTTGGATATCTGGGAGGGATGGTGAGTCGAGGCGTGGCCAAGGACTGAGCTGACAAGTTAGGATGGTTCTCACCGCCGAGATTCAAAACCGACTGCGCAAGCTGCTGCATGGCGAGTGCACACTCGCCTCTCTCGCCGAACCGCAGGCTCTCAACGAGTCAGAGCCAGAGCCTAAGCCCATCGTCAAATCGGCAGGATTCAAGTCGTCGTTCAAACGGGTTGATCCGCTCGCAGCAACAGCGGCGCCTCACGTCTCGGTAGCAACAAGCGTCACGGAGGATTTGGATGGCGAGCCCGTCGAAGATCTCGACGGGGAGGAGCTGGACGGAGAGCCGATCGACTTCCAGGATGGAGGATCGGGTGAGCCTTTCGAGGACGTCGATGGGGAACCTGTGGACGTTGATGATGTCACTACCGTAAGCATCGGCACAGCGCTCGACGGAGAGGACGGAGAGGACGGAGAGGACATGGAAATCGATATAGACGACGAGTAGGTCAACTGCAGACTGCTTGCAGCGCATATAGGGCATCATCCGTCATGGGATGTATATAGTATACAGCTATGAACTACTGTGTCATCTTCAGGTCGACTACCCCGCTCCACATCCTGTCGTTGATCTTGACGGCTTTATCAAGGGCTCCCTTGAGCCTGCGGATCTCGTCCTGGAGCGCTGCCACGTCGGCTTGCTGACCGGAGGGTGCGGATCTTGCTGAGCCGTGGGGGGGAGGCTGAAGTGGCACTGCGCGTACGGTATTGAGCAAATTCGTGCGGTTGTTTGGCCGCAGAAGTACCCCTGCATCCTGGGCGTCCTTGGCTCCTCGATTGGTGCGCATGCGCTCCAGATTCCGCACATCCATTACTGCCCAGTCGTCTGCGCGGACAGATTTGCCAATAAGGTCGGCAGGGCTGGGGAGGGTCGACAAGTGGGAAATTGCGCCGCGATGCGCCGAGATTGTGCGGATATGCTGGTGCGAAGGAAGCGAATGGACGTGGATGTCGCCAGCAGAGGTTCCCACCAACAAGTGCGTCGCGCTGAGGGAGAGGCTCAAACAGGTAATCGCAGCGTCAACGTGGACACAGGGGGTCTCGACGGTGACAGGGGGCGCACCGGCACCATCTCCACCAACGGCCTCAACCCTACCCATCTGCGCCTTTCGCTTGTACAGCGGGATGATGTAGACGTCGCCTGCCCTGGTACCAGCGTAGAGGAAGCGCTCTGCCGGGTCAACCGCCAATGTCGTTGGGACAGCAGACGCGGGCAGGACAAAAGTCGCGAGTAGGTCGAATGGCGCGGCGAAGGACCACATCTTGACTGTACCATCCTCGGACGCAGTCCAACACCGCCCACCAGTTACCCCGGCTGTCTTGCCAAGCGCCACCGCGGTAATGGTGAGCGTGTGATCACCTAAGCTTCCAAGAGGCTTGCTGTGCGGTGAAGACGAGCTCTCAGTGTCGATGAGCTGGGACACAAGGAAGATGTGCACCGACCCATCCGCGGAGGCAGTGACGAGGTACGCCGAATCGCTACTGTAATGGACGCTCGTCACGGCGCGATAGTGCGCGCTCCAAGACGCGAGTAGCAAACCCGACGCAATCTGGGGTAAGAACAGCTCGTGCCTGTGACATTACCTCCCACAAGTACACTTGACCGTTTGGGGACCCGCCAGCGACCCAGACACCGTTAGGTGAGATGCTAAGACATGACAGCCGCTCGGGCAAGTGGCACTTGAGATGTTGCTGGTCCTTCTGCCAGGCCCACACTCCGACGATTGCTTTGCCCTCCTGCACAGCCCAGACGGTGCCGCCCAGGCCGTTGCGGCTGGGAACATATGCGAGACAGTTCTTTTCGTTACTCGAAGTCTTGAAGGCCTGAACGTGGGCTGTGGTGGCGAGATCGTGCAGCTGGATGGAAGGGGTGAAGGTCGTACGAGCTGAGGTTTGTGGAAGCCCAGTCGCTGAGCTGGCTGAGAGAATCAGCTCTTGGAGTGTCATGGCGGGTGGGTGGCGTTGTTGTTGAGTTGCAAGTCGGCCTTTGATAGCAGACTTTTGTGGGTCACGTGATTTACATTTGCGTTGGACAGCCTCCACCAATGCCAGGGCGGACGCACGGAAAGCATTCTATTCTGAACCAGCGTTCACACACCCGGCCTCGAACAAGCTACGGCTACGAAGAAGAAGGTGAATGTCAGACATCCGAGTAGTATGGTAGCACTGTCTCAGCCTCAGCTATCCGCCCGCCCCTCCGACTACTGACGGCCGCGTACTGGGGCATCCGAAATCCGGTAGATTGTTGCATCCATTTTGTGCGGCACAGATCTATTGTGCTCGAGGCGGGGAGGCATCGGTGTCCTCCCACTCTAGTCCTAAGGCTGCTTAGGCGAGCTTCTTGAAGAGCTTGGGGGCGGCGCAGGCCTGCAAAGGTTAGCGTCACATGACGAGAAGACGTGCCGACGCCGCGGTGGACGTCGGACGTTGTACTCACGTCGACGCAGTGCATCACGTGGAACAGCTCCTCAACGCAGTCCTCACCCTCCCAGCCCTTACCGGCCTCGATCTGGAAACTCAGTCAGTTGTTATTCTGCATCGGCCACCGGATAAACACACCTTGTCGGCGCAGTGCTTGAAGTGCTTCGCGGCGTCCTGGCACTCGTTGGCCTCGCAGTCCTCACGGATAGCGGGTGCTTGCTTCATGTCAGCGTTGGGACCTTCAGCGCAGCGGCTCAAGGCATGGCGCGCCCCGCATTCACTGGTCGTGAACACTTTGGACCGCGCGCGTGCCACTCGCTGACGCAATGCCGCTGTCGGTCGGGTTAACGGGGCTGACTTACGTCCTCGGGCTCTTCCTCGTCCTCCTCATCCTCGTCCTCCTCGGCGTCCTCAGCGGACTCCTCCTCGACGTCGTCGGCGGGGGCCTCCTGCTCCTCCTCCTCAGGTGCCTCGGCGTGCGCCCTGTGGGTCAGCGGTGATGGGGGCATGTGCGGCTCTTGGCGCGCAACGTACGTGGGGAGGAAGAAGGAGGTGAGGGTGGAGAAGAGGGAAGTCGACGTCTCCTCGATGGCCATGGTGAACAAGTGTCGTTGAAGCGATGGAAGTAGGTGCTAGCGACTTGTTGCATCAACTAGCCTGGCATTGGCCAAGGCCAGGGTGGTGGACCCCGGACATGGCTGGGCGGGCGAATGCGGAGCCGGGATCAAGCGGCATTATTCTCGGTGGCACTTGTGAAGTGCGAGGCAGGTCCGTCATGCACACCGCACACACACATCTAGCACCGCGTCACCTCGCCTGCATGCGCCTGACTCTCATGTTCTCAAGCTTCCGCGATTCAGCCCCTCGGCGCCCCGAACGGCAAGGGCGCTTCGTGTTGCCACTTGAGGGGTATATAATGCTGATATTCTGTGAGGATGAATCAATACACTCAAACAGTCCATTCCCTGCCTCAGCCAACAACTCCGGTGGAGGTATCCATTATTATTGTCGTCTCTCTCGCTCGATCGCTCGCTCTTGTCGACTCGAACGACTCTCCGCAGCATGTCCAACCAGAAATCCAGCAACACTCTCTACGCCGTCGCGGACTGTGAGTGCCGCTGAGCGCCGGTCGATTGATGCCAGTCTGCCTCATTCCCATGGGGCTGCCCACCCCGTCTGTTGGTCCGCAGATCGCTGAGTGTCAGCGCGTGCTTGAGAAGAGCGGCCTGGAATACAGGGTGGGTGGCATCTTCTGCACCGATCGCTGACCTCGTGTAGCTTCAGTGAGGTGTACTGGATGGATGGATCACTGACCTCAGCGGCTACGGAACGAACGTCGAGGGCCCGTGGGATAAGGTAATGGAGGTAAGTTGGCCGCACGGGTTGCAGTGCTGATGGGCAGGCTATCGGAGCGTGTCATGAGGCTGTGCACAAGATGGGCACCCCTCGTATTGCGGTACGCCAAACGGACTGCTCACCGTTGACCTCAGACCGACATTCGCATTGGTACGCGTACAGACCGTGAGATCTCCAGCGGTGGCAACGACCACAAGAAGGCGCGCGTGGAGGAGATTCTCGCCAAGAAGGAGTGATGGTGTCATAGCGGTTTATGTACATGTATGCACTGTTCACTCTCAGGCTCCCTCTCAATCTTCTGACTCTGCAATCCATTCGGCGAACTTGTCCAGCCGTTCTTGCTCCTCTAGATCTTCTCCAAATGAGAGGCCGCCAGACTTGCGGAATCTCTCCTTGCCAGAAAAGATAGCGGCAGACACCTTCAGTCAGTTGTCTGTCCATTGGTCGGCTTTCTAACTCACCCTCTGCCCGCCGAAGTACCGACCGTCCATCTTCTTAACGCATGCCTGAGCTGCGACAGGGTCCTTGAACTTGACTGTCATCACCCCTTCCTCCTCCTTCTGCAGCGTTAAGGTGCCCGGAAATTGAGTTCGCAACAGCGCCCACTCACGTCGTAAAGAACAACACTCGTGACAGCCCCGAGTGTCTCGGCCTCTTCACGAACGTCCTCTTTCAACTCCAGGATGAGTTCTGGTTCCTCCTCCAATTCCCTCAGCTTGAACATGCCCTTGAGCACCACAACGCGACCGAGCTGGGATGAAATGTTGCTGGAAGCCCTGGCTCCGTCGTCGTCGTCGTCAGAGTGCCAGGTGAGCTTGCTGAAGAATCAGCCGTCCCCTCGAGTGACAGACTTACCTCTCAAGTTGGCGCATTCGTCGCTTCATGCGGCTCTTCTCTTCCGCCGTCAATGGCTTTTTCTGTGGAGGCTGGTGTGTAGCCTTCTGGGCCGGCTCTGGATTTGCTTCAGATGTTTCGCTTCGATCATATTCTGCGACGCGGACACGCATGTTACCGTACCCCGCTCCCAGCTCCAACTCAGTGTCGTCAAGTAATGTGATAGCCAAGTCGACGCTTCCCTCTTTAAAATACATGACCAAAGCATCGCCCTTGAACTTGCCATCGTCGTCATAGTAGAGCTTTATGCGGGGCTTGCCTTGATCATCGACGTGAAGCACTCCAGCCTTGCTGAATACCGATTGAAGGAGGTCGACGGTAGTATTGGGAGGGAGGTTACTGACCCAGACCGCAGTCTTCTTGGATTTGGGACCGGTCATCTGTACTTTGGCTGGCCTAGCCTCCCGGTTGTTTTCCTTGTCTCCCGCCTTGCGCTTCTTGATCTTTTCCTCTCGTGCTAATACGGGGGCTGCGGGCACCTGCTCAACAGTTAGTTTGTGACTTGGCCGTGATCAAATGACTTTCATTTTCGTCCACACCCGCAACAGCGTAGGCTGACTGCTGCGCTTTGATAAGGTCATCGTCCAGCTACCACCCCGAGTTAGCAAGGCATGAGTGACACGGCGTACGCCGCAGCGCTTCTCACGAGAGCTATCCAAGTCTTCCCAGTCCATTCATATTCTTGACCGGTCTGTTCGTCTTCGTACTGCCACTTGCCGGTGATTTTGTCGACATGGGCACGCGGATCTTGCTCAAACTTGCCCCAGATTGGTGGCGGAGCAGACATTATGCGAGAGAATGAGACAGTAAGGGGACGCAATAATCAACAACGTCGATGGCGATAGGGAGAGAGAGAGTGTGCAGACATATGTTGTCTGTCACCAGTGACGTCTTGGATCATCAACGGGGGCAGGTTTATCAACAAATAGGAAGCCTTTCAATGCCGCGTCATAATCAAGGAGGCTGTGCTCCCTGTGCTGTGAAGCCAACCCTGACAGCTGGGATCAGCGTCTCAAGCTCTCAAGCCTCAGATCCTCAGATCTTCGGATCGAAGAGGATCAGAGGTGGAGAGCCTTCTACTATATCACAGCGATCACAGCCTCCTCTCAGCACGCGCGCTCGCAATCTCTCCAACTCCGGTGTTGACAGTTCTCGGCTCGACGGCTCAGCGGCTCCTGGCCGTTCGCGATTTGGCCCCACTTTGGCCACATCCAATCAACATTTCCCCATTCCCCAGGCGCGTCTTTGGCTCTGGCACAGCAGGCGCAGTGGCGCGCGTGTCCGGATCTCCCACATCCCGCGACGCCTTCCAGCACACCCAACAACACCCCTCTTAAACCTTTCCATCCACAACGATCCTAATCTCTCCCACGCTCATTCTACTCGTCACTCCCGCATCGACTTACATTCAGCATGGCCGCTGTCCCTGACTCTGAACTGCTCTTCTCGCGCTCCTACATTCCTGCCGCCGTGCAGGCCCGTGTAGGGTCGGACATCGAGGTGGGTCGTCAGTCATGCGGCGCTTTGGCCGGACACCGTTGACCCGATAAGATTCGCCCTCTGGCCCAGTCAGATAACGCCCGAGGCCATTTCGATCTGTTGACGGTCCTCACCGAAGCTCCACAAGTCAGCGCCGAGCGCTACGTGGAGCGCTTCCAGTCTATGAAGGCATGCAAGGACACTTACTTTACCGTTGCGTTCATTCACAAGCCCACGGACAAGGTTTGTCCAACACTTCTCATATACCATTCTGATCAATATTAGCTCGTTGCTGTGGGCACTGTCTTCATCGAGCGCAAGTTCCTGCGCGGGACCGGTATTGTCGGCCACATTGAGGACATTGCCGTCTCCAAGTCCATGCAGGGGCGCAAGCTGGGTCTTCACCTTATCAACACACTCGAGGAAATCGCTCGCTCATGCGGCTGTTACAAAGTCATCCTCGACTGCAGCAAGGACAATATTCGTACGCATAGCATGCACAAGAAGGTACTGACCCTTCCTAGCCTTCTATGAGAAGTGTGGCTTCAAGCACAAGGAGTACGAGATGGCAATGTACCTCAACAACAGCACTCGGGTCCCCAACGCGCGGATGTGAAACATTCATTGCTCTCCTAACACGGTCGCTCTCTTCAAGGTTGTACAATGCTGCGCGCCTCGTTCGATTGAATTGCAGTATCCATACCCTCCATTCACGAGTCACTGGTATGCAGTCTGCCCATGTCATCGTCGCCGTCCGAAGGCTCCCGGCCATGACCGCGCAATGAAGTACACAAAAACTTTGCTTCACCGTGCAGTTGTCTCATAGCCTCACAGCTCTGAAAGTCATGTTTTCCAAGGTCTTTCGCCGTCTGGGCATATATACAAAAACGATCGCAAGCAGTTGGTCAAGAAGCAGCTGCATCATGGGAGCCTGAGCATGTCGTGCGGTTCCCATTTGCTAAACCCTATGACGACTGATGGTGCCATGTTCTCTAGCCTCACCCTTATCAGTAGACCGTTCGATCATTCCATTTAGTGGTTGCTAGCATCTCTCCTTCCCGTCGGCGTCACCGTTCTTAGAATTCCAATGCCTCGCTCAGAGCCATGTATGCTCTGTGATGGCTCCCATACTACAGGTTTGACGAGTGCAGACAATGGCAGTATCGTCCCCTTCTGGCCGCCTCGATGAGTGTCTCCTACCGCACAACCTTTGGGCCGGCTAACTGCGACATGGCGCCTTGAACAAACTTCTCGATTCGATAAATGTCGTTCTCCGACAGGCCGTGCTCATCGCCAAACGCGTACGCGAGTGTGGCGGGGTCGTCTGCTTGTCAACTCTGTCCGAAGATAGCGAATACCACCTGGCCGAACCACAAGATGAAGCGGGGGATGTTCCTCACTAGAATCAGCTTGGCTCTCCGTGCTCCGGCTGACGCTATGTCGATTTCAATTACGACTTGGTCAACACCGCCTACTGTCTTGTTATCCTGGACGTCCGCATTTTCAAAAGCAGATGCAGGACCTCTCTTTTCTTGGCCGCATGGTGCTGACTGCTGCCACACCCGGACAATCCCATCCGATCCACCCGTGACCACCAAGCCGTTGTGCGTAGAGGTCACTGACCACACGCTGGTGCAAGGATGCGACAAGACTGCTATCTGCTCGCCACATTCGTCCCAAACACGCTGAGACGTTAGACGTTTAGAGAGAGGGATAGCGGTCATTTCGTGACGCCTACCGCAGTCTTGTCCTCGCCACAGGAGATCATACCGCGCCGCATGGCAATAACCTGATAGATGTAATCCTTGTGACCGGACAACGATGCGATGACTTCCCCAGTGTTGCTCCATATTCGGATGATGCTGGGATGAGCCAGTTGAAATGAATCTCACCTATCGTTGGATGCGCTAGCCAATTCGCCCGTCGAGAGTAGTGAGATGCTTCGAACTGGCTCGGGGCAGCACTTGAATCGCTGTACAGCTTCTCCCCCTGCGTTCCACAACCGTATCTCTCCATCGGCTTGGGATGAGCGGGAAGCAATATCACTCCTTACCACTAGCAGTGATACAGGCAATACCTTGCCATGACAAACCGGACACGATTTTGACATCCCACACTGCTTGCTGATGTCCTTCCAGCACCTGATGGCACCTCCAATCGTCGCGCTCGCACTTCCAGATGCGAGCTGTGCAATCCCAGCTGGAGCTAGCCAGCAGCTTGTGCAAGTCACAGTAGTGCAACGCACAGACGTTGTGGGTATGTCCTATCAAGCTCGTCGTTGGTTCATCAAGTAAAGTGTCAAGTGAATGGATCAGGATCATGGTCGAATTGCCTCCCGAGGCCAGCCAGCCACCCGACTCTCCGTCCTTCGATGGGATGTGGGCAAGACTGTTGACGTACGCTTCGTGGCCTCGGAATTCCGCTTCGAAGGCATATGGCGAGAGAGTGACATCGCCGGACTGTCTCGTCCATACGGACACGAGCCCATCCCGCGCACCACAAGCTAGCCGCATGCCACCGTCGAGGGAGACAACCGTCTTGATGTCGCTATCATGCCGGCCGAGCTCCTGGACGATTTGGTAAGCCCCCATAGTGCCCATGATGGATCCAGATCTTGAGAACAATGGAAGGAGGAGGGCTGCGGCTAATGGTAGGCTATAGGGCCGGTCGTACCCGAGGATAGCGGAGGCCCACACGCACAGACCTCCACTTGCCTCATCGGACCACAGTGCTGTCCACTTTGGCCATCCCGTCTCGTCCGCCCACTCCACCTTCGTCGTCTATACCGTTCGCTCGGCGTCGCTTCAGCGGCCCCTCAAAATGATCCTTGCGCGCTCAATTCGTCCTGTTTCCCGGGTTCGGCTTCTCGGTGGAGCTGCTGCTGTCGCCATCCGCACCCCCGCTACCCAAGTCAGCGTAAACCCCTGCCTAGTCGGCGCGCTTCGGAGATCGATATACGGCAATTCGACTCAACGGGCGCAACAACTTGAGCAATCTCCACAGCTCACGCTGCCACAATTCTCACAGACGGACTCGCAGATCATAATTCACTGGGGTGATGGGCGGAGCTCGACCTTGTGAGAGCGACCCGTAAAGGTTAGCTGACCTCAGTGACAACCAGTTTTTGTACGACCACTGCCGCTGCCCGTCGTGCTTCCACCCCAAGACGAAGCAGCGTCTCAAAACTCTTGGGCCCGTGAGAAACGCTTCCCTTCGACCGCTAATGTCCTATTAGGTCCAGCCGGACGTAAAGGTCAATTCCATTGAAGCCAAGGACGGAGCCATCCATATCTCGTGGGGAACGTCCCCTGCTCACCAATCCATTTTCCCTCTCGCCTTTCTACAGCAGGCATCGTATGACCCGCCTATGATGAACCGCGACCGGCTTCTGGACCGCGTCCCGTAAGTGGAGCAATGGTTGCTGCTCATCAACGTCAGTCTGAATCTCTGGGGCGCCAACATTGCAGAGCTTCCACCTACCGTCACGTACAACTCCGTCATGCCCGATAAGGCCGGGGCTGATGCCGAGAAGGGCGTTCTCAAGTGGCTTGAGAAGGTGGTGGGTAATATTGCCCCGACTCGCGCCTTGAAACGGCTGACCCTAGCACGACTTTGGCTTCTGCTTTGTGACCGGCGTCCCAACGTCTACCGCAGCTACAGAGGAGCTGATTCGTCGCATGTCGTTCATCCGCGAGACTCACTGTTTGTTATTCAGATCGTTCGTGTGCTTACCTTAGATGGCGGTTTCTGGGACTTCACGGCGGACATGTCCAAGGGTGATCTTGCTTATAGCAATGAAGGCCTGCCGGCTCACACGGACACGGCTTACTTCACGGATCCCGCCGGCCTGCAGATCTTCCACTGCCTGTCTCACCCGTGCCCTCCCGGCACCGGAGGGGAGACTCTTCTTGTGGACGCCTTCTACGTCGCTGATCAAATTGCGAAGCGTGACCCAGTGGCGTACGAAACCTTGTCGCGTCTGGCTGTTCCCTTCCACGCCTCAGGCAACGAGGGTACCATGCTGCGGCCTCCTATCAGCCAGCCAATCCTGCGCCACGATCACATGGGCCGTTTGCAGCAGGCACGCTGGAACAACGAAGACCGCTGCGTCCTGGGTGAGGGATGGACCCCCGAGGATGTCCGCGAGTGGTACCGGGCAGCACGTGTCTTTGAGGATATTTGTACAAGCAAGGAGGCCGAGTATTGGGTCAAGTTGACTCCTGGGACTGTAGTTGGTGAGCCCCTCCGGTGGCATTGCTTACGGTGTAGTCATTGACAACTGGCGTGTCATGCACGGCCGCGCAGCCTTCACGGGACAGCGTCGTATGTGCGGCGCCTATGTAGGCGCCGATGACTGGCGCTCACGCCGTCGTGCACTTCTCCAGCAGTTTGGTGTTCATGGCGCTGACCAATGGAGCTCTGGATGGTAACGGCGAGTGATAATTGATCAATTGACCATTGCATGGGGTTGCAAACCATGCATTGTTTCGTAAATAGTGATCTAAATGTTAGCTGTGCACGATCCACATAAACTTGCATTCCTCCACTTGGCGGGCAACAGATCGGGAGCGCTTTGCACCTGGTTTGGAGATCGAGCACGTCTTGATGAGTGCAAGCCCAATGCCAGTCTTGGTGAGAGGAGGGGGCGATAGAGTAGAACACGCCGCTGTCAGGTCCTGCATAGCCAGTCTCAGCAGGAGCACGGTTCCGATCGACAATCGTGGGACCACAGAATACTGGCCCGAACAGAGCATCGACGCATGTGGATAATGGCAGCACAGCTGTGTACGCTATTAGCACCTGTTGGCCTGGTAGGAGGGTGCGATGTTGCGCCGGAAGGACAAATTCTGCATGTGAATTTTGGCGAGTTCAATTTCGGTGTTCTATACATAAATACTGAAGTCATGGCTGGCTCCCACGATGTCAAAGGTAGAGTGCATGGTCAAAGACCACATTGCGATCTCGATTCCAGCGTCGTTTATAAGGTGAAAGCCTGTCAATTTGCTGCCCTTTCCTCCCAATCCTCTACTGGGCATACGTGGCTCGGTTGCCTTGATTAGGAAGCGAAAACAAGACGGATGGAGACTTCAGTATCGACCTGAGCCCATCCTCCTCTTTGGTGGAAGGACATGTGTGACTACACGTGGGACTCATACACCAGCAAGCTGTTCACACGCCGGTAACAAGTGGATTGAAACTGCCCTACTGTCCTCGATAGTACCTATTACTGGGAGAGGCGGAATGTAGTCTGCTTAACGAAGTGTTGGTGCATTCTCAAAGTCAACCTGGCTGAAGCTCGGGCGAGGACACTGATTCTAGCATCTGGTGCCACGCTACTTCGGCATGAAGCATCGTCAGAGATACCAAAGCTGCTGGGGGAAGCGGATATCTGATATTTTTGTATCGCCACCCACATTCAAGGCCGTCATTGCGCAGACTGAGTGTGAAGTTCCGGGGAAAAGATCGTACCCTACCCTCCGAAATTGTAGGCAGAAAAGCCCATCGGATCCCCTTTGCGAGGTGTGGCGAGCAGTCACCACCCCTGAGACATGGCTTTGCTCAACGAGGTGGGCGATTGCAAAGCTTTTCCAGTCACGAGTGGTGATTATCTTATATCTTATGAATACATTGTGCGAGTGTAGCGATTGAACTTACAGCTGATTTGCTAACTGCGACCCTGACCAGAAGTTATCTCTACAATGTGGTGCTGGCTTTGTCAATTTTCATCGCATCAATTATGAGATCGTGTGGATTGTTTAGAGACAAAATGGAGGGACTGTCGTCCCGAAGTCACCCTGGATGGACTGCCTAGATTCTGCGCGGATATTCATAGGCCTAAGGACATTCCACACCCGTTTGTATTCTTCATCGATGGTGTGTATGCTGACCACAGTGATGGTGAGCACGGTTGAATTTAGTGCACCCGTTCACCCAAGAATGACTCGTGGGAGGGCTAAGAATACAACAGCTCATATATGCTTGTGTCATCTTGCGTGTTGTGCGCGATGTCATGAGCACAGACAGCATGTCGAACTCACTTAGCAATTTTCCGCCCCCCTTGGTATTCATGAACGTAAAATGTGCAATCGCAGCCCATTGAGATATGGCCTGTGCACGGGGCTATGTGGCTCGTCTTCAATTCTGGGTGGATGTGCAGCAGATATGCCCACAATGCTCTCAACAATTATCGATACCTCTCACCCTTAACAACAGAGAACATGGTTGGATCTTGAATATGCACCATGATGGGGAGACTCCTCTGAAATATTTTTACCGGTGTGTTACTCGGCGCCAGTCCAAAACCAATCCAAATGTACTATGTCAACATCGACGATGGCACAGTGGACAACGCCCAGATGGGCGATGTCCAAGCTGGATGTCCCAAAGCGCGAACATCCTCTGTGCTGCCGACTTTACGACACAAAACACGTCATCCATCAAATGAAAATGGCCCCACTGAATAATGGAACATATCCACCGAGCATGGCGACATTTTCCAATTGGGCGATGTTTTGCTTCTGTAATTGTTGGTTTTCAATAGACAACTCGAGGGGACCTTGTGGACCAAAATGCATCTACGCACAAATCATAAGAGTTTCTTATAATTACTTCTCTACACCACCTTAGATCCATTGTAAGCGGCTAAACCACCATGATGGGGGGAGATATGCCTTCTGACTATCGTTCTATGAAATCAACTATTGAAACAAATCAAAGCTTACGTTCATCGATCGCTTGCAAGAGGGAGGTCCTTAACTCTCACCCAAGTGGGGAGGAGCCACTGAAATGCACCACCCTTTGGGCTGCGTCCTATCTTGCCACGCATCTATCGATACATAACTCTCATTATTGAATGAGGGTAATCGTGCCATACACAGTGGACTGACCGCCTACATGAATCCCGAGGCACCCGGGGGGTAGTCGTGCGCTAGTTCCCATGATTGCTTCTCCCTTGGCCACCTGACAATCCTCAGACAGGATCTCCGCTGGATGGTCCGTCAGTTACAGGTCAAATAGATGTCTACTTGTGAAAAATTTGCGAAGTACCCACGTCTCTCGTGGCTGATGTCTGGATAGTCAACATGACAACACCGACCGATACCAGCGGAACTCGTTGCGGCGAGCGTACACAGCCACTGCGGAATGAGCTACCTAATGATTTGTTGTGACATAGCCAATTGTGTGGTTCATTCCGTTCATGTTCGCCCACCTGTAAAAGCGCTGACCAGATTTGGGAGGCCGTACTAAACACTTGTTGGAAACAGAGTTGGGGACAGCACAGGAGACGTCTGTTATAGAATCTCGAGTGGAACAGCAAAATGGGACTGGCATAGTACATGGAGGTAAAGACAGGCTTGGAACACCACAATGGGACTGGCAGAGGTAAAGACAGGCTTCACAGGTCTGGACCTCATTTTGGTCAGGGAGGAGGAGCAACCGCACGTGCATCTCAGTCACTTCAGTTGATCAAACAATGTGTAATCCCATGCAACAAGGTGTCTCATCAAGACAAATTGGCTGTTTTCACCTCAGATCCATCAAAGAACACGTAATACAAGGGTGGAAGCGATTGCATCTGCATGATGATACACTCTCCCCAGATGCACAGAAGTATCGCACTAACTGGGCGAAGCTTCTTTCCCCGTCCAATGCGACAAAGAAGCCTGCGTCCTGATTCCTTATGATTCGGAGTTTAGCGACTGTAGATGATCTTTGCGAGGAAACCGTTTGATAGGATCTAAGCGGAAGATGGCACAGCATTGAAATTCCATGTCTCGATTTATTCCCACTTAAGGTAACTGTGTTGTTTGTGAATGCTACTTCCGGTAATATTGCAAGCAACACAGCCCTCCATTGCACCTTCAATGGCTCAACTTCACGGCTCCGTTGCTGCTGTGTCAGCTCTCCTTTCAGGCTGGGTGTTCAAAACATCAATTACACAGCGGGTTCTTGCACCCACAGAGTGCCGCTTCACCTGAAAGGCTCTCATGAACAGAGCTGGTCGGTACTGAGGTTAAAAGAAGTTACATGCGCAGAACGTCAGAATTCGGCTTGTCTCGGATATGACACCCAGTCGGAGTTGCATACAGCAAAAGTCATATCTCTGTAAGAATGCTAGACTTAAGCGTCTTGCCCGAATCTCATAGCTATCATAAGAAGAGCCACACCACCCAGTGCGTCTTAGTTCCTTTGAGGAGTGGTCGTCCTACCACCCGATGCAGAAACAGGAAGCCGGGATTTGTAGCCCGACCGGCCCGAGGACTTGCTGAGTAGAGTTAGTTGAAATAGCAATCTGCAGAGCGTGGCATCGGAAATCGAGCATGACGGTTTCAGAAGCTCAGGATGCTCGACTGCAAATCTATACTGTATCTATGCTGTCAACACAGTAGGCAGCGGCAGAGGGGATAAGACGACATGCTTAAACTGACATGAGTGCTGCCCCTACCAAAAATGCTGTAACACAGAGTAACAGGGGCTCAGATACAGCGAAGAACGAAGCATTAGAGTGCCAATTTTGGAAGGTAAAATGGTGACACTGCACACCTTGATGTTTGAATCATCAACATCACCCACGCTGAAGATGGTGGATACAGTCGCGTTATAATCACCCTTTTGGGCCTAATTGTAGGTATTTTGCTTTGTCCGACGTCTGCAGAACACTGCAACTCTTAGTTATTTCTAAAAGACTACCCTCTCGTGACACAAACATCACTTCCTGATCCTTCCGCCTTGTACTATGTACTTAACGATGCACTTCCCCAAACTGTTCATTCAGAAATTTGAAGGGTACGAAGTGGAGCATTAGTGTGATTTGAACATCATGACAAAGCACAACAATAATGCGAATCAACGGTCAGTACTGTGTCTGACAATAGTGATGATGCAAACCCCTACAACCTGGCATTGCCGATTTGGAGCCCTTTCGGCAACTTCTACGCCGGGAGGATTGTGCACCTCTCGCAGGGACAAGTGCACTCATTGAGGCTGCTGGACCACAAGGTGCCCACAATCATTGTTACAATTCAACTCTACACTTCGATGACTGGTTAGAGCAGTTGGAACGCTGCGGAAGTGTTGCAGATATACTGCTGTTGGAGAGTGAGATCTCATTGACATTCATGATGTGTTTTTACCTCATTGGATCCTCACGGACGCATTGTGGTCCACCATGTTTCGTCGAATTATCGAGTACAGATTATCAAAAGGCGTCGCGACGTATTGCCTATATAAGCAATGTTCTTCTGTACTTTTCGATGACTAGAGCTTTGTTTAGCACGCCACAGAAGCACTGGCGGAAGTCACTCTGCTTGCCTACTGTAAATTGGGGCTTGACTGTCACCGAAGGGGGCCCAGCAACGCTTTGTGGTGCATTTCGACCGTACTTCGCGCTGGTGTCCTGCCCACCGAAGGAAGAGTAGCAGTTGTGTGACCAGGGCTCATATCACGTTGGCTCTTAAGCAAGCAGTGAGAACGACAACATCTCCGTGTGAAATGCTGTTCAGCAATTTCCGCACACAAACCGTGAGCATTCGAGCCTCAGACCCATGGGTGTACGTCTCCGCAGTCAGTCAATTGAGGTTCGCAGGCCTCCACACAATACATGTTTGTGCATCGCTTAACAAATGTAGCCATGTTGAGTTATTTGCTCTGTTCTTTCAAGTGTCCATGGGAAAGCCAACAGAACCGCCATTGCTAACCATCGAGTTTCCCACTTCTGTCATTCTCACCCCCGTTACTACTACCTTTGGTATGGAGGCTGAACTTACGCCATTCTGACTTTTGCAGTTGATTGGCAGACTAGATCCCGTCATGACACAAGATGCACCAAGAATGATTTTTCTCAAAGTCAGTCGGCTATGGAAACCTGTCGCACAACAATTAGGAGCGTCTTGCCTTGCAGATAGATGAATGAATGAGCATGAAGGCTCTTAGTAGACCATGTATCTAGTGCGTGGGACTGAGCACTTGTGGCCCCTCGCGTACGGTGGTTCCGGACGCTGAGTCTAAGTCTGTAGCACAAACTCGTGATCTCTCAGACTATGACAAACAACGGGTTCCAACATCTGCTATGCGAATCAAAAGTGGTTTCGGTGCGCCTTGCGCCTCGAATGCAACCTGGAAGGTCCTCTCCTTGAGTATGCATGAACACTGGGATTTCGTGTTTTTCAGGGTCACCTTCCAGAACATAGATCGTCAGTAGAAGCACACTAACCGTGGCCGGAGCACAAAATGCATGAGCCTAGTTAGGCAGTTGCCCAGACCTCGAGCCCTAGACAATCGAATGAATGTCCTTTCTCGCTGAAAAGCGCGGAGCTAGAGCACAGCACCTCATTCTGAAACGCAGGCGAGGTTGCAGAGGAGTTGCGCGAGAATGTGCCGTCGAGCAACAAGCCATACGATGCGCCACTGAAATCAGCAAGTCAGGATCAGATCCACCCTTACCCGCCGCCGAACGAGATAAAATTGGTTTCACAAAGTGCGATGTATTGGTTTCGCCCTGTCCACTGGAAAATGCGCGGCTTGCTTTCTCCTTCGACGAATTTGAACATGAACCTTTCATGTTAGTGGCCACCTATCAAGCACACTTACGCTTCACCTGAACCGTAGTATGTCCCCTCTCGCTTTGCAATAGGCTCGTTGAGGTAGACTCCAAAAACGTGACCGTCCATGTCACGAGCGACCAACAGACTGCCGGCCGTCTTGTGGGTTTCTGCGTATTTCGCAGACTCGCGATAAAGCGAGGAAAGAGACGCTCCGTGTTGGTCCAAAGAGACAGCATGTAAGCAAAGGGTGTACGACAATGGGGCACCTACAAAGCAAGTTCCATGTGTCGTAGATTCGCTGTCGAGCGGGCAAATGTGGCTGCAGCTAACATGTCAGTATCGATTCACCTCGCAGTACGCTTACAGCTTCTGCCTGGGCCTGAGATAATACAGGTGTGGTATTCTCACGCCGGCCTGAGAGCTTCAAACCCGATATGTCCGAGTCCTCGTCCCAGCGACCATCACCGACATCTCGAAATCCTGGAGCGCCAGTCGGGGGTACATAGGTCCCCGCAATCTGGTCACGAGTCGCAAAGGGAGAGGTGTGGCTTACATCAATAGGAACGGCAGTCCGTGATGGAGGTTCAGGCTCCCCAGCGAGCTGTTGTATGAGATTCGGACCGAGAACAGATCGCTTCCATCTAGTGGCGAGCTTGGACGTGGACAAAGCGTCGACAAGAGATCGGGGCCGATTGGATGAGGAATCTGAGGACTCTGGGACTGGAGGAGGCCGAGGTCCGAATGAAGACCCACCATTATTCCATGATGGGTCATCTGTGAGCGAGCGCTCAAAGTCGAGTGCTGAGCCTTGTGATGACATTCTCCTGAGAGACTTTGCGGCCGAACTGTGGCTTCCGACGCGGTAGGGAGAATGAAAAATAATATCGGCGCCAGCCTCGGACACCCTTGGCGGAGAGCTGGGTCCAGTGAAGGTGGAAAAGGAGCGTCGTCCACGAAGGGGTCGGTTGCGGGAACGAGTCGGCGAGGTCTCCACCGAGCGTCGCGAGGCCTGTCCAAAATCGGGCTCGTCTGATAACAAGTCGACACGAGGCTGCGTGCTGCGAGAGGAGGAGGACGGGCGCGAGGGACGCTCGTCCACCTCATCGAAGGACATTAGAAGATCGCCAGAGTCAAGGTTAGCGGCGCCATGAAGATGCCGTGCGTTGATTGACATCGGCGACGTGGTTGAAGTCGGAGACGAGGCCACTGGCGCGGAGTGGAAGTCGCCGAAGTCTGAAGAGGAGGAATGCTCATGGGTTCTGGGGTTGGAACAATTGAACGTGGGCGATCGGAGGTCCATTGCACAAAGACAGCAAGGGCTGCGCTTTAGTTCGCATGTGCAGCCTTGAATGGGAAGAGTCGACCTCTGGTGAATGGAACCCTTGCAGACAGCACACCTACGTCGTGAACACCTCCAAGACGCCGTGACGGGGGGAGCGAGACCAAGCCAAGACGCGCGTATGAGCTGAGAGGGTGAGAGCAATGAGATGTGGACGGAAGAGGTATGCTGCACATGACGTCGATGCCGATCCCCATCACCGTTCCTCGACACGGGACCTAATTCGGTTGTGGACAACTCTCGAATCTTGGACTGGACGTCTCCCGGATTCTAGTCGAAGGCGGGTTTTGCCACTGCTCATCGAGTCATGGGTCGGACAAAACGAGCGCGCAAGGTCCCCCTGGTCGCCACAGAAAAGCCAGTGTCGTCTACCTCACATCGGGTAACCCAGTCGACGATTTCGCGATTCCATACTCTCCTTAAACGACGGAAACGGATCGAGCGGCAGTTGGCGAGTTCGGCATCTTCTGAAAGGCATGAGACTCTGGAGAAGGAGTTGGCAGAGATCAACGGCCAGTTGACTGAGATGGGTGGCCTGGAGGCGTACCAACAAGCAAGCTCCCTAGGTCAGTCATCTCAGCGGGGAGGCGACTCCTCACACGTTCTCATCAAATGGCTCAAAGGTCTCCGCACTCTCACCACTTGGGTTCTGCCGCTCCGGTGAGTTGCCCCTTCCCCCCCCCCCCCCCCCCCCCCCCCCCCTCTCCCCGTCACCGGCTAATTCTGAGCATGTTGGAGATTGGGGCTCTGACGCCGAACAACTACGCGTCCTGTTCAAAGTGGATACAGAACCATCCCATAGACCTCCGGTCTCGACACCCGAGCATCATACAAGAGGATTTCCTTCTTCGCAGCGAGCCGCAGACGGATGAGCAACGTTTCGACGTGATAAGCTGCAGCTTAGTGTTGAACTTTGTACCGGATCCGAGGGAGCGAGGTGGGTCTCACTACCATATCTGCTGACGACAGGACGAATGCTTCGCCTCTGTCGCGCTCATCTGCTCCCTCGACCCTCCTCGATGTTGTTCATCGTCCTCCCCTTCCCGTGTGTCAACAATTCGCGATACACCACCACCGAATCGTTCAAACAGCTCGTCACTTCCTTAGGCTTCAAACTGGAGCAAGAGCATTGGCGGCCCCACGGCAAAGTGGCATACTGGTTGTTCCGATGGGATGTGGCTACAAGGGATATCTCGCAGTTCCGGCGAAAGCGGATACTCAACGATGGAGCGACAAGGAACAACTTCACAATCCTCATAGAATGATTATAACAGGATCACGAGTATCAAGAGAATGATGAGGATAAGGATGAGGATGGCGATGCACCATGAGCTGCGAGTGTCTGGTTCATCAGCTGCCGGTCCTACTGAGGATTCACCTTCATTCTTGCGGAGAAAGTCTGTCATTGTCCTGGTAACTCTTGACAGTCGCGACTGTGTAGAGTCGACCCGTGTCGACAGCTCGTCCAGCATTCTGTAATCAGACCCCCTTCACACAGGCAACTCACTCGCTATGCTCCGTTACCTCCTGCCCGATCAACCCCGCTTGAGAGGCCAGTGTTGAGAGCGTTCCAGAGATGTAGCCGAGGGTGTCGTCTTGCCTGCGCATAAGGGTCTATGTAAGCGGTGTCGCACAGCTTACACCCACTTGCTGCTCTTCGCGCTCCCATCGTTCAGCTTCAGCATGGTCGTCGTTGCTCGTCGACTCGTCGTCGTCGTCGCGATATGGGGTGTACTTAGAATCATAGCGGGGTCGCGAGATGTCCAGAACGTTTGTCTTCAGGCGCTGGCATGAGTTACAACGCTGGGCGCAAGTGACGTACGGCAACTTTTGATGTCACGTCGTTGACAAACGCGCGCCTCTCCACAATTTCGGCATGTTTAAGACCCCATCGGTCCCCATGCTGTTCAACCACGCGGACCGACTCGTCCAGGTCCTCCAAATCGGCCTCCAAAAGGTTTAAGGCTGTTTGTAACTCTTCCTTCGCATCGGATAGGCCTTGAGAGTCGCCCCCAATTGTCTGGATACGCTGATATGATTCCAAGAGGCTTCCGACGTTGCCTATGTTTGCCTCCACGTCACTTATCGTCAGCTATGCAAGGAGTGAACGTAGCACGCCTCAGGCTCGTCTGCGACACGATTCAGAACTTTCCATCCTCACAAGGCGCAAGCCTACCATCTCGCTTTCGAAATTGGCGTCATATCGGCGGATGCGCGCTCACCTCTTCGCATCAACGTATGGGTCGCGGGACATGCTGAACGAGGTGGTGGAAGTGGGAAGATCAACAATAACTTGCGGGAGTATTTACGGAGGTACGGTGGGTGTGCGTCATAACCCTCCAACAACACTTCAGACCTCCACTATTGCTGGATCTTCCCCGTCTCTTGGTCGCCCTGCTCGGCCCTTCGTCCGAAGACACGACTCGCACCCAACCGCGCAGACGATGGGAGACCCAAACAAGTATCGAAAGTCAAGGTCCTTCCAAAGAAGGCTCACGCTGTTGACTAGCATAGCGCTATGCGCTCTCCTCACATGGGTCGGCTACTGGTCCTACTCGACCGACCAAGCCATGTCGGGGCTCTGGGGTTGCGAGATGGCTTACATGTACCCATCATTCTCTCCACTGGAAGGAGTTGACACTGCGGGGTCTCGCTATGCACTCTTCCTCTACCGGGAAGGAGGGATGGATCCGCCAGTTGTGCGTGCAGGTCATGCGGCACCGTTGACGCCAGCCTTCGGGACATCCTGTCATTTTCATTCCTGGCAACGCTGGATCATACAAGCAAGCGAGGTCCATTGGAGCCTCGGTAGCAGCGCAATTCCATAAGGGGAGGGATACGACGTGGACCAAGAGCGTCGATCTTTTCACTGGTAATTTGCACCACACAGGATTCTCCCCGTCTAACTGGTACAGTAGACTTCAACGAGGATCTCTCAGCACTCCATGCCCCCACCCTTCGCTCTCAAGCCCAATTTTTAGTCAAAGCGATCGCACGTGTATACAGGGCATACGAGCACCTCCCTGCAGACGAGCGGCCGGCTAAGGTCATCCTCCTGGGACACTCTATGGGGGGAATTGTCGCCCGTCTCGCCTCGACCATGGCTCAGCCAACTATGTGGCAGCCATCACCTGTGGACGTGATTCTCACGATGTCAACGCCTCATTTACAACCTCCTGCGCCGTTAGACCCGGAGATGGAGCGGATTTACGCTGAAATCAACTCCGTGCGGTACTCGGACCCCTCACCCCTACTAATTTCCATCTGCGGCGGCACGTCGGACGTCCAAATCGTGTCGGACGCATGCGCTCTGACGAATAGCCTAATTGGCCGCGACGATGGCTTTGCAGTGTTCACCACTGGCATCCCCGGAGTCTGGACGGGAGTGGAACATCAAGCGATGGTCTGGTGCGACCAAGTCCGATACCGAGTCGCACGGACTTTGCTCGACATGGGCGAAGCGGCTTCTCGTCAAGGCAAGCTTTCGGCGGCTCAACGGTGGCTACTGGGAATATCGGAAACACAGCCAGCTTTGCCAACACTCGACACCACAACTCGAGTCGAAGTGGTCGCGTCTCGCATGGCGATCTTGCTCAAATTGACCTATCCTACAGAGGTGTCACTGGTTAGCCCACCTGTCACTGCTCAATTCTGTGAAGAGGAAGGTGTGTGCTCTGATCAGACCTTTTTTTCGTACTCAGTACCGTGGTTGCCAGTCTCTGAACGCCCTTTCCCTCTGCTCGGGGAGGGAAGCAGACCCGAGGAGTCCGTCTTTGTCCTGGACTTCGATCTGCCCGAAGTGAACCGCGGATGGTTGGAAATTCGTCACCCGCTAGGCGCGTCGGTACATTCTGGACCTCTTGTCGATCAGACCGTCGTGGGCTCTCGATGGAGTGAGTGGCATCACCGCACGAGGCTGAACGCGTAGAGCAAGACCAGCGTTCGGCTGAACCGACTCACCTCGCTCTTCACTTCTCCTCGCGGGTGGTGTCTTCCCTGGTGGCCTATCGCCTAACTGTGGAAACGGACGAATGCTCAGGTTAGGCGCACCTCCCGTTCACGCTGACGTCGTCCACTAGATCATATGGTCACTGTGCGGTTCACTTCATCGCCTAGCGTATCCTTGCATTCCCACTCGCACGAGTCACGATTCTATGCCATTCGCGATGGAAGTGTAACCCTGCACTCTCACATCAGCGGGGCACCCTTCCAGGGTCACCCACATTCCACCAGAGGCATCAACCTGGACATTTATCAACACCCAAAATGTCTCGTTCGCTCCGTCAGCGTCACAGTCGACCCGTTCGCATCCTTAGCGAAGGCAGTGCTTCGCCTGCGCATTGCCGTTGTGATGTGGTGCGCCGCCTGGGTTGCAGTCGTGTTGTTTTGCCAATTGTCACAATACGCTTCCGATGGTGAGTCAACATTTGGCACTCTCCACTCACTGCAGCCTCTCTTCCATCATTCTCCGAGGTCATCGATCAGCGTGGAATCCATCTTGTGTTGATAACAACTGGCCTTTGCACCGTGGCACTCCTATTCCAGCACCTTGGCAGTGCTTTTGGGCTTGACACCGGACGTCTCAGCTTAGGCCTCACCAGAGTGTCATACTTGCCTCTCATGATCGTGGCCGCGGTGTGGTCATGGGGAACCATGGCTTCGGTCTACCTCCTTCAGCAAATACTGCTGGCTGTGATCGGAAAGTTTCTGCGGCCTGCGAAGGAGTGAGACAACCTTTTGTTGCGTCACTGACTACTGGAAACTCGTCGCTCAAGAAGATTGCCTTCCCGACAGATATGCGATGTCATCTCGGGCGATCTTGGGTCTGGCGCTGCTAACTCTCATCGCCATCGGCGTGCCACACCGCCTAGTATTTGGCGTTCTTTACGTTGTGCAGTTTTCGTTGACTGCATACGCCGCAGAAGCGGGCCCCGTGCGTATCCCAGCTGCTGCCTATCTAGCTAATTCGCAGTCATCACGACGTCACCTCCTGGAAACAATGCTTCTGCTCATGACATTCCTCCTGCCTCTCAACCTTCCCGCATTGGCAGTTTGGGGAAAGAACTTCTGGATACACGGCCAGCACGCACTGCCAGAAGACCGCTCAATCTCGTCGGTCTTACCCACCCTGATCATGGTCATGGTGGCGAGTTTTGAACGTCCCTTGACAGCTGCAGCACAGTGAGTACCGCCTTACGAGTTGCGCTGATGTGGCAGGGCGCGGTTCGTTGCTAAGTGGGGGGCAGCCTTCGCTGCCGTGATGGCATTCACCTTCGCGCCTGGTCGCCCATATCTCCTAGGGCCAATTGTCAACGTTGTGTTCATCATCGCCAGCGTCCTTATGGCCGCGACTGTTTCTATAAGGCGGCAGTGAGGACATGCATGCTGTTGGTCACTGGGATCACTAGCCGATGGACGTTGCGAAAAGTTCGTCGCAAAGCGTCCGCTTCTCGTATATACATGGCGTTTGACAGGATCGGGCGGTTTCCGACATCCTTGTCCACCTACGAAAGGCGATCTAGACTCGCTGAATGCCCGCACTCCTCTTCAGACGAGCCGACTGCCAGTCATCCGACATGCGCCTACAGTCAGCAAGGAACGATCATAGTTGGCTAGCGGAGTCTTACTTGGCGCGGACGAGGGATAGTACTGCTAGGCCGACCGACCTCAATGTCCTCTTCGGCCGCGGAAGTGGAGCAACCTCATAACCCATCGATGCGATCATGCGCAGTGTCGCCTGTTCACTGGAGTTAGCACTGGCAAATCGGATAACTAACTTCAAGCTCATCCCACCCACGCAGAGGATGAGGAACTTTTTCTGCAACGCGAGCGCGTCGCGGAACGAGTTTTCACGAGCGTACATGGCCTGGAGGTACTCGATCTGTGCCGAAAGACGGCGCATTTGCGCTTTGTACTTCTGGCGCTGCTCGGCGCCGGAGGCTTGACTAAAACTCAGCGTCGCTTTTAGCAGTGACTTACAATCGGCTCTGCAAACGTTGCAGCCGCTCCTGGAGGACTAAACACTGGTCTCGAGCGTCTTGAGCTTGCTGCAAAGCTTGAGCCAAGTCAGCCTGCTTCGCGCGCAGGCTGTCCCGAAGAGACGCAAGCTGGTCGGGATAGACTTGAGCAGACTGCCGCTGCTGCGTTTTCAGCAGCAGCAGCTCTGACCCAAAGGAGGCACACTCTCGGCGCTGGACGGCCAAATCGTTGCCGAGCTGGGCCAGCTCGCGAGTAATGCGCTGACGTTCCAGAGTGAGGGCCTCGACTTCGTGATCCTTGTCAGCGAGCTCATCGGAGCAGATGCGAAGTTCGTTCCGCAATTGGTTCAAGCTCTCTTGTGATGCTTTCAACGAAGAGCTGGTCTTTTCAAGAGTGGCCTGAAGACTTCGAACCTTATCTTGCGCTTCGACTGCGGCGCCTTGCTCATGGCGAAGACTGTCCCGAACCTCCTCCAACTCCTTGACCGTTGTGTGCAGCCTAGCAGCCTCCGCCTCGTGCCGAGAAACGAGCCCCTCGCTTTTGCGCAGGTTCTGCAAGTCAATTTCGCGATTGCCAGATTGTCGGCAACTCACAGCTGTCAGTATATCCTTCTCTGCGCGGAGCTGCTCATTCCGCCGATTAACCAGAGCGATGTCTTCCTGTGCCTCCTCGTGAACCCGGGCTGCTTCTTCAGACAGGCGCTCGAGTTCTTCTTCATATTTCAAGCGCATGTCTGAGAGCTGCAGACGCAGGCGACGGTTGTGCTCTTGCAGTCGCTCCTTTTCAGCAGTCATATGATCACGTACGCTCGAGAGACGCTGATGCACCTGCTCAAGGGCGGCTTCTAATCGCTCGTTCCTGCAGGTATCAGTAATACTTCCTTTTCCTACTTACTGAGAGCGACCCCTCTCAAGTGACTCGTCCTTCTGTTTGTTGACTCGGCCTTGCATGACTTGCTCTTCCTTCAGTTGCCCATTCTCCAATCTGGCTGCTGCAAGCTCTTCGGCAAGCCGGATGGCCACAAGTCCCGCTTTCTCGAGGGCATCGAAGTTCTTGTCAAGCTGGGCTTGAGCAGCGTCAAAGTCTAGCTGTAGGTGACCGAGCTCCGCTCGCAACACTGACTCCTGAGAGTCATCCATAGTGGTTTGCAGCCACGACAGCTGTGGGTTAGTGACCTGCTTCAGTCCGCACTTTAGACTCACATCTTTGAGCGGGCCTGGGGTGCGAGGAGACCGTAGAGCGGAGACAGCCCTGTGCAAGGCTGGCGTAGACGCAGCCATGGAATGGGCGTACCGAGCTGGGGAAGCCATCTCACGCGCCTTCAGCCGCTCAAGAAGAATTTCCTTCTCCGCTGTCAGAGCATGGATACGGGCGTCTCGGTCTTCAAGAGTCCTATGGCGAGCAGGCATTCTCTCAAGCTCAGCCTTAAGTCGGCCGATATGACGGTGAGCCTCATCCAGCTGTGCTTGGTAGATCGACTTCGTCATGTCTGCTGATGTTGAGACAGCCGAATCACGACTCTGGTCAGCTTCGGGCCGTTCGAGGCTCAACATCATGAGTTGATGCTGAAGGGACTGGAGCTCAGCCTGTGAGTCGGCTTGCGCGGCCTGTGCCGTAGACAGGAACATCTCCAGCTCTGCGACGCGCTTCTGGCTCGTCTCAATCTCGGTGGTTGACGTAGTGACTACCTCCTCCAGCTGTTGGATGACCTTGCGCTCGTGATCCATAACGCCCTGGTTCTCGCGCTGGCGTAGCTCCAGCTGTTCAACGCGTTGTGACAAGAGACACTTTTCCTCGCGAAGAGCGTCCTTCTCATCAGTAAGCGAGGACACGCGTGCCTCAAAGCTCAAGATCTGGCCATCACGCTGTTCGACAAGTCTCGAGGCGGTGGCTAGACGCGCCTGCATGGCGGTCAACTCCCGTGCGCGCTCTTCAGCCAAATTCTGCGCGGCGTCAAGACGCGCTCGGAGATCCTCTATCTCGCTCGTTTCTTCACGGTGAGCAAACTCAAGTCGGGACTTGAACTCCAGCAAACTCTTCTCAGAGGCCACAAGTTGGGATCGGAGGTCGTCCGCACATTGAGTGATCTGCTGCACTTCTCGCTCAGCTGAGTGGAGGTGCGACTGCAGTGTGTCCGCGCGATCCTCGGCCTGTTGAAGCTGCTCGAGAGTCGCTTGTTCATTAGCGTGGGCCTCTGACAACCTGGCTTGGGCATTCGCTAAAGCCTCTGCGACGATCTGGGCATCCTCTTGCGCTCGGGACAGATCACCTCCAAGGATGGCAATTTGTTTGCGAAGCTCGTCCTCTTGAACGGCACTGGATGGCCGCAACATATCCAGTTGCGTTTGCAACCGGGTCACCTCTCCCTTGGTCTGCCCAACCTCGTCTTGTAAAGCCTCGATCTGCTTGGTGTAATCGGCGCCGATTTCCGAGAACATGTGATAGTATTCCTCTGTCTTCCTAGAAAAGTCGACCTTGACTCGGGACATCTCCTCATGGGCATCTTGCAGTTGATCGCGTGTATCTTGAAGCTCAGCGCGCAGGGATACCAGTTCGGAGAGCGACACATCTTTTCCGGTGCCATCGGCGTTCAGGTCCTTATTATATTCACCCGTTTCGGCGTCCAAGCCGGCATCACGAATAACTTGGAGAAGGCGCCCGCGCTCCTCCTGCCAGTTCTCCTCACTACTGGTGAGGTCACTGGTGTTTATCAACTGATGGTCCATCCTGTTGAGGTGTCTCTCGACTTTGGCGAAAGGCGACATGCTGTGGATATGCTGAGGCGATTCCATCGAGACATCAGCAGATGGCATATTGGCGCCCGGCCCTGACGAGCTACCGTCGTCGCAGACCACGCTTCTGTCACCGATATGGTCGTCCACAGATGTGCCCAAATGTAACGGACGTCGATCCTCGTCTGAGTGGTTTGATGCGTCGTCTGGCTTCGCGGTCGTAGAGCTGGCAAAGCTTTGCGGAGCAGTAGTTCTGCGCAAAGGAGAAAATCGGGATGGCAGCGAATCGAAGGCAAGCACCGGCATTGGAGAACTCTTGTGCTGAGCTGTGTGATCGACAAGGGCCCGGGATGAGCCGCCGCGGTCGAGGCTTGGGGATAGCGGTCTCCGATTACGATATCTCGTTGTAACGTCTCGCAGCGGTGCGAAAGGTGTAGCTGCGGCGCGAGCGGCGGTCGAAGGATAGTCCATGTATCGGATGGGTCCCGGCGTTGCCTCGGGAGAGTCCAGGATTCCGGGCAAGGATGAAGGGACCGGTGTGAGGTTGTCCGCAGTCAAATCGCTGCTCTTATCCTCAAGGTGGGGTGACCCATAGTGGACATGAGGGAGCCGCAGCGACTCTCCACCTTCTGGCGTTGTCGCCTCGACGTCGTTCGAAGAGACTTCGCTTGTGCTCAAACTGGGTATCCGGGCTTCATTCATGTGCTTCGGAGTGTTCTCTGCAGTCTGGTACGACATCCCCAATGGACCGGCGGGAGGGGAGATGAAACTCGTGGTAGTGGACGGCGGGTATACCTCAGTGTCATCGACTTCTTTGTCTCGAGTGGAGAGAGCTGTCCTAGGGGAAATAGAGCTGTGGTCCTCGTAGGTGTGCCGGGTGGCTGGCTCGTCAACGATGGCATCCGTGTCCGAACGCGTGTCCGAGTAGTCGTAAGAGATGTCCAGCGTGCTGTGGTCCAGGCGAGACATTGAGCGGAGTTGAGGACTGGAAGTGGCCATGTCGGTAACAGTAGAACGTAACGGCTTCACAGTCGACGCGGTTCGCGCTGATGACGCATCACTTGTTGAGGGCAGGCGGCGCGTAACTAGAGGTGTAATGAGCTGATCGCGCTGAATTCAGTATTTACATCCATTGCTGACTTACCTCAGATGTGGTGCATCTATCGGTTACCGATTCTCGGCTGCTGTCGACGTCGAAGTCATCACTGAGGTCGAGATCGTGACGCTGGAAACTGGGAAGAGAAGGCAGCTCCATCTCCTCGTATTGCTGAACGCGTTTCAGCACCCTCGATGGGGTGTCGAGCAAATCAGCCATGGTAGCGAGCGAGGAGTGGAAGGTGAAGGATTAGGAGTATTGCGTATAGGGGTGTTGGGATGGGGATGGGGAGGTGGCGACTGTTGTGTCGCGCAAGGCAAGAAGCCACGCTGGTCATGTTGATCGTGAACGACTGACCAGGCACAGCAAAACAAACGCGGGCCACGTGCATACCACGAGAACCGCTCAGTTACCCTCCCGCCTCTAAGAGTGGGAGCGTATTTAAGGAAGCCTTCCGTTAAGCCCCACAGGCGCCTCAATGGGAGGTATCGGAGCGGCAGGACGGGAGGAAGGGCTGGAGAGGAGAGGCTGCTCTGCTTGGACACGGAAGGAAAATGCACCTCCTAGGCTCCCATGCCCAGGTCACTCAACAACCACACTCCTCCTCTGCTCTCTTCTCCATCCACCAAGATAGAACGATCTTTCACTGAACGCTCCCTCGTCATCCAACGCGCACTCCCTCTCCCATTTGACGCCCGCCTCGACCTGTTCTTTCGCACACCCTAGAGCCAAAGATCACATTTTCGCTTTGCGTTGCACGCTGCCCACTCTCTCGCCACCGGACAGGCATGCAGCCATACCGCCCCGCTTCCCCCTTGGAGTCGCCCGCCGATGTGAAGAAGGAGTCTCACATCGGCTTCCAGCCCGCTTCTGCTCAAGCCCGCTTGGCTGGTGATGCCGCTGTGCGTGACTATGAGGGCAAGCAGCAGAAGTACGTGGATGGTGCCTGATTATATCGCCCGAGGCCTACGCTGACCTTGATAGGTTGTCCGACGCCATAGAGGCAACCAAATACCTCGTCGCCGACCTCAAGAACTTCAACCACGAGCACTGGAAAATTCGCTATCCTCACTTTGCCCAGGTGCCTGCAACGTCGGGGAGGAAAGGTGCGACGGACGCGGCTTCGGTGACTGACATGATAGCTGCCCGCCCGAGTCTGGGTCGTAGAACTCTCACTTTCGCCGACGAGCCTGCGCAGGAGACTGAGGTGGTCGTGACTTCACAGCAACGGCCAAACCGCCACCAATTGAAGCGTTCCGTGTCCTTCCTGCCGTCGCCCCAGTCGAGCCCTTCGTCTTCGGTCACCTCCACTCCTACATCCGAGGAGCCCGACTCTCTTTCGCCGGAGCAGTCTGTGTCGAACGAAGAATTCACGATCCTCAACCTCGATCTTAACCTTGGCGCGACTCGCCACGCGAAGGCTCTCATTTCGCAGCTTGAGCGTTCATCTATTTCTGCCCTCCTTGACAGCCGCCTTCTTGCCACCCTCACTCATCTTGACTTGCTCCACGCCCGTATCCACGATGCGCACTCGCGTGTGCTAGTGACTGGCGACCTCAACGCCGGCAAGTCTACCCTTGTGAATGCGCTCCTCCGTCGCTCCGAGGTTATGCCCACCGATCAGCAGCCGTTGACTACTCGCTTTGTTGAAGTTGTGAGCGCACGCGAGAATGGCAACAAAGAGGAGATTCACGTCCTTGATTCGCCAACTCTATACAATCCCGAAGACCCGTCGACATACAAGGTCAAGCCAATCCAACAACTTGAGGAGCTATCCACGGATCCGGACTGCGATTCATCCGCTCCTCCTCTCCGCGTCTTCCTCCGCGAGAATACTGACACGACTTCGCCGTCCATCCTTCACAATGGTGTTGTAGACATCTCGCTCATCGACGCTCCTGGCCTGAATCGTGATTCGATCAAGACCACTGCCAACTTTGCGCGTCAGGAAGAAATCGACGTCGTTGTATTCGTGGTCTCGGCGGCCAACCACTTCACTCTTTCTGCAAAGGAGTTCATTTGGCAGGCGAGCCACGAGAAGGCGCATCTCTTTATCGTGGTCAATCGATTTGATCAAATCAAGGACAAGGAGCGCTGCCGCCGTGCAGTCATGGCACAAATCAAACAGCTCAGTCTTGAGACCTACGCCGAGGCCAAGGATCTCGTTCACTTTGTTGACTCTGCTAAGGTTGCCCTTGGCTTCGGCGACGAGGGTGATGGCGACGACATCGACGAGACTTTCGCCCACCTGGAGCATTCTCTTCGCTCCTTCGTCCTAGTCAACCGTGCCAAATCCAAGCTCGGCCCCGCCCAGAATTACATTACTCATCTGATGGCGGACGTTGAGCTGCTTGCGGCCGCGAACTCTCTCGTTGCCGTCAAGGAACGTGACGCGGCTCTTCTAGAGGTGGAGCGCGTCAAGCCTGAGCTTGACCGCATGAAGTCGAGCAAGGATCTCCTTGAGGAAGGCCTCGTGGCGGAGGAGGAGTCGGCAACCAGCAAGGTCGTCTCTCAGAGCCAGCTTTCGCTTCGCCTTGCCCTCGACCGAGTAGGACGAGGCGAGTACGCCCCTGGCTTGACGGCTCCCGTTTACCCCGGTCTGCTTGGCGCCTGGGACTACGCCGCGGAAGTTCGCAAGGCTCTCCTCGCCTCCCTCGACATGGCGGTGCGAGAGGTGGAAAACGATGCTCGCCTCCTTACCGCCGAGACCGTCACTCATATCACGGAGATCGGGGAGAAGCATCTGCCTTCGGACGGCGAAAAGTGCAGGAGGGTATTCAACCCTCAGGCCATGTTCTACAACCCCACGCGCAAGATTCGTCGGACCTCTGGTCTCCAGAGCGTTGGGCTTGGACTTGCTGGCAATTCGGCGCTATCTAGCGTGGTTGTCTCTGACATCTTTGACCTGCAGCACTTCTTCTTCCTCACCGAATCGGTGCCGTCTGCCGTCACCGAGAAGATCTCTCCTTTGCGCGACCTCATTCCATTGAGCAAGGAGGTCTCGAGCATTGGCGCAGCTTCCCTTGCGGTGGGTGCATTTTCTGTGGTGGGCGGCAAGGCACTGGCTCTGCGCACACTCGTTGAGACCGCCATCCATCTCTCTGATCTCGCCTCCAACCCCGTAGTGCGCAAGTGGGCCGGTCCGGCCATTGGCATCCTTGCCGCAGGCGCCGTGGCCTACGTCATCTATGAGTTGCCGCGTACCATTCCCCGCAACGTCGGCCGCAATCTGCGCTCGCAGCTTCTTGTCACCGCGGGCACCTCGGACGCTCAGGACGAGTCGCCTTTCTTCGAGGCGGAGGCTCAACGAGTTGGGCGGGAAGTGCGCAAGGTTATGCGTCTTGCAGCCTGGGACCTGCGTGAGCGCTTCCGCATCGCCATGGAGGCTCGCAACGAGATCGTCCGCCAGAGCGAGGAAACTGCTAAGCAGGCTGCTCGCGCACTCGAGTGGTTCGCAGAAATCGAGGATCGCGTAGACGCGATCCGCGACCAACTGGGCCTGAAGCTCTAATGACGAGATTGTACAGAGTGAAGAAGGCCAAGGCGGAACCTGTTGACTAGTGTTGTGACTCCTCTTGCGATGTAATTTCTCATGCTACTGATATTTGGGCTGGTCTCGTCGTACCATCAGACATTTGCATCCTCCATTATGTACAGGTAATGCGCATTCGCTTCCCATCTCGTATCGTAAGCGTAGCCGCATGGCTACTTCGTAAAGATGCTGACGACATCTTCGTTCATGACCTGGTGCGACAATCCTACCTTCTGGGGTTGAGGGTTGAATTTGCTCGACTTGCCCCACACAAGAGCGTACTTGAAGTGCGACGCGAGACCGCGGTGAATGCTATGACACACAGTTTCGATCGTTGCGCCAGAGCGAAGGCAGATTGGATCGCCGAGGTCGGGTTGCTCTCCGCGCTTCTTGGTGTACACCCTGCGATCAGCGAGCTCTCGCAGCGAGGGCGTACTTGACAAGACCAAGCTCCTTCCAGATCGCGTCCAATAACCAGTCCAGACCAAGGTCAGCCTCGCATGAGATCATGACGGTTTTCCCGTCGCCTTGTCGGGCCATGCGGTCCAATGCCTCCATCGAAATAGCGTCCACCTTGTTGTTCACCGTAAGCGCAGGGATGTACTTGCGCGTGCCGAGCAGCACGTCAATAAATTCGTCGATGGTGATCTGGAGTCAGCACTAATTCCTCTTCCCTCGGGGAACCATACGCACGTCCTCGCGAATCATGACATCGCAGTTATGGACTGGTGTCAGCTGCCGCATATGGCGAGAAAGCCCACGTACTCCTGTAAGACTGAAGAACTGATCGGATCATTCGCTCATCCGTCTTTGTGAGCTTCACAGTGCAGGTGATCTGTGGTAAGTCTCAGCACAATGTTATGGACAAACTCACAGTGATGCCTCCCGCCGTCTTCTGCTTGAAAACTACATCTGGTGACTTGGTGTTAAGGCGGATGCCAACCTCCTCCAGTTCGGCCACCAACATGGCCCGTTGCTCATCTGACTTCGTCGCGTCAATCATAATGATAATGAGATCCGCCGTTCGTGCAACTGCCACGACCTGTTTGCCTCGCCCACGACCTGCCGTTAGACATCTTCGATGCGTCAGCTCACCCTTAGCGGCGTCCTGCACAATGCCGGGCAGGTCCAGCAGCTGGATCCGCGCGCCTTCGTACTCCAACACGCCCGGGATGGCAGTGAGCGTCGTGAACTCGTATGCGCCAACGGCTGACTCCGTCTTGGTCGTCTTTGAAAGCAGCGTTGACTTGCCAACCGAAGGAAATCCAATCAAGCACACGCGCGCATCTACCGTAAGCTTTGACGGAAACGGACGCACCTCCACTCTTCATTACGTCGAAGCCTTCGCCCTTGGCAGATTTCTTCTCTGGCTCGAGTAGCTGGGCGCGATACTTGGCGACTATGATTAGTGTTGCAACACTCACTGCTCACGCTTGGCCTACACCCGGAAGAACGAGGTCAGCATCCCATGTTGAACGTCCGGGGAGAGCGCACCTTAAGTAAACCCAGATGATACTCCGTCGCTGCTATCAGCTATGGCTCTCATGGAAGTACACTGACCCTTGCTGCAACGTTAAATCACAGGACGCGCGTCAGTACTATGCCTCGCACGGGTTGGTTTAGGCTAACTTCTTCTGTGCTGGCGGAGGTCAGCCATCGCCGACGGCCGTGCGGAGTCACATACTTCGAGACATCTCCTCTGTGTGTCAGCGTTGTTCTCCCAGCAGCAGCAGCAACAGCAGCACCACGCACTCTCGATATCCTCAATCTTCTGTAGAATTCCCATGTTGACTAGGTCGCTTGCTGCGCAGCTGGCTGTTGTTCAGAGTTGATAGGTGTCTAATGAGACTTAGTGAAGCTCGAGGTATGTACATGCAGGACCCAGAATGACGGTGATAACCGATATATTTGTTCCACGTAATTAAACCTCCCACACTGCGAGACTCCAGTTCCTATCAACATGATTGTGCATCGATGCCTCTAACGAACTCTGTTCAAAACTTCCTCTACTGACGTGGCCCGGAACGTGCCGTCCTCGCCCTGGGCGAATACAGCATCCTCACCGAAGTAAACGACCAAGCCGCCCTTCCCCTCAATCGTCTTGCCAATGCGGAACAGTGGTTTGCCTGTGGTTGCATGCGACTGACCCAGGGGACGCATGAGCAAATCGTTCTCGGCAATGATCTCTTCCACGACGGAGCGGAACGTAAGATCTTCGGGGGCGAGGATGCGCTTCCCCCCAGGCATAGGCACAAGTGTCGGAAGCTGCGGACCGCCGTTACTAGGTGTGGTGTTGGAGCGAATTGGCGCATATTGCGGCTGTTGCAACTTCAAAGGCGCAGCAGATCCCAGCTCGACGGCTTCACGCATAAGCTTAAGACCGGTGTTGAAGCCGTGTGCCATGCCGCGGTGCTGCACAATTTGCGGAGGGAAGACGGCTTTCCACATCTCAAACCACTGCGCAACTTCGTCCGCGTTGTAACCAGGATGTGCGAGCCACGTGTAAAGGACGTTGAGCCATTTGGGGAAAAACTCGAGTTCGAAGAGGCGAACAAAGTTGGACGTCCTGATCAAACTGTGCCAGGGCAGGAGGATATCCTTGAGTGGCTTCATGTCCTGGTTGCGCGGGTTGACAGCAAAGCGGTCGCGCAGCACGTCGCCGAGCTTGCCAAGCACGTAGTCGCCCATGAGCTTGTCCCACTCGTGCACGGAAAAGATATCGCCACGCCAGCGCTGCAGCTCAAGAAGGGCGCCGTCCTCAGGCTTCCATCTTCGAAGCACAGCACGCACGCGGCGTTTTCCGCTCTCAAGTAGATCTCCCACCCGTTCGCCCATTAGTGGGAGCCACGGGAATGTAATTGAGGCGAGCGATACGTTGCGACCATCGCGGAGAGAGCGACCTGTCCACTCCTCGACCGCCATAGTCACTTTCGGGAGAATGAGTTGGTCAAGGACGTTGTCGTAAATAAAGCGAGGTAGAATCGGGTCCCACGACTCGATGAGATGTACTGCCGGTTGTGGATCCCACACGTCCCACTCATTGTTAATGGCAGATCGAACTTTTGGCAACCACCGCTGCCATAGCAGACTCTCCCATGCCGTCATTGAACGTTCGACACCGTCGACCTGTGGATCCCTAGATGCGTTATCGAGGTTAAACGCTTGTTTCCATGGCTTGAGGGTTGAGAGGAGGGCATCCGCCGATACATCGAATGGCTGCCATTGAGCGAAGGGCTTGCGCAACACCAAGTCGATGGCACCGACGACGACATCGTCGAGGCCAAGCAAGCGATACTCCTTTTCATGGGCAACGAGGAGACGATTGAACGCTTCTTCCAACGGCCTCAGAGAGGACGACCCCTCGCTCACCTCGCGCTGGCTGATGGAAAATATCTCGTCCACAGATGCCTTGACTCGCTCCAACGATCGTAACTCTGTCTTTGTTAGCTCAGCCCGCACGAAAAGCTCACCCGTAGCTGACTCGTCTGCTTTCTGTCGTGATCGCTCCTCGTCGCGTGTTGTCCACCGCCTGCGCTCGTTGACGGCCTTTCCCTCCTTAACGAGACTATTGACCTCGCCACGGGTGACGTCCACAACAAGACGCAGATTGTGCCGCAGCTCAGGTAGTTGCGTGGCATCCAGCGATGGCGTCCAGCCGGAAATGGAAAGATCTGCAATGGATTCCACCGTCTTGAGGTCGGGTCCTCGAGCGTCGATGACGAGACCGACACCAGGTTGTGGCCGGTCGATGGTTTCTTCAGCGAGCAGCTGTTCGTATGTTTTGTGCTCAACCTTGACCTTGACCTTTTTATGTTTCGTCCAACCTTCTCGACTTGGTATGCCTCGTTGACCAGCCTTACGCTGACCCTTCTTCGGTTTCGGCTCCTCGTCCTCGACAAGCTCGCCCTTCCGCCTGGCCTCGCGCTTGCTGTCCTCGGTTCGAATACCAGACCGGATGCCTTCACCGCGCATCATGGCACCAACTGCCACAGGAACAGCGCGGCCATCTTCATTCAACCCGAGACCTTTGCCTGGCGCCCAGCCTTGCTTGGCGAGAAACTTGGCGCCAAACCCTCCAGCGATCGATGAGAAATGCGCCTGCTCGGCGCGGGTGAGTGCGGCTTGCTGGGTTGGGGTAGGGGTAGCAGATCGACTCGGCTGGAAGCCCGACCTTGCATTGGGAGTGGTTCCTGCGCCAATGCCCATGAATGCAGAAGCTGCACGTCCAAAGGCAGACTTGGGAGCTGAGCCATCTGATTTTGCCTCATCAACTGAGGGTTTCGTTGCTGCTGTCGTTGCGGTTGCTAATCGGAATCCCAGGCCGCCTCCCCCACCACCCGCACGGAACCCCAGACCACCACGGCCTCCGCCTCCAATGCCAGCGTGAGGGGCTTCTTCCTCTTCGACAACTCGTGGGGTTGCTATCTCGTTGTTCGAGCTCGTCTCCGCGTCAGAACCATCGGACAGTCCGTCTGTGGGTTTGTCAAGCTCAGAATCTGCCCCCTTTGCCCCATCGTGTGGAGCATCGCTCTTTGAAACGAAGGCGGGTGCCCTGCCGTCAGTTAACACTTCACATGAACCTACTTGGTCCAGTCCGTCCTCTCGTTCCCTGGTCGGACGCCGCCGCTACGAGGACGGCGAAGGCCGCCACCATCATCTCCTTCTCCAAATATTCCTTCCCAAGCGGCGGCCTTGCCGTTGCCCATCGTCCGAGGTCGTTTGCGGCGATGTTCAAACAGACGCCTTTCTGCGCGAGAATCGTCGTCTTCTTGCGAGCCAAACCCACCCTCGCTGCCGGACTGATCAGACGCATCCGAGTCAGTCCCATCGTCGAGGATGTCCTTCTTCCGCCGCGCCATAGCAATATTACGAGGCGCGTGGGCTGGCGGTCGAGAGGGTGAGTGGCTAATGTGATGGACTGGGCAGCATTCATGAATCTAGCGAATGTTGGTGACTTGGGTGGCAACTCTCCGGCGCCTACAGCAAGTCAGGGCAGGTTAGGCCCCCCAAAAGCGTATGAACTTAGGCGTGCCTTTGCTTGTCACGCAGGCCTACGTGTCATAAGGGATGTCATGTCTTTGATTGACCTCTCTGATTCGAACATGACGCAGTTGGAACATCCGGTCCGAAACCCTGAGTGGCTCGCGTCGCCCTCGCGCGCAGGGCACATCGGGCGCTGGAAACTCCCATCCCGCTGATCCGTTGAGAAACGATGCCGCCCAGCGCATGCAGGGTCTGGGAGCTGGGGGTTGGCAAGGCGCAACGCCCGAACCCATCACCCGCCGTTGAGCTACTGTGCCGTTCCTGGCTGAGTTGCGGGGCGCGGATGCTCATGTCGGCGAACGAAGTGACTTCGACTGATGATGTCTCATCGGCCTCTACTCGTTTCTCCGCGTTGCTCACCTCACACTTCAACAACAACAACTGTTCACTCTCATCGACCTCATCACTGCTTCTCCTCTTACAGTTCCCTTCATCGCTGGCTCCTCTTCATCATCAGCTGTTTGCTCTGCGGAATGCAGTAGCGAGGGATAGCATCGTTGTCTCAGCCCAATTTGCTCTCCCAGTCACTTGCAGTCACTGCAATGTTCATGCCGCCCACCACGCCCATTCGGCTTTGAATACCCTTCGCCACAAGCCGTTTCCACCATGGCCACACCCGCAATGATCCATACGCGCACGCGCTCGCGCTGGTACATGGAGTCACCCATTCGCAGAGCGGCTTCCCCATTAGTGCACAAAGGTGCCATTAAACATGTGTCCAAGCGGCGACGCATCGGCATGTCATCCCTCAATGTTAACAGGCTACCGCCGCCCTCATCAGACACCGACTCCAATCGCGACTCGCATTCTCTTCCCAATCGGTTTTCTCTTTCAAGTCCGCGCACTGTTTCTCGGACCCACAGACGGTCTGGTGTCCCACGTCGCCCCAAACCCCTGCCACTTTCCGGGGACGAGCAGGCTCTGAGCCCCCGCAAGCGCAAACGTTCCGACATCGAGTCCGTATCCGACGAAAGTTGGATTGAGACTGAGGACGAGATGCCCGAGTTCATCGCGGAAGGTGAGCCCGTCAGCATCGGATGGCACTAACGCTGCAGATGACCAGCACCTTTTACAAATGGCGCCAGCCTCGGCCCTCCACCGGTTACGCAAAAGCGAGCTCGTTCGACTATGGAAAGTCTGTGGCATGTGGTCTGATGACGACGAGGAGGGCAACGATATCAGCAATCTCGATTTGAAGAGGGGATTAAGTAAAGTTGACCTCGTCAACGGTCTAATCAAAGCGGTGAGGGCGCACAATTGAGGCGGCCACTGACGAACAGCGCAAGCAAGCTGCCGCACACGAGCCGTCGGCTCTCCAAGACCACAAACCGACGTCCAGAGAGTCCGGGAGTTCGTCGTTGGCCTCGCCCCCATCGTCCTCTGGCGACAGCCAGTTGATTAGGGACGTTGGGGTCGAGGTGAGTCCCAGAGCCCCAAGGCGATGGAGGGGCCGCCAACGGCCACCACTTGACGCCGTGAACCGCAAGGAACGGCAGGCGAAGATATCTGTACGACCCAAAGGGACAGGACGTCGTGATACACGGAAAGCCAGGTTCGATCAGACTGTTAAGAGTCCATCTCAGAAGGCAACGCGTCTCAGGCAGACTCGTTCGTCAACTGTCTCGTCCCAGTACGCCACAACGAGCGACGGCTCCAACGATCCTTCTTGCGAAGTGGATTTGAGGAAACCTCCCCGTCACCCCCCACGACGAGCTGTCTCGATTGTATCGGGGGTAGAGCGCACGCCCATTGCTCGGAGACTGCGACCTCGCACTCGCGGCAGCGCAAGCTCAAACGGCTCTACCGAGGTTGACGCCGACCAAGAAGACAATGCGGATGCAGAGTCGGTCTCGGCAGGTAACTCTCGTCAATTCAAACGGTCTGAATCGACATCCACCCGCGAAACGCTCGACCGCCGAGCGAAGCGAGAGGCGCTGCGAGCTATGCAACCGGACAGCTCGAGTAATGAGGAAGAATCCAACGACGAGCAAGATATAGATCATTGTGAGTTTACCGTCAAGAACGGCGGCTACCAGAGCTGCGGGCTGACTACCTCAGCGACAAGCCCACCCTCCCAGCAACGCAGATGCTCTTCTCGGACCCGCAGTGGCTCGCGGAGTGGCCCAGTAACGCGCTCTCGGCAGAACTCAACCCATGCCAAGGTGTTGCTAGGTGACCCCATCCAAATTGACTCGCCGCCGCACAGCGATGTCGACGTCTGCACCCGATCGCGCACTACCAGGTCCGGCAGGGCTTTTGGCGATATCCAGGAGAGATCGGAGTCGACAGATGACGTGGATGATGACTCGTTGGAGGAGGAGGAGGTCGACGAGCCCGGGGGATGGGGGGCTGGTGAGCTTGCGTTGAATATCCACGCTGACCGATCACAGATGCTAGTCTCGCTGGTGTCACCCATGCCAGTCTCATGCGATTGCGCCGTGACCAACTCGTGCAGATGTGCGAGCAGCGAAACCTTGAGGTCGGCGGCACAAAACCTCAGCTTGCGGCCGCACTCATCACCTGGGTAAGTGTCCTTCAAATGATACATACGTGTTCTGACATAAGCAGCGGGATGAACGCTTGGACAATCTAGCATCAAGCTCCACCACTAGTTCGCAAGGCACGGCTCGCCCCAGCTCTCCCGTCCTGATGAGCGCTGTTCTGACGCATAATCACCGCAAGGGGGAAGATACGCCTATTCTCCAGCGAAAACACATCCATGCTGAAGACCCTGCTACACCACGCCGGTCCAGCGATAAGGCGCCACGCACGCCTGATAATGACCTCAATCTCGACTTGCAGGAGCTCGGGCTTGAGGACTTTACTATTCAGCCCGAGTCTCTTCAGAAGATGGGAAAGATTGGTAGTGGCGGTTTCAAAGAGTATGGACGCCTCAACGACAGGCGGCGGAGCTGACATCCAGTGTTTATGTTGGCAAGTTGCGGGGGCGCAAGGTCGCCATCTCCGAATTTCGAGAGCACCTTAGCGAGAGTTCGTTGCTGTCCGCTCTCCGAGAGCCGAAGCGCTGACTTTACAGTGGACATCCGCGAACTGAAACTCTTGGCGGAATTCCGGCATCCCAACATCGTTAGATTCGTGGGTACCGTGGTGTTCACAGCTAATATCGCAGCGAGGCATCTGCATCCCGGAAGACACGTCACAAGTCCCTTGTATGCTGATCAGCGAGCTTTGCGAGAACGGGGACTTGTTTGATTACATTGTGAGCTGAGGCCCTTCCTCCTAGACTGATTTCGAGCGTAACGTTTCCACGCCGTCGCTGAAGCGCGTCTTGCGCATTATGTTGGACATTGCTCGTGGTCTGGAGTATTTGCACCTCCGGAACCCAGCAGTGATTCATCGTGACGTACGTCTTCTCTCTTGATGACAGCTGACAGACATAGTGCAAATCAACAAACATTCTGATCAACAAACAAGGTGTCGCCAAGGTGGGAGACTTTGGACTTGCGCGGGTGAAGCAGAGCACGCGGTCAATGATTCGCAGTCTGGTGGGAACTGTCAACTGGCAGGCCCCCGAACTGTGGCACCCCCACCCGAAGTACGATTACAAAGTGGACGTTTTCTCGGTCGCGCTGGTGTACTGGGAGATGTTGTCAGGGTGGATCGGCGAGCCAGTAGGTGTATCAGAAGGGGACGCACGCTGACAACCGAGAAGTACCCATGGGAGGGTCATAACGAGCACTACATTTATGATGCGGTCGGGCAGAAGCACAAGCGACCACCGTTGACGGGCCTCCGCAAGCATTGGGGAGCGGAGCCGGTCAACCTGATCGAGCGAATGTGGCACCAGGACCCGGCCGAGCGCCCCACAATGTCGGATGTCGTCGCTGACCTGGAGGCGTTGCTCGCTGAGTGCACGTGATAAAAGGAGGTGTGCATGGATGTCAGAAGCATACAAGTCATGAAGCATAGCATAACCGTCGTACAATTTGCATGTAAGCATTAGGACTTCACCCGAGTCGCCCATAACCGTCGTACAATTTGCATGTAAGCATTAGGACTTCACCCGAGTCGCCCTAGGATTATCGGTTATTAATAGCGGAATCATTTTAATCCACGACGACCGGGTCGGATGACTTCCTGGATGACTACGTCCTAACTGCCTCTATCTCAATACAGTCTTCCGTCGCCAGATGATGTCGCGCTTCGCCGGCCGCTCCTGCGACCGCGTCTACTTCCTATTTTTGGTGTCGCACATTGTACGCGCCTTTCCGACACACCGCTGACATCAGCCTGCGACGCTTATGATGGACGCCCAGGCCGTGTATCCGAAGTGGCTCGTGCCCGGTGCCCTCGAGTCCTTCGGCAAGTGGTACATTGGTCTGTTCCGCGATCCAGTCATGACCGGCGTTCTTACGCGAGACGGATCCATGGATTTCATGATGCCCTTCTTCTACCTCGAGGTGGTCTTCCAGCTTCCATGCTTTGTGCTCGGTGCAATGGGACTATGGAGGAGTGAGTCGCAGACTGGCAGGCTCCACTGCGAGAGTCGGCTGGGGCGAGGGAGAGATGAGCGCTTAATCGAGGTAGAAACGCGTTGGGAGAGACAGAGCGGAGTGTCTTGACGGACCAAGCGCCCATTTCACGTGGCCTTTCGCTAACCCAAGATGACAAGCGCGTGTGGCCGCTTCTTGTGGCATACGGCGCCAGTACCGCTACGACCCTCCTCCCCGTTCTGCAGTCTCTGCTGTGGGACACAAATACCAGCCCGCCCCTCACGACTTTTGAGCTCGCCTCTCTGCTTAGCTGTTACATTCCCTATCTTGTCGTGCCGTTGATGATGGCCGTGGACCTCGGCCTCCGACTCACGAAGCTCATCGGCGGCGGGGTCCGCAAGAAGGTCTAGAAAGTCTAGAATGATAGGTGCATTCAATATAATACTATGCTATTGCCTGTGCATGTATACAAAGGAGGCCGCACCTAGAAGCACTCCCATCCCGCAGAGGAGGCCGACGATCTGCGTGTTGGTAGTGCGATGCGCGAGGCCCGCGCCCTGCGGCGGGCGGTCGTGTAACACTTTGAATCGCCGATGCTTGGGCTGCAGTCTATTCTCCCTCTCGCTGGGCCGGTCTGGCTCCCACCCAGTCGCACTGGCCGCTCCAGGAGAGTCGCTGGGTGTGACCTCAACGCGAGCGACGCCACCGAAAAAGTCAGTGAGGAGTATGTCCCGCGGCGACTTTGGGGACAGATGTGATGACACCCCAGCATTCGACCTGATGATGGTGGAGTCATATGCGTCGAACTGGTGTCAGGCAGGAACAGCGTATTAGCGTACCAGCTGCTGGAGGTTCAACTGCGAGGTCTTGTTCATGCCCTCAAGGTATCCCAGTACGAAGTGGGTGTAGCTGTCGATAATCGCAACGCCGACGTCGTAGTCGTTATCGTGCTACAGTCAGCACGACCGCGGCTAGACTCACGGAAAGCGAGTTCTCGCCCAGCGCGGACGACCCGGTGGCGATGATATTGGGCGAGTAAAACTGCGAGTACATTGTGTTGGCCTGACACGTGTCGATCATGAAGAGAAGGCGATTATACCTGCGTGTTAATAGACGGGTAAGGGAACCTGTATCACCAACCTTCGTTTCTCCCACATCTGCTCCACAGCGTCGGCGACGTCGAATGCAGAAAGCTCCTCGTTGTCTTGAAATTTGAGGAACTCATTGCCGCCATGCCCCGTGAGGTAGATGAGCACGTTAGACGACGCATCTGACAACAACCGCTTATTAGGTGCCACGTTGGGGTTCAGCCGGCCTGGCGTCAGCTCCTGTTCGAGATCCCGGCTCACCAGTGAGGGTGCGAAGGAAGTTCTCAACTGTCACCTCGTAGCCGCTGTAGTCGACCTCAACGCTGTCACCGTACAAGTCTAGCTGACGGTTGGGGTTGGCGTACACTGTGGCAGGGAAGATATTGCGCGCGTTACATGCAACATCGTCGGCGAGCATCAAGATGATATTAGAGTCGGGGATGCCGAGTCGCTTGATGCTACGGTAGATTGCAAGTGTGTTGGCGATGTGCTGCTGTCAACCCAAGAGCCTCAATCCTCTCACGCGGTAGTTGAACCAGAACCTCGAGGTGCAAGCGAGAACGGCCCAGTTGTTGGTGTGCCGATCCTCGCCACCAGCAAAGAGCTCGGCCACTTGCTCATGGTGCTCGTGGAGCTGGTCAGGTGATCCTGCAAAGCCCGACACGGCGGCGCATATCAACCCCCAAGCGACGATCCAGACTGCCGCCAACATAGAGTAGCTTGATCTGGGCTGGGCGTGAATACTCGCAGGAGAGTTGAAAGGTGTTCTGAAACGTCATGAATCACGCACCTCCACCTGGAGGCCATCAAGGACATACGAATTTGGTTCCGCGTCCCATTGATCATGTCTCATCTGAACGCAACCCTCCTCCATTCTCAACATAGCTGAATCAACAACGACTCCCCACACAAAACATGTCCGATCTTGAGAACGAGCTTCTCGGCCTAGCTGAGGATGACTCCTCGCGTCATCACAAGAAACGCACAGCGGGTGGTCGCAAGAATCACCAATCCTAGTGCGTCTCCTCGATACATTTCCACTGACTTCAAGTGAGGACTCTGATGACAACGATGGCGAGGGCCAGGGCGAGGGAGAGGAGGAGATGGACATGGATATGGACGAGGACATGGACATGGATGTCGACTCGGAGGCAGAGGTTTCCAGGTCGCGCCCGGTGAACAAGACAAACCCTTACCCACTCGAGGGGAAGTATATCGACGAGGACGATCGTGACAAGTGAGTGCCACGGCCGCGGCGGCGCTGATCATAGCCTTGACTCGCTTCCAGAGATCGAGCGTGAGAATATTCTTGCTGCCCGTCAAGAGGAGATTCAGAAGTTCAAGGACGCGGCGCAGCTCGATGCCATGTACAAGATGGCCGCAGGACAGGACGAGGACGAGGACGACTACACACCTCGCAAGCAACGTACGTGCCTGAATTGATGTTGCTAACGATGCAGGAAAGCACACGAGCGTCACCGATGAGAAGTACAGAGCTATGATGGACCTCAAGAACAAGAGGAAGTCCAAAGAGGAGCGGGCGCAGCGGAGGGTGAGCCTATTCGCTTTTGGCACAGCTGATCTCTTAGGCGGCGAAGTTAGCGCAAGGCGGTCGTCGTGCTCGCTCATCATCGTTGGCATCACAGGATGAGGCCTCGTCTGAAGAGGGTGAAATCTCAGTGAGAGACTCGTGGCGACACACATCTCCTGGGCGGGAACGGCCAAGCCAGAAACGCCGCAAGGTCGAGGTCGATATCGATTCCATGCCGCCATCATATCTGGAACTCAACGAAGCGACACTCAACCGATATGAACTCGTGGAAATGATGTTCAAGGATCAGTTCGAGGAGGTGATTAAGAGTGAGTCGACGCGCTTGATTAAGCTGACGACTAGATGCGTACGTTCGCATTCCAGCGGGGACGGACGAGCAAGGGCGACCAAAGTACCGTGTTCACCGCATCATTGGTGAGTAGTTAACATGTAGGAGACGCGGAGCTCCAGCTAACAATACAGGGGTGGAATCAGAGCACCACCATGGACGTTATGCGGTTGAGTACAAGGGACGCGACGTCTCCGCCAGCCATGCCCTCATTTGTGCCTACGGCAAGCTGAATCGACTGTACCGCATCGCCGATGTGTCTAACACTGAGGTCTCGGAGGTTCGTATTGGCTTCGCGTGCCATCCTGCGCTGACGTGCAGTCAGAGTTCTCTCGCTTTACCATGACAAATAAGGCCGACAACGTCAAGAACCCAAGACGTTCAGAGCTCAAAGCGAAGCACGAGGAAATTGTGGCTCTGCGAGACCGCCCGATGACAGAGGAGGAGGTCAACCGGCAAGTCGATGCTCGCAAGCAAGCAAACCCGCAGGCACAGAGGCAGAAGATCGTGCTGCAGATCACATCACTTATGTCGTCTAAGCAGCTCGCTCTGCGCCGCAACGACATGGAGACGGCCGCCTTTATTGGGCAGCAGATTCAGGAGCTCGGCGCTGATCCCAACACTGGCGAGCTCCTCGAGGGCGAGGGAGAGTTGTCCGAGTATGATCTGCGTATCGCCAAAATCAACGAAAACAACCGCCGGAAGACGCGCGAAACAATGATCAAGGCCCACGAGGCTGCTGTCGCTAAGAAGAAGGCTGAGGATGCCATTGTCCGGGCGAAGGCCGCGTAAGTTGGCAAGAGCTGCGTCTGAGAAGAATTGCGCTGACCCGTGCAGAGCTGCGTCCCAGGACGGCAGTCATCCTGTAGTTATAAAGGAGATAGTGGTGAACGCTCCTCCCATCTCTGGCATGCGGAAGGGTGAAACCCCACAGCAGTACGTGGCGCGCACATTCACGCTCGACCTAGGCGACTTTTAGTCTTTGCATCATGCACTGTCTCTATACGCGCCCGCTGCCAGGCCAGGTTTGCATCTCACGCTCTCGTCATGCTGCCACGCTCGAACTATTGGTTGTAGGCTGCGTGTCCGCCACCTCTCTGGGCGTGGCTGGCATGGATGCCGATGGTTTGAGTGCCATGCGGGTGGAAACGTACTGCGCGTCAGCTGGTGCCCATACCCAATGACCTTGTTACTCACGTCCTGTGCCACGATCTCAACGCTCGTCTTCAGAACATCAACAAGACGCTCCTCCACCCAGTCGCTCTTGTCATACTCGACATCCAGCCAGTCTCCTGGCGATGGCTGACTGATGGTGGTGAACTGCAGTTCGTGAGTGGGGTCCTGCAGGCTAACAATGAAGTAGAGGTGCTTGGAGGGGGTCGCGGACGTTCCTGTGGTTGACAGCTGCAGAGCTGGTTCGGGGAACGGCAACGGAGCTAACACAGGCTGCAGTTGGAGGAAGACAGGTATCGTCGTGACAGGCACGTCATCTAGAAATGTTAGCGCTGGAAGGATGGTCTGAACTGGGCTCACCTGATTGCGCCCGTGCTCGGCCGCGCGGATTCTTGTCCTCACGACCCTTGGTGGCCTTGACCTCTTCCTGGGCAGCCTTCCATCCCTCGTCCCATCCCGTGATAGGATTCAACGTGCGCTCCGTGGGCAGATCCTTTTCAGGAGGCGACCAGACCACGACGAGCTCTCCGGACTCTGTCTGCTCGAGAATGGTCATCCACGCGCGATAGACAACGCCCTCAACGCCCTCGTACCCTACCATGGGGTGCGAGAGCCACAGCTCGATTGTCTCGTGCGCGGAGATAGGGGGGGCAACAGTGTTAATGAGAGTGGTGAGGGTCGAGTTGGCCTGCGTGAGGATTTCTTGACCTGGTCGTTAGCGGAGCCATCCACCACCTTACGAAGCTTGTCGAGATCGATGTTTCCTACGTTCTTGGCCAGGCCACCAAGGCGAGTCTCAGCGTCCTTCCTAAGCTTGCCAACGTCGACTCCGCCCACATGTAGCTGATCAATCTGCTCGCGGATTCCCGAGACACCCTCGGTGCGGACCTTGCGGTACTGCTCGTCCGCGACACGTTGAGCGCTCTGGATCGCCGAGGTCGCCGACGACCAGAAGGAGCCGCCGCCCCATCCCCAGCTGCTCGCAGCGGGTTGTGGGTCGGATGCGGGCGCAGCAGCAGGCGCTGGGGAAGCTGGGGCCTTGGGGGCACTAGCAGTCGTTCCTGGCGCGCCGAGGGCTGGGCTTGCGGTCCGCGGAGTCGAGCTAGAGGGCTTGGATAACGGCGCGCGCTTCTGATTAATCTGGGCTTCGAGGAAGGCTAGCGCGTCTGCCGCCTCTGCGTCTGGTGCGGGCTCGACTGGCTCGTCCTTGCGATTCGCACTGTCAGTTGATGGGCGCGCCGAGGTAGAACTTGTTTCGGGGTTCTCGGGCTCGAGGTTGTCGAGATTATCGAGGAAGGCAAGTGCCTCCTCCGCTTTGGATTTCTTTGGAGGCATGGGGATAATGTCAAGCAGGAAAGACCGTTTCTAGATGCGCTGGATGTGGATTGAAACGGAGCTAGTCGTGGTAGTCGAGGAGAGAAGTCGACAACAGATAAGGTGCGTGATGACAACATGACAGCAACGGTGGCACGGTCGTGGCTTCGTCAAGTGGAGGGGGCTGCTTAGGGGGAGGCACGCCTAGGAATCTACAGATTAGGCATGTACATAGAAATGTCGTCACGTCGTGCCCGACAGCGCAGCCCATTAGGAATGGCCGGAAGACGCTTCAAATGAGTACTTGGAAGCAGACTAATAAACATTTGTAGCCGCCACTGACTGACTCGTGACTCGGCCAAAGCGCCAGAGGGCAAAATGCATCAAAGGATCAGGGGCGACACGCACACACAGCTCTCAATATGTACAGTCCCTTTGACTGCCCCACCCAGGCTATGCAGGCCATGCAGGCCATGCAGGCTATGCAGGCCACCGGGCCCATCGTCCCTCCCACGCCTCCCTCGCATGCCTGGCTTCCCTCCCCTCCCCCCGCTGTCGTCACGGCCCAGCGATCCAGCGAGGCATCCAATCCTCCTCTGCCCAGCTTGCATCCTGCATCCTATCCACTTGCGCCATCCACCCACCTCGTCTTCTCTTCGTCCATCCCTCATCCTTCGTCTCTCTTCTCCTCCTCATCAGCTTCTGCATCCTCCTCCATCTCTTATCTCCTCGCACTCCTACTCTCCCGCATCGCCCCATCCCCACTATCCAACGGCCAACTTGCCAGAGCTTTCCTCCCTCGGACCGCAGATCCGTCTCACCACCTATCACCAATCGACAAAACAGCCTCCACCTCGCTCACCCCACCGCCGGCCACCGGATTCATTCACACTTCCACATCTTCACTCGTCCAAACCGCATCCTCCATCCCTCCTTTCATCCGATCCTACACACTCAAGGATCACTTGAAACCCCTCCCGTCACTTCTCCTCAACCGACCGTGACAATCGTCCTCGCCTGTCATGGATCCAGAGGCACCGACAAACCAATGGCGCTTTGCCCAGTGTTTCGGAGACAAGGGCGAAGTTGAGGACATCACAGAGGGTACGTGCACTTCCACCTCACTACCGCCTCTGCCTTCTCCATCTGTATCCACACCTCCTTTGGCTGCGTGCGCAGTAGCTGATGCCCTCTTACAGCCGACATCATCTCCACCGTCGAGTTTGACCACACTGGCGATTATCTGGCGACCGGAGACAAGGGTGGCCGTGTAGTTTTGTTTGAGCGTAACGAACAGGTACGCTTCAGCCTCGTCGCCGCACGCGCCGTCATCCCTCTCACCAGGCCTTCCCATTGTGTTCACCGGTGCTGACGTCTCGCAGAAGAAGGGCTGCGAGTACAAATTTTATACCGAGGTAAGAGGCTTGTTGTTGTTTTCTTCCTCGCTGGTGTCAACATCCTGACGCCCTCCGCAGTTTCAATCACACGAGCCCGAGTTTGACTACCTCAAGTCGCTGGAGATTGAGGAAAAGATCAACCGCATTAGGTGGTGTAAGCGCCAGAATGCGGCCCATTTTCTCCTCAGCACCAACGGTGAGCACGCGTACCAACGCGAGCGTGAAGCGCGAGGGCGCGATTGGGACCCACACTGACCATTTTCAGACAAGACGATCAAGCTTTGGAAAGTGTTCGACAAGCAGATTAAGGTCGTCACCGAGAACAACCATACTCAGGACATTACAGGCGGAGGTCCGGTCGGTGCTGTCCAGCCTCAGCTGCGACTCCCGCGAATGACGACGCACGACTCGATTACGGCCGCCGTGCCCCGCAAGGTGTACGCGAACGCTCACGCGTATCACATCAACTCTATATCTGTGAACTCAGATGGCGAGACCTACATCTCTGCAGATGACCTGCGGATCAACCTATGGAACCTCAACGTCAGCGACCAGAGCTTTAGTGGGTCAGCGCAGGTTCGCATGAGCTGACAAGACCAGACATTGTCGACATCAAGCCTGTAAACATGGAGGAGCTCACCGAGGTGATCACGGCCGCTGAATTCCACCCCATTCACTGCAATCTCTTCATGTATTCTAGCTCCAAGGGGACTATCAAGCTGGCCGACATGCGAGAATCAGCTCTGTGCGACCAGCATGCCAAACGTGGGTTCTACTATGTGCAGTGGGCTCTGACGCAGCAGTGTTTGAGGAGGAGGAGGACCCTTCGCAGAAGTCGTTCTTCTCCGAGATCATCTCGTCCATTTCGGATGTCAAGTTTTCGCGCGACGGGCGCTACATCCTGTCCCGAGATTACTTGACGTTGAAGATCTGGGACATGAACATGGAAAACAAGCCTGTGAAGACAATCAATATTCACGACCACCTCCGCCAGAAGTTGTGCGACCTATATGAGAACGACTGCATCTTCGACAAGTTCGAGTGTACCTTCTCGGGAGACGGCAGGTGCGTCATGTCCATGGCAATTACACCGCAGGCGTACGCCGCTAATGTTGCAGTCAAGTCATGACCGGCTCGTATCACAATTACTTCCGAATTTACGACGTGAACAGTGACAATGATGTGGTTCTGCAGGCCGACAAGTCGGCCTTCAAGGCCAAGAAGATTGGTGGCGCGCGCGGCAAGGTGCCAGGCAAGAAGGAGGGCATGCAGACTGAGGGCATCGACTTTGCTAAGAAGATTGTGAGTCAACCGGTGTTCGGTGGTGCGTCCCTACCGCGCAATGTACTGATACTCGTCTAGTTACACGGCAGCTGGCACCCGAGGGAGAACACTATTGCTGTGAGTATCGTTTGACTCCACGCGCTCAGGACATAAGCTGACTTCAGATCGCTGCGACCAACAATCTGTAAACCCCCTTACTGCACACTTCGCTGACTTTCCCAGGTTCCTATACTCCACTCTCTCATAAGCATGCGTCATCATCAAGATACCCAGCCAACTTGGTCATTATTTTACACTAGATTCGACAAGGCCTCCGTGGATTTCGAGGACGTCCAACGGTGGCAAGGTGTCGATTGGGCCATGGGGACGATGGCCCAGGCTAGGAAGAAGCAGTCAGTAGTAGTGAAGCGTGAAGATGAACCAACGTGTAGTAGAATCGGTGCGGAAGGGATGACGAGGCGTGCCAAGCTGATCTAGATTGAATGCGTCACGATAGGGGGAGGCTTTTGATGGTTTGAGTCAGACACAATTGCTTCCGAGATGTAAACAAGCACGAAATCACGTGTTGGCCACCTCACCTTCACGGCAATCTGTCGCACGCGCCTTGCTTCTAATCGTTGTTAGCCCACTCGACCTTCACAACTCGACATACATCAACTCTGCGTGCCTCCCAGGCTTTATAATCACGCGGCACCTGTTTGCAGGTCTACTCGACGGCGTCATTTGAGCTTAGGCGTGGGATCAACGCGACATCACTGCTCCGCGACCCTCCCTGCGTCATGTCGGAATCACCTCGCACCCCTCTCAAGCCAACGTACACGAACATGACAGTTGATCCCATTTATGGGGAGGAAGAGTCTTTCGAAGTGGAAACACCGGACTTTCACTTCGATTGGCTCGCGGCTGGTGGCCGAGAAGCGCCAAAGTCCGTGACGCCGCCGCCGTCAGCCAAGGCGTGGGAGAAGGTGAGTGTGCCGCGCCCAATTCTGTCTCTACCTCCAGTGTTCCTGTCGAGCTGACCGACCGTAGCCACCATCTTACTTTGATAAGGGCCCTCCCTCCCTCATATCGCGGGGCTCATCTCCGGCGTGGTCCTCAACCTCTACCCCGCCCAGCGATCAGCTCCCATCCCGGCGACCTCCTCCTCCTCCAACTCACACCATGGCCCAGCTTGACGAACACATCCCCACGGTCGTTAAGGCGCAATCGCGCATCACCTCTGTCCCGCTGGCCAGCTCATCCAGCCGCGCCGACGACCCCATCCCCGCTTACAAGAGTCGTGAGGAGACAGAAAAGCGCTCCTTCGTCACTCCTGGCCTCACGCAGAGAACACTAGGCGTCTCCTCTGCACGCCGTACTAACAAACCTATCTCGAACCTGTCACGCTTTGGCGGCCCAGCGCGTCGTCTTCGCGAGCCAGAGGAAGCGGAGACTGAGTTTGCTGAAGAATCTCCCATATCAGCAGACGCCCCGATGGACGTTTTAGCGCGTCGCGACTCGATCGAGCAGAGTGACCGAGAAGCAGCCTACCGTGCCGACGAGTCGCCTCCCTCGCGGTATCGGTCCCCTCCCTTGCGGGTAGAAGATGAACAGACAGTCGCACAACACGATGATGAGCATTCGAACTACGGGGACCGCGTAGTCCGCCGCGATGAACGACCCCCCTCGCCGCCACCTATGGCTGCACATCCGGTACACCGCCCTCTGTACCGCAGGGAAGCTTCAGATGAGCAACGCAATGAGCCGCAATGGACAAATCAAGACGCGGGGCGCACCCCTCCCCTTCACCCAGCTGTCCCAAGCAGACCAGGGCCTCCGGCGGACCCTCAGGCCCCGTCTCGCATGTTTCGTCCAGCGCCCGCGGCCCCCGTGGCATTGGCCCGTTCGACTGCTCCACTAGAACATGTCTCGCGTCCGGTACCCCCGCCCAGCGCACCCGTCGAGGAAGCAAAGCCACCCACAGTGACTCCAGCTCCTCAGACGAAGAGGGTATTCTTAGTAGGTGATCTGGCTGACTTGCAACCTGACGCCCAGGTCAATAACGAGGGATACGACCGCCTTGGTATTCTTGGCCGGGGTGGCTCATCCAAAGTCTACTCCGTGTTGGGTCACGCGAAGCGCGTCGTGTATGCACTGAAGCGCGTCGGACTGGAGCGCGCCGACGCCGAGACATATCAGAGTTACACGAACGAGATCGAGTTACTCCGACGCTTGCGCGGACATGACCGCATTATCCAACTCATCGACCACCAAATCACCTTCACCCCAAGTGGTCGACCTAAACTGCTGATGATGGTATGGCCCTATCTCCTCTGGCCTCCGCTGACGTGCAGGTGATGGAGTGTGGAGAAATCGACTTTGCCGCTCTGCTCGACGAGCAGAGATACAAACCACTAAATATGAGCTTCGTTGGACTGTACTGGCAGCAAATGCTCGAGGCTGTTCAAGCTGTTCACGCTGAGAATGTGGTCCACACCGACCTCAAGCCGGCAAACTTCGTCCTCGTCAAGGGCCGCTTGAAGATCATCGACTTTGGCATCGCCAAGGCGATCGCGAACGACACGGTCAACATCCAGCGCGACCAGCAGGCAAGTTGCACGTACGCGTTTGCTGACAGCAGATTGGCACTGTAAACTACATGTCCCCAGAAGCGATTCAACGGATGAACAATCAGAAAGTGCTCAAGGTACGGTGCCCGTCGCTGACGTCGAGCTGACGTCGAGCTGTCCTATCCCAGCGACGTGTGGTCACTCGGCTGCATTCTCTACCAGATGATCTACGGCAACCCTCCATTCCACGCTATACCTGGCGGACCATTATCTAAGATGAACAAGATCGCCGATCCCACACATCGCATCGATTACCCTCCAACGGCGATCTTCAACCCTCCCGGCATGTCTGACCGCCCGCATATGCCCACAACTGTCTCGATCCCGATTGAAGCCATTGCGACCATGCGCGGATGTCTGGACTACCATAAGGACAGGCGTCTCACCATTTCACAACTGCTCGACCATGAGTTTCTCTCCCCTGCAAGTCCTACCCGCAACAGCAGTGCGACGAGGGTTGACGATGGCGTGTTGACTCCAGGCATTTCTGCTCCTCCCCCAGGCTCGACTTGGATTACCAAGGACCAGATGACCACTCTCGTCTCCTTTGTGCATAAGTTACGGGATCAGCACACGAAACCAGAGGAGGTTGCGGCCGACCTCTTCGAGCAGCTTGCCGCACGAAACGCTCTTGCATCATCATCTTAGGCCCATGGAACCAAATGCACATGCCATGACCTTGTATTATTCAATTAGCCTGTAACTATGAAGGCGGGGTTTCATCTCTGGACGAGGTCTCTGAACAGCTGAGCGTGCATAATACCTCGCACCAAGTCACATCGCAGCTACAACAAGCAAGAAGCGTACTGTGATACAAGATACCAATTGTTCACAGTATATGTTGCAGCGGGTGGCGGCGAATAGCCACATGTCGGTTGAGAATCATCTTGTGGGATATACGAGGGACAGAACGGCCTACGCTAATTGATCCATTGGGAGCGAAGGAAGAGGCATTAGGGAGAGGGGACTGTTTGACGGCGAGGAGGGCGGAAGGGTGTTGAGCGGGTCGATGACATTAATGCCTCACCCGGAATGTACGCCATGCGTCCTTGGCGCCATCAGTGAGCGCCGCTCAAAAGCGACGCTGGTCGCCACTCGTCTCAAACGCGCCCCCGCTTGATCCGGCCACAATCCTCACCAAAGACTTGTGTACGGCCACGCCTGCCTGCCGCCTGCTTTCAGTGGAAACGACCTCACTGTGCATCGGCAGGCGCTGGCGCATGGCCCCGTCGACGGCCTGCTCGCGCTCGAACCGGAGTGGCTTGGATCCTGCGCGCCCGAGGGGGTGGAGTGGACGCCAGGGGTCGATGTCGTGCTGCTCCTGGCTCATGGAGGTGGGGGACGTGTGTCCGTCCGAGTCTGAGAACGTGTTGAACATGGTCATTGTGTTCTGCGAGAGAAGCTGGACGGCGGGCGCGACCGGCTGGGGGGCGGGGAGGGGAGAGCCCTTCGAGGCGCTGCGGGCGGGAGGCGTGATTAGGCGCTGTGTGCGCGGCGGAGCCAGGTTCTGTTTGGTTGGAGTGAAGAAACCAGCAGAGGATGGTCCTGCGATAGGCGACTCTGGAGCGTGCGACGGGACGAAGGGTTGGGCACCGACTACGGGACGTGTGGGCGTGCGTGGTCCTCCGATGGGCGAGACCGGCTGGGGTTGGTGTGCCAGAGCGCGTGCAGTGCCAGCAGGAACCGATGCTGCCCAGGGGAATGGCCCGGGAACGTGAGGAGCAGGCGCACGAGGTTTGGGCGACCCCGATTCGGATACAAGTGTGGGACGGGCCGAGCTGAGCAAGGGACGGGAGTTCATTGAAGCCGGAGGCGAGGCGATAACAGAGCGAAAGGGATCCATAGACTGTACGGGTGAGCCGAGTGGCGAGGTTAGGCTCGCTGGCGACTGGGGCGCGTATCCGCGGCGCGAGCCTAGAGATCTCGTCGGAGACTCAGGCTGCGAGACATTCAACATGAGCGGGCGAGTCTCTGAGGCTGGCGGCGAGCGCGTGATTGACTGGGGTGTGAAACCGGGGACGGATGTGTATGTCTGCGCCTGGTATCCGTATGGGCGTTCTTGGGTAGGCGTGAACCAGTCCGGCTCTTGCGCTGAAAGCGGAGTTGAGGAGCGTATGGCGCCGCATTCCTTCAACGAGTGGGCGAGTGCGTTGTTGAACGCCGAGTGCTCGTTTGCCAGGGGCGATACGGGACTTGTTGGTGGCATGTGGTCTTGGCTGCCGCTTCTAGCCCGGTAGTGCGGGGTGCTAGGTATGCTCTGCTGAGGAGGTAGTGGTAATGCGCGTTGCGCAGTGTCGGGTAGCGAAGCTTGGCGGTTGAGTTTTGCGACCGCCGTGGGGTCGGGGAGGAGATCACCCCTCGCAGACAGGAGGGGAAGGGAGAAGCGTTCCGCGGGCTGAGGACGAGCGAAGACGGGGGCCGAGGGGGGGTACGCGTGGCCTTGCGAAGACGGAGGCGACGGCGTGCTGTTTGATCCCATGCTGTCTCTCATTTCGCTCGTGGTGGCGGAACGCGCACCGAGGCCCAGCACGCGTCCCGCGCGCTGGTGCGAGCGCCATGCCCATAGCAACCACATACCCACACACCAGGCTGTGACGAGGCCACCTGGGCGTAAGCGGAGTCAGCGGGCTGCAGGACGTACCAATCACACCGACGATGGTGATTGCTATCTCCTCGTCACGGCTCAAACAAGATGGGCGATCAGGGTGGATTGGTGCCCACCGACTATCGGACCGCGGTACGCATTTGGAGCGTTTTACCAGCGCAAGGATGGAAGGCATCACCGCGGTGTGAGACAGGCCCAAGGGCGAGGCGGGACGGGTAAGCCGGGAGGAACACGAGGGGATGAGGTGCGGAATCCGCAAGGCCTGGGAGGAAGGGAGGTGTGGTGCTGGCGGAAAGCTGAGGCCAAGACAGAGAGAACTGGACTGGTTGATGGATGGATGGAACCTCGAACCAGTCGGTGTTGGGTTGTGAGCTGGAGTCACCCCGCCGCAGAATGAGTTGGCGGACTGCTATGCTAATCTGTGGTTCTAATCTCGTCCAAGCTAGTAGATGAGCAATGCTGGTGTAGATCTCCACAGTGAGGAAGGCGATGATGGGTTCGTCACAGATGAGGGTCGAGATCGTCCAGATTCAGTGGAAGTACAAGTGAGAAGCGAGGAGTGCACTGTCAGTGTTATTGACGTCTTATGTGAGTGTATCTGATCCCCCCTTCCTCCTCCAGAGCCCAGAGCTATTGAATAGGTCATCTGTGTCAAAAACAGAACGCAATGGCTTGGTGAAGGGAAAGAAGACACTCGCGTGAGAAGCCCCAGGCTGGTGGGTGGGGAAGGCAGGGGGCCTACGCCATGAAATGCGCCACTGCGTGCCTCGTCGCCAACACGGTCGTGGAAACGCCGCGCAATGTGAAGTGCCCGGAGAGAGGATGCTAGGAGAGCTAGGAGAGAGGCCTCGGCTGATCGGCAACGGACATGAATTGAATTGAATTGAATGGCTGCCTGTTTGTGCAGTTGGCCTGACATGGCCGACACGCCCGAGGGGGGGCCGCATCACGTGACTCCCCGGGGCGGCAGCAAAAGAGCCGCGATCATGGCTTTATCTGTGCGGGCGGAATTAACTTCTGATCTCTGAGTTGCTCAATAAAGTCAGCGAGGTATCTGCTCTTGCGGCTCAGACAGACTAATGAGACAATGACTCTACAAGGACTCCACATAACGTGACATGCCCCAGCTGTGCGGCCGTGTCCAAATCAGATCAGTGACCACCTACAGTGGCATTCCCGGCCCCCGCAAATGTGACCATGGGATGATGGGTTGGTGATCTGGTGAGCGTGGCAATGCGACAGAACGATGCGCACATGAAGAACGTCTAATGCGAGGATATACGAGTAATGTAGAACTGGCATGTTTAGCGCGCCTAATATATGTCACGTGCGGGTGTCAGACTGGGCAGGTGCGCTGGAGCGAGCGGCGCGAGGGTGCGAGGCGCGAAATGTGGTGGCGCGTGGGATTCTGGAAGAAACTACCCGCTCTCCACTTCGAGAGCGTGTGAGCTAGAGTAAGACTGTGCGGGACCTCGGCGCCGACGCTGACTGACGTGACGAGTCGAATTGCATGTGGATGAGTGGGGAGGTATGAGGATGACCAAGCATGTCGCGAATGGCTGGCATGAGGGCGATAACCAGCTGTAGCCATGTTGATGATGGAGAAGCAAGTTCCTGATCAGAACCGGCGGATTGGAGAGCAACATGACCCAAGTCTGTGGGGATTGGCGTCATCAAGTGCCACTGCCGCCGGCATTGGACAATGAACTTGAGACAGAGGTAAGTGCACCTCTTGCAATCAGGGCAGTCGATAGGCGGTGGACGAATGAGGATGCGTCGTGAGCGGGTTCGCTCCTGGCAATCTACCGCACTGGCCTGCGTGTACTGTAGTCGCCCGCACCGCCGTGTCGGCATGGTACAAAGGCAAGAGTAGTAGTAGCACGAGCAGATGCGGGCGTTACAGGCGTAGTAGGCGAGATCAAGCCGAACCGATGAACCCTGTCGCGTACAAGGGTCCTGATATGGGATAACCCTTCCGGCGGCTGGGCCGGCTCGTCATGGCCCGCTCCCCCCCCCCCGGGCATGATCCCCAGATGGTCCTCTGGCCCAGTGCCTAGGCCAACCTCCTACCTCCTCCGGCCACCATGACCACCATACAGCCAGCAGCCAGCAGCCAGGCTCACCCTACGGCGTCACCAGTCGCCCTCGCTCATGGCTCACTCCTCATACCCAGCCAAACCCAGCCCATGCCAGCCACGGCCAGCCAGCCAGTCATTCTGGTCCGTTCCATTCCCATCGATCCCTCCCCCC